TTACAGAGACTAGAATACGCTGATTATTCTATTAAATTTAGTTTAAAATTACAGAAAATACTAATAACATAGACTAATAATGATATAGAAAGTCATAAAAATCTCTACCACACAACTTAAAAAACTTGATTCCTTTTTTCTGGGACCTAGAATTATATCTGAACTTGAATTGAAAATATAAAAATAAATTTAGAAAATTTAGTCTATTTGTATTAGCAATTTAGTTACCGAAATGCTAGATATTGACATGCGTTTACTCTAAAACAGTAAAAATTAAATGAAAATGATTTAAAAAAATTAGGAAGTTAAAGAAAGTTATCTACACTTATATATTTTTTAATTTAAGAAAATAAAAATAACGCTTATACGTTTACTATATGTTAATTTGACTTAGATAATATGAAGAGAGCTATAAGAACCTCAAATACATCCTTAAGAAAAACCGACAGACATAACAACCAAAAAAAAGACCGATAGATAGACAACAACCCAATGGACCTCTTCTGCTTTCGAGAGGAAAGCTGTTCTTTGCTTCTGTGAGAAGACTCCACAGAGGACGTTAGCCCCTGCGGACTCAACCCAACGTACTTCTGTGAGGACGCTCATACAGGGGTCTTTAGCTCCTGTAGAGGTCGACTCAACACTCTGCTTCGCTTCTGTGAGGGGCCCCACAGGTGACTTTAGCTCCTGCAGGACCGCGCTCACACCATCTCCAAGGAAATAAACGAACAACCAAATAAACCAGGAAAAATAACCAAGAAAATGTACATTTAAAAAAAACTTACGTTTTTTGGTTAAGCACTCCCCGCGATGTGCATCCTTGGCATAAAAAATATGCGCTCACTAACCTGAAACAACAGAAGAAATACGTTAGTTAAAGATAATAAAAAAAGAAATAAATCTTATAACATACCTGATTTTATCTCGTTCCATGCTCTCCATCCTACTGTTCTTTTCCAGAAAATATTCGTTCCAGACCTGCACCAATCGTCGTGCCTCCTCAGAAACAGCCTTAAGGACAAGAGTACCTCAAGGCAACAGTTAGTGAAGAAGGTACTACGATTGAGACCTTGCACATCGGACATACCAAGGCCACAAAAATTATATATTTTTTACCATTGGTAATAAGAAAGATTCAAGGTGTCTTTAACAAGATAAGTCTGTATAAAGAACTCAAGAAATTGAATAATAATAAATGAGGAAAATATGAGTTAATTTTATTGTCAACGAGAATTTACTTTACTCGAAAATACAATTAATGATGTGCAAAATGCATTGTTTTAAAATTATCAAATTTAAGTTTTATTATATTAAACATGAACAAAATTAAAAATATTTTGAATGGTTTTAGTATAAACGTACAATTTTATTAAGAAACTTGATACCTCACACCTTTTTTTAAACGTAAATGCAATTAGAGAATAATTAAAAAAATAGTAAAATGATGATAGAAAAAATAAGAATTAATCCTATGACAATTCCCTACAGAAAAATATTACAGAGACTGGAATAGAGTGGTTATTGTTTGAAATTTAGTTTAAAATTACAGAAAATAAAAATTATGTCCTCTAAAATTTTTAGAAAAAAACCTAATCCCAAATAACGCTAAAAAGAGAACACTAAAACAATGGAAGACTTGGAATCTCCATTGCCTTAGCACTCTCGATTCAACATTACAGAGACAAGAATAGAGTGATTAAATTTAGTTTAAAATGACATAAAATAAAAATGATATCCTTTAGGATTTTTAGAAATAATCTAATCCCAAATAACTCTAAACTAAAAACACCAAAATAAGAAAGGATGTGAACCTCAATTACCTTAGCACTCCCCATTCAACACTACCGAGACTAGATAAAAATATAAAAAATAATAATTTTTGTTACAAAAATACTTGAAAAAAAGAAAATGGTTAATTGAAGATCCGATTTCCTGGCACACATTTCATTAACCTTTGAGCAAAAAAAAAATGTTTTTTAATAATAAATTAAACATAACAGAGTAAAAGTCAAATTGGGTTTAAATTATTTTGAGAAATAGACACCTCGAAAAAAATTAAAGATATAATTTTTTGTCACTTTTACAAACGACAAGAAATACAAAGGATTATATATGATTCGAATTAAAGAAAGTATGAACGCAAATAAAAAGTGTAACCTTAAAATGCTGTGAAAAGCCTTAGAACAGCTCCAGAACCACGAACCGACGCGACTGTTATGATTAGGCTTTAGAAATGGTTCTTCTACATTTCCTCTTCATCTGCATACTGAAACAACGATAAAAAGAAGATTAGTAAAGATGTCCAAGTCCAGAAAGTCCAAATAAATTCAACTCACCTCCATTCCACATCCTTTAACCGGCGATTTCTGCCACACGGCGTAAAAAGCAGTGTCGTCACACCGCGGGAGCAGAAGGACGCCCCTGGTCCCTCAGGAACTACGGACGGTCCCTGGGGAATCCCATTTAACGCGTCATCAGGATCGACAAAACCTGGAAGTACTTTTTAGTAGCAGGACATCTAACACATACCGACTAAATTCACAAAAAACACGCGCTGCGTACACGATCATAGTTCTGAAAAGATAGAAAATTTCTGAATTAGATTTATGGAAAAGAACTGGACAGGTGCGTATTCGGACTTACCTCACTAACACTGACACTAGGCTGAATATGCTGGACTACGGCCCATCCCACCATTCCGATTAGACGTCAAGAAGTATGTCCCTCCCCCTCAGTGCTGGCTGTCCATCACAGGGTAAATTTTATATGTTGAAAGAGCTCTATCGCTTTGACATGAGATTATTTAGGAAAATTATTTTAGATAATATAGAGAGTTATGCAAACTAGTTTAGATAGAGCGATAGAGCAGAGAAAAATTTAAAGGGGCAGAGCAAAATTTAAAAAAGAAATGGTCCCTTATTCCAATCTCTTACAACAGTGAAAAGAAAACCCTAAAATAACGCCAGACTGGAACCGGCACTATTTTAGCATTATCAATTCATTCATCTCAAAGACCAGTAAATTTAATAGAAATTATTATAAGTTTGATTTGAAATTATATAAAAATATAGAGAATAAAACAGTTTAAATCAGAGTGAATTTACTTAATTTATACGTGAACGGGAATACTAAAACAAGAAGGCTGTTACTCTTCGAATCGTAATAGTACCATCCAATCACAAGAGACCATGTAAAATAGATTATTTTAAACAAAAATTATGTTTTTTAGTATAGTTTTTAACAGAGAGAATCTATTATAATCCCAAATAACGCTAAAAAGAAGACCTACAACAAGGAAGGCTGTGAACCTCTATTGTCGTAGGTCGTAGCACCCTCGATCCAACATTACAGAGACTAGGATAGCATATTTTAAATTTTTAGAAAGAATATTGTCTCAAATAACACTAAACAGGAGACGCTAAAATAAGAAAGGCTGTGAACTCAATTTTTATGAGAATCTAATACCAAATAACGCTGAAAATAAAACACTAGAACAGTGAAAGACTTGGAATCTCCACTGCCTTAGCACTCTCGATTCAACATTACAGAGACTAGAATAGGGTGATTAAATTTAGTTTAAAATTACAGAAAGTAAAAATTATATTCTTCAGAATTTCTAGTGCGAACCTAATCACAAACAATGCTAAAAAGAAAACACTAGAACAATGAAAGACTTGGAATCTCCATTGCCTTAGCACTCTCGATATTCAACGTTAGAGACCAGACTAGCACTAAACAGTGAATAAGAAAAGATGTGTACCTCCATTACCTTAGCACTCTCCATTCAGCATTACCGAGACTTGATAAAAATAAAAAAACATGAATTTTTGTTACAATAATACTTAGCAAAATGAGTGGTTTATTGAAGATCCGATTACCTGGCACATATGCCGTTAAAGTTTTAGAAAAAAATAGGTTTTAACCCGGTCATAACTCCAAGAAATAGAACCTTCATAAACCGTTTAAATGGACAGACCAAAACACCGGAGAGACCCAAAGGCACGGCGGGTGTTGTTCCAGTCAATTCGAACCTTTACGGAATCTTGGCCAAGCCTCGACCCTCCGATACCAGCTTGGTCCTCCATTCCTGAGGACATTTGTTCCTTGGAACCCTGGCCAGACCAAAAATCACCGGGCTACAGGGCGACCCAGCTCAAAAAGAATCGGATTAAAAATTTGACGGTGTCGTCGAGAAAAAACCATTCGACAACGGTTTTTATTTTTCGAGTAACGAGGCAACCCGGAAAACAAGTTTATATGCCTGCGTTTTTCAGTTTCGAGAGGAGAAGTAAAAATATAAAGACTTTTACTAATAAAAGCTTTATATTAGTGGTTAACTAGCAAGGCGCTAGTACGACATCGGAGGCTGAGAATAACCACATAGTTTTATGACGTTCCGATCGGACAATTTAACGTAACGTCTTCTGCCACATTCCCCACACTCAAGGACCAGCGTTTACCTGCCCTTTCCGGTCCAAGAGTGCCAGATGATCCCAACCCACTGCACCCCTTTACAAGCCTCCTAGTCCTCTAATTGAGCTGAGCCCCCACTCCCCAGACACCCTTTACGTTTAGGACAACAACCCGGCCCCATGGGATAGCCTGCATAGCATGATATAAGCTTACGCCCGGTAATGGAGCGGTCGAATAGCATACCCACTGGCAAACTACAACGCAACGAGCACCTGGGAACCCCGGCCTGCTACCGGGGCTGTAATAATATGAGAACGAATCCAGGGCGAAACAGTCCCAGGCCTCCGAGACTGGCCCCTCGCGACAGTCCCCACAGCCTAAAGATTGCATCGCAACCACCCCGCAACGCTGCTTTTTTGTGTCTATCTATTTTAGAAAAATACAAGCACTAAAAAGTACTCGTGTTTAATATATTAAAATACTAGCACTAAAAAGTACTGGCATTCTGTTAAAGTGACATTTATCTAATTTAATAATTGTACTTTCAAATGTAGAGATGAAAATCTCTGTTTTCATGTATAAAAGTTTATAAACATTTCTTATAGAGTTTTATTTGCGTTAGAGAAAAAGAGTGACACCTGTGATATTGAACCCAGACTAAGTAAAACGACGGATTAATCTAACACGAACTCAGCGGTCATGTCTTTAGAGCCTGATAGTAGAGACATTAAACCGCACGCTTACTAGCTGGGAGCGTTGGTGGATTTTCACGTGATAGCATTCCATGAGCCGTCTGCATGGGTAAAGTAAGTGTAGTTGTGTAATTACAATTGTGTGTTCCCATTCGATTGCGATCTGAAAAAAGAAAAAAGAAAAAAAAATTACAAAAAGACCCTAAATAACCCTCTGGCTTTTAATAATATATAATCTTGGATAATAATCGACGACTGGAGTTATTGAAAGTTAAAATAAAAAATATATGTAAAACTAAAAATGTAAAACAAATATACAGGGTATCTCATCATTCGTGCTGCAATAAAACACCTCAGTTATACAGGGCGTTAAAGAGTGTAGGTCTTATTAACTTTAACTACCTACTCTATGTGACAGAGAGAAAATGTTTATAGAGAATTTTTTTTTCTAAATTGACTGATATATATGTATGTATATTAGAAGAATATTTATTTGCAAATTGGTTGTAGAAAAAATTATAGTAAAATATTATAAGTTAGTAGCTTTGTCAATCCCCTGTATACTGTGTATACAACCAAATACTTATTCTCAATTTAGAAAAATGTGATTTATGTATTAATTTATATTATACAAATCACATTAAATATTATTTGTTTCTAATTTTGTATAATAATAAATTTTTGTTACCAAGAAATTTAAATAACTATTTAATAAAAAAATATTTAAAATATATATTATGTAGGTAGATGTCTTTAAGAAATAGAATAAAAATAAAATTACAATAAAGTAGCCTAAAAGGTAGCATTATTTTAGGAAAATCTAATGAAATTAATAGTTTTTCGGCTAATAAACAGCTAATAGTTTTTCTTAAAAATTTCTATACCAACTGTCCAAAAAAGAAAACAAAAATAAATAAAATATATTTCTGTAGAAATTAGTAATGGATGAAGAAATAGTAAAATATCACGAAATATTTGAAAATCTTAGTGTGTCTGTTTTTGAAAGAGTGGGTGAATAATATTGTAATTTTGATTCACCCTATGATTTTGATTCACTCTAATGTACATCTGTAAATACTAAAAAAATTGTTACCAAGAAATTTCAAGAGCTATTTAATAAAAAAAGTATTTAAAAATAAATATAGATAGACCAAACAGATAAAAGTCATAGAACCAGCGTGTAACAGAGTATAAATAAAATATTAAAATAAAGTACCATTATTAAAAAAAAACAGCTGATAATATCCCTTAAAAATTTCTTGGCTAATATTAAAAAAAACAAAATAAAAATATATACATATTTCTGCAGAGATTAGTTGTGGATGAAAAGTGAATATCAGTAAACTATTTGAAAATCTTAAATCTTACCAGAAGCAAAGTTTACAGAATCTATTTTATGTAAACTTTGCCAGAAGCAACAAAAAGATATTATAGTTTATCAACCCCAAGCACATAGTCTCTAAGAAATAAAAAAAATCAATGAAAATTTAATAGCTTCAGAAAAACTATCAGTAACAATAAACTACTTAGTAACAATAAATGTTACTTTGTTTAAATGCATCTTTTGTAAAAAAAACATCTAATCTAATACATCTAACAAGTGCTTTTATAAAATGAATGAATATATTTAGAAAAAAATAATCAATGCACAATTAATAACATAGACTATAGAGAAATCTTTCACAAACTTATAAAACAAGGAACCAGTATTTTTAATTTTTAGGGTTTAGATCAGTTTCAAGAAAAAAATCAGCTGATTATCAATATAAATTTCATTAGTTATTCTTCATTAAATATTTCACTAATTAAAGCAGCTACAGGCAGATGCAAAATTCTGTGTTTTACAGGTTTCTAAACTTTATTTAGATTATTTTATAAAAGATGTAATACATAAGTATTCCCCTATTATATAATATATTTAAGAAAAACCATATCAAATGCACTATTATTAGAAATATTCTTCAGAAAATTGAGTGATTATTAAATTATATTCACTTATATAGAGCTATTATTTCTAAAATATACTATATACATCAAGGTACATATCTAAGTCTAAAAAATATTTATTTTAATACATAGATATTCTGTACAACCATAAAAATATCAAATTTAGAAAACTGTCAATCCACAACAAATTACATCTTTTTATAACAACCAGAAATTATAAAAAAGGCAAGAGTTTTATACACTGCCTGATAAAATTTCGACCAATCGGAAAAGAAATGACGTTACATTCGGCCAATAGAATTGCTTTCAAGCCAGCTACTTTAAGAGGGTCCGATTTGTCGAAAAATATCAGGAAATTCATAGGAAAATGGTCGTACTTACCATCTCTCGAGTCCAGCTGGGCCCTACCCGCGATTGTACCGAGCAAAATGGCAAAATGTGTAAAGGCGCACATTCACTCCCGGAGTGCAGCACGTCTGGATACAGCGCCCGAGCTCAGGTACGACCTGAGCTATATGACGTGTCCAGACCCATACCGATCCTTGGTCCATTCCATCCAAAGGCAGCCTGGTTTCTTTGCGACTTGAAGATCTGTTGCTGTGTTGATATTCGGCAGCGTGGTCCTTGGATATCCGTAACCCTGGATAATTTCTGGCATAATCTGAAACAAGACTAAATATCTTTTAGTTATATAGTTCATATGTTAATAATTCTATATACGGAATTTCAAATAGATTATCTAATTCTATACTATGCAGGGTCCGGCAAGCATATTTGTAAACAATGTCCATGATCGCGATTCGGTTCTAGGCCGAACGATGCCGAGTAAACAGCATACGATATCGCAAATCCGTCTAGGAAATAGCATCCGTGATTCCAAATTTTAACTGCCTTACATAGATAAATGCAACAAGTTTAGATTGGAAAGCCCGTAAAAAATTTAGGTCGCGAAATTATTTTGGGTCGCGACCGTTATACGCGATCTAGCGCTGCTATAGTGGTCGCTAAGAACAACGGCAAACAAAAACAGAAATAATTTTCTCTTGTCAAAGTCAGAATCTTCAAAAATCATAACATAGATAAATGCAACAAGTTTAGATTGGAAAGCCCGTAAAAATTTTAGGTCGCGAAATTATTTTGGGTCGCGACCGTTATATGCGATCTGGCGCTGCTACAGCGGTCGCTAACAACAACGGCAAACAAAATCAGAAATAATTTTCTCTTGTCAAAGTCAGAATCTTCAAAAATCATAATGATCTTTCAAAATCTAAACCGCTCTCATTAAAGAAATTCCGAAAAGTGTTTATAGCGTCCATTTTCAAAGTAATAATTGCTATCTTGTGAGTTTAATTCAAGTGTTATTTACTCCAACCGGTGATAATTGTGAAAAAGTGGCATTAAAAACTTAAAAAGCTGTGCTGTGAACTGTGAACTGCAAAAACCATCGTGGATCGTGGCATAACGTCGGTTTCCAATGTTTCATAGGTATTTATATAAAATAAAGTTTCTTGTATGCGTCCTTATATAAAATAAAGTTTCTTGTATGCAACACACTGTCTTTTATTTATAAAATTAAACGAAAATAATAATAAATTTGAATAAACAATATTTGGCGATATAATTCCGGAAAAAGCCGAACCGCTCCGAAATTTTCAGAAGTTTTGGGTCGCGACCGTTGCAAGAATAGCGCCAAATTAGTGTTTACATTGTCCTTATGGGCACTTTCCAATCTAAACTTGTTTCATTTATCTATGAATCATAATAATCTTTCAAAATCTAAACCGCTCTCATTAAAGAAATTCCGAAAAGTGTTTATAGCGTCAATTTTCAAAGTAATTATTGCTATCTTGTGAGTTTAATTCAAGTTTGATTTACTCCAACCGGTGATAATTGTGAAAAAAGTGGCATTAAAAACTTTAAAACTGTGCTGTGAACTGTGAACTGCAAAACCATCGTGGATCGTGGCATAACGTCGGTTTCCAATGTTTCATAGGTATTTCATACTTCGTCCTTATATAAAATAAAATTTCTTTGTATGCAACACACTGTATTTTATTTATAAAATTAAACGAAAATAATAATAAATTTAAATAAACAATATTTGGCGATATAATTCCGGAAAAAGCCGAACCGCTCCGAAATTTTCAAAAGTTTTGGGTCGCGACCGTTGCAACAATAGCGCCAAATAGTGTTTACATTGTCCTTATGGGCACTTTCCAATCTAAACTTGTTTCATTTATCTATGCTGCCTTAACACCTCTTATAAACAATAGACGATATCGCAAAATTTGTTGATTGGTCACTTTGTGTAGTTTTAAGTTATTAACAATTAAGTGAAAAAAAGTGGGGGTTTGGTTTTTTTAATATCTCGAAAAATATTGAAGATTTTCAAAATTTGAAAAAAAATCCAAAAAGATGAAGAAATTTATTAAAAAAAGTTTAAGCTTCCGGAACTGTAGCTCAAATATTTATAATTTTTACAAAGCCCTGAAAACAGAGCTTAAAACGGGTAGTCTGGCTTCCGCACGCGTTGCGTCACTTTAAGACAACAACTTAAAAAGTTATTTAACCATATTAATATTAAGGGAAAAGAAAATTCATGGAGAGTTGGGATACATGAATAAACAATAATATTATATTGAAATAATAAATTAAACTTACTTTTAATCGGATAATAAAAGACCAACTCGTAAACCAGAATGATAGCCAAAAACATATATACAACTGATGGGTGACTCTAAGATCTCTTTTTAGGTGGTCTTTATGTACTGGTGCCCGTATTATTAATAAAAGGCTATAATAGAAAAGAAAATTATAATTATTATTAAAGCCTTATATTAAAACAACACAAAATTGTTAAGTTACATGTGACGACAGTATTAAACCTGTGTGTAAAAGTAGTTTATTTTATCTGAAAGTATATTATATAATTCAGAATGGGGACCCCTTTAGGTATACTAACACTGACTCATTCTAAAAGACGTAGAAAATACGTGTTTGCCTGTACGAATATAAACACCTAAAAAATTCCTTCAGAATAAAAAACCTCCATCTTCAAAATCTGCCTAAAAAATGGCCAAAAAAATTCCAAATATCTCTAAATATGGAGCATTATTCTAAGTACCTTTATTTCTAATGTACAATAGAGACACTAAGGAAGGTATTTATATTTCTATACACTCGATTTTTAAAAAGAAAAGTATGAAAATGGGAAAAATATATCAGTTTTAATGATGATGTAATTGAAATATTTAAAAGTCAAAAAAAAACATAGAAAACAGGTAAAATAATGGGTACTTACATGTTCACGAACTTAAACAGGCATTAAAGAACAGGGTGCACTCAAATAATGTACAGAAAATTCACTTTTTCTATGAAAAAATCAGAAAAATTTTAAGAGCGACATGTCTTCTTGCAGCCAACAACTGAAAATGGCGCACTGTCAACGTTGTCAGATTAACTACCAAACCAACTAAAACAAAATAATGATTTTTTTTTGCTGTTGTATAATGTTCTGTCTAAAAGAAAAATATTATTTATTCTACAGAAACAATGTTTATATTATATGGTTAATATATTTATGATAATTTTGTAATGGTTAAGTTTTATACTTAGAAAAATATTGATTCAGATTACTTTCAGGACTTCAAATATATATTGGCAACACAGGCGTAAAAATCAAATGACAATTCTGAACGGACCAATCACGATCCATTACTTAAAATATTTTTTGTATAATTTCTGGATCAAACAAATATTTTTATTTTGAAATAAAAATCTAGAAAACTTTAGTGAAATGTATGTATGTTACCTATGATTTGCGTTATATAAAATAAAATATAGAAAAAGGGTCTCCTTCGGAGGCCAGGCAAGGGCCAGCCTTTAATATTTTTGTATTACTGGTTGCATACCCCAATCAACAATTAACAAATTTGTATTATATTAATCTTTGTATTAATAATCAAAATTTCATACGTTCGTTTTTAATTAATCATAAATTTTTCTTAAAAATTATAATAAAACAGTTTCTGTTCAATCTTTGGCACAAAAACATTTCAAATTTGAAGAGCAACGATGAATGTCCATTTTTGGTAATTTAATGCATCATATTTTTCATCCTGAAAAGCTACACCTTTCGGTCCCTAAATAAACGGGAATATCGATAACGGTCACATAGAAGCAAGCATTTAAAAATGGGAAAATGTCCATGCGTAATATGAATTAAAAAGCGCTCTCTTGAACATTTATCGTTTTTGGACCGTCATCGTTTTTCCCGTGTGCTCTTCATCTATTATTTCAGTCTAATAAACTATCTATAAAATAGTCAACATGTTTAATTTATGTCAATGATGACATGTTGTATTGATTATTTCGATTCCAAATATCTCGAGAACTAAAGTCTGTGTTACGAATCAAGGAAAATTTCGACAGAAGAGATCCAAAAAATGACAGAAAATGCAATTTGACTGTGAATTAAAATTACAGAGACAATTGTCACTGTCAGGAATCCTGTTGTTGGACAGGTAAATGACGGGAATGTATATTTTCCGCCCCGGACACTTTAAAATCCGGACATGTCCTGGTAAATCCGGACGTATGTAAACTCTACTCTTACATAGTGTACTTTTTGACAAAAGATATTGTAATTGTAATTTTAATTATCATTTTTTTTGTCTTTAAGGGTGGCTGCAACGACGTCCCGTAATTCTGCTGTTAAAATATAGCAGCTGGTTTTTATATACAGGGTGGTCCGAACTGTATTCCGGTAACTTCGGCCGCATATTCTGCAGATAAAAATAAGTAAAAAAGTTCGTATAAATGTATGTCCTAAAACGCTTAGTTTCGGAGATACAGGGTGTGGAAGTTTCATTTTTATTTCGATTTTTTCCAAATTATTTCTGAAGTAACCTCAATATTTGGATGAAAATTGTGTGTCTAGAAGTTTTTGACATGAGAAATTCGATTTTGATGTCAATATGACTGCTATTTGTAGAGGACACCACCTACATGTGTTTTAACTCTTTTGAATAGTAATAACTTTTCGTCCGTAACTGTATAAAACTACTGAGTGAAAAAATATACACTTCCATCATTTTTGACGTAAAAAATGTCTCTAGATAAAAATCGCTATGAGCAACCGTTCTCAAGATATTTAGAACGGAAATAGTCAATACATATATATCATTATTGACAAGAAATAAATACGTTCAGTAGATAGTTCTTTGACTGAAATAATAAATTTGAGAAATTTTTATATTTTTAAATCAATCATTATTTTTTCTGTGAAAAAATTATGATAAACAATTTCTGTTGAACTTTTGACACAAAAACATTTCAAATTTATGGTTTCAGTCTAATAACTATTTATTCAATATTATGTTTAATTTATATGATAATAGGTATTGATAATTTTAATTCCAAATATCTAGAGAACCATTACTCGTAGCGATATTACCCAAGAGACTTTTTTTGCGTAAAAAACGTCGTAAATGTATATTTTTTTACCAAGTAGTTTTATACAGGTACGGACGAAAAGTTATTACTCTTTAAACCAGTTAAAAATATGTAGGTGGTGCCCTCTAGAAGTAGGAGTTATATTGACATCAAAATCAAATTTCTCATATCAAAAAACTTCTAGACACCAAATTTCATTCAAATATTGACGTTACTTCAGAAATTATTTGGAAAAAATTGAAATAAAAATGAAACTTCTACACCCTGTATCTCCGAAACTAGGCATTTTAGGACATACATTTATACAAACTTTTTACTTATTTTTATCTGCAGAATATGCGGCCGAAGTTTCCGGAATACAGTTCGGACAACCCTGTATAAAAACCAATTGATATATGTTTTAACAGCAGGATTACGGGACGTCGTTGCAGCCACCCTTAACAGCACTATTTCCCAACTGATTCTTTTGAGATCTAAGGTTTTGATAAATAAAAATACTCGGCTTCCTTTTAAAGCTTATATTAAAAATATTCTCGAAACCGTTCACGAAGTGACCAGCGCCTGGCTTCTTTCATACCACTTCCCCAATCCCACGTTGAGGTCCTTCGCCAGGTGGCATTGCCTGACGGCGGAATAAGCGGCAACGTCGAGCACGCTGGGCTGGCTTCTACCGGCCAACCACTGCGACTTGCTCAGCGACTTTTGCAGAGTCTGCAAGATTTCGGAGCGTTCGGTTTTCGTTTTCGCCCTCACCAACAGGTAGCACTGATCCAGGAGCGAGTCTATTTCGTTGGATTTGACGTCGGAATCGTAGCTAAGTTGGGTGTCTGTCGATCGCGAAAGGTAGCGCAGGAAGTTCACTTCGCCGGAGATAGGAGTATGCGCAATGAGGAACTCGACATTTGAACTAACTGAAAAGAAAGAAAAATTACTAAATACAAGATTATTCAAGCTCATATACAGAGTGGTCCGAACTGTATTCCGAAAACTACGCCAGCATATTCTGCAGATAAAAATAAGTAAAAAAGTTTGTATAAATGTATGTCCTAAATTGCTTACTTTCAGAGATACAGGGTGTAGAAGTTTCATTTTTATTTCGATTTTTTCTAAATAATTTCTGAAGTAACGTCAATATTTGGAAAAAAATTGGTGTCTGGGAGTTTTTTGACAGGAGAAATTTGATTTTGGTGTCAATATGACTCCTACTAGTAGAGGGCGCCATCTACATGTGTTTTAACTGTTTTGAAGCGTAATAACTTTTCGTCCATGCCTGTATAAAACTACTGAGTAAAAAAAATTACATTCACAACCTTTTTTACGTAAGAAAGGTCTCTTGGTAAAAATCGCTACGAGTAACGGTTCTCGAGATATTTGGAATTGAAATTATCAATACCTGTCATCACTGACATAAATTTGAAATCTTTTTGTGCCAAAACTTCAACAAAAACTGTTTAATCATCATTTTTTCGCAGAAAAATTTATGATTAATTTAAAAAAATAAAAATGTATCATTTCAGTCAAATAACTATACTAAACGTGCTTATTTTTTGTCATTAATGACATGTATTGTCTATTTCCATTCTAAATATCTTCAGAACGGTTACTCGTACCGATTTTTACCAAGAGAATTTTTTTACGTAAAAAATCACGGAAGTGTATATTTTTCACTCAGTAGTTTTATACGGATACGGACGAAAAATTATTACTCTTTAAAACAGTTAAAACACATGTAGGTGGCGTCCCCTTCAAATAAGAGCCATATTGACATCAAAATCAAATTTCTCATGTCAAAAAACTCACAGACATTTTCATCCAAATATTGACGTTACTTCAGAAATGTGGATAAACAAACTTTTTTACTTATTTTTATCTGCAGAATATGCTGCCGAAGTTTCCGGAATACAGTTCGGACCATCCTGTAGATAACTACAAACAAATTTATCCTAACGTTTCCGGAAATACAGGATGAATTTTAAAATGTTGCATACTGTATATTACTTTTTATTTTATTTCCCTTCTTATGAGCTTTCTAAAAATATAATGTATTCTATACTTATTATCATAAATAAGATAAAAATTAGTAGTGGGAACTATCGAATGAATACTATCGAAACATTCGATAGTCGCAATTCATTCGAATAATTCGATAGTAAGAAAACATTCGTTGAAAACTATTCGAATAAAAATTATCGAATAGATCCGTCATCTGCCTTGAAATATTGTATTCTAGTAATTCGGCAGCAAAAACCATTCATTTATGAAATTCATTTATTCGTCAGGATCGATTATAATAAAATATTAACTGAATTTTAGTTGTCGCCCGGCGACGTAGGTTTCTTTCCGAGAAACCCGACAGCGGTCGGTGGCAATGCTATGAAAGAAGCCGGCATCTTTGATTTTTTGCGGAGTCAGATATAGATAAGGACACATTATTTTTTTTTATTGAGGTGCTAGTATTTACACAGAAAATACATTATGAAGGGCGCTGTTGCCATATTTTGGTATTAGTTGATATTAGCAAAGAATATTATTGTTTGGCTTTAGTTAGTTAGGGATAGTATGTCTATATATTCTGCATTTTTTTTATTAATATTCTGTTGTTACACTGCAATAATACTTGTTATTTTGGATGTAAGAAAATGATTTTTAATGTTTTTAAGCAAAGACTGGTTTAATAAATAATAATAACAGCAATAATTTGTTATACCTATTAACAACAAAATTTAAAATGATTTAATATAAATATTTTTTTTAGTAGTAGCAAAATATAAACAACAAATTAGATGTCAAAATTATTTATATTAGATCCTATTTAAAAATAATATAGTCTCTAAATTTTTTTGGCAACGTTGGTTTATTAAATAATAATAATTACAGAACTAATTTGTTATATTAACAACAAATTTTAAAATCATGAAATATAAACATTTATGAATTTTCTAAGCATGCAGTGTAATGGAACGAAAATATAAATAAAAAATTAGAAATCAAAATTATTTATATTAGGTGGTTTATATTACTATTTAAAAATTATATTTACTTTTACTGGCATTTACTTTAAAAAATAAATGAAATATTTCTTCGCAAAAAACTACATGTAAGAGAATTAGCATAAACAAAATTATTTTTTTTTTAAAATTGACAAACATCGTTAATTTTTTTTTTAAAATTGACACGTGTAAAACTTTCATTTTAATTTTCTCACCCCATAGTTTGAGTTCGATAACCATTTACTTAACCACATTACTTAAATATGATTATTAAGTTCAACTAATTCATATTATTAAAACATCTAAAATACAAATATGTATTTTTAAAATTAATTCAAAGTTCATATCATCTCTCTTAAAAATTGCTACTTCTCAAAATTTCCCATTAAAAAATAGACCATATACCATATAAAATTAAATAATTGAAAGATCGGACTACGGAAAACCATACAAATTTTCGGAAAAATTTTGACCACCTGCACATGCACACAATCGTCAATAAATAAAATTAAAAAATAACTACTATTTTAGTATTTTAACTATTTTAATAAACGCAAAAATAGCACAGTATTTATACGGCGAAGTTATAAAAATTTGGAAGAACTAATAATGCACTGACGCATACAAAAATCAAACGAATACTAAATTTCATTTTTCATTTATCAAAAGCATTCGATAGTCGTGGCGCAACGATAACCATTTGGTCGCACGGCGAGGTTGTCACATATGCTTTAGTATACAAATGAATGAATGATTTTATTCGAATAAAACCATTCGATAGTTGAAATCATTCATTCATTAACCATTCGATAGTCTAATTCATTCGATAGTTCCCATCGCTAATAAAAATGCATTATTTAACTTTTAAACATAAATCAAAAAAAGTATTATTTTATTTAATTTAATTTAATTTAACCAGATAATTTTGCTTTCCATCGTGTTATCTTAATAAACTGCACTGAAAATGAACGCGTGCAGCTTTTAGATAGCACGCTGTCAGTTATTGATATTTTTGACGAACTTGTGCAATCATTTCACACAGAAACCAGCGTGGAATGCTAATAACCACAATTTGACGTCAAATCAATTATTCGATTGTTTTGATTACATTATTTAGACCGGCCGTCTATGGGGTGTAGCATCTTTAGTTTCATAAAAAAGTACCGTATGATCGACAAAAAAAACGGCGTCCAGTTGGCTGGGAAATGACGATCGATGACATTTCCCATATAAATTTACATATAAAATGACTGCGATCTTCATTTCATAGCCGTCGCTGACGCCGTTTTCTTCCGATCATACGGTAGTACAGTAATGTAAAAATCGCATCTTTGTACAGGGTGGCTCGAATTCGACGCTCATCATTGGGATTTCGGAAACCGTAAGAGATACAGGATCGGTTAAATGGAGGCAAAGTTGCGCAATTTGATGCTCAATAAAATGAAGTATTGCATTTTGAAAAATTCCGAATATATTGGAAAAAAAAACGGAATTTTCAATTTTGTTTTCTATTGATTCCTGGCTTTATTTGTTAAGATAACTTAAAATGAAAAACACATTTTCATGGCCAGTTTTTCTGTTCTATAACTCTGTGCGATTAAATATTAACTCTGACGTTTCGGCTTCTGGCGACCATCATCAACTTAATTTTTTTTAAATACGGACCTGATTTTTTTTTCAATTTAATTAAATCCTTTCATCGCTCTTAAACGTACGTACAGAAATTCGTACGTTTCATACAGAAAATTTCATCACAAGAATATTTTATGCAAAAAAAAATAAAAATGCAATACGGCATTTTATTGAGCATCAAATTGCGCAACTTTGCCTCCATTTAACCGATCCTGCATCGGTTTCCGAAATCCCAATGATGAGCGTCGAATTCGAGCCACCCTGTACATCTACTCATACATAAGAAATCCTGTAAAATACACGAAAATGGGACACTACTGGAGAGTATCTAAATATGTGAAGGAGGCTACACCAGATCTCGAAATGGTTGAATAAGCTGAAAATGTTGATGATGATATTACATAATATGACTCTTTCAATAGTAAAATATAAGACAAAAAATCATTAGATGTCTGATAAAAATTTACTATTGGGCGACTCTGTACATACTTATTTTTACTATTTAATGCAATCATATATATATTAACTAACGTATATTGACTCCAAACTGCATTCTGTGAAGCCGAGCCGGTGAAATCATATACGTATTACTTTTTACAAATATACTCAGCCTAATCTCCAAAAAGTGAAGCCCAAACAGTGAAAGAACAATATGGAATTCTGCATAAGTCTATTTCACCTGGATATTCATTTAACTGAGCATGCCTCACCTGAAGAAGTTTTCATTGGTCGATGTTTTTAAAGCGAAGTGGTTGACTGACATTTCACCTAACCTTCAATTTTATTTATATTTTTATTATTTATAACACATTATCATGGAGTTGGAAAAATATCAAAAAATAGTTGGAAACAATAAACTAAACAAAATCACTCTTTTACGCGCACAAATAAAAAGTAATCCAACAGAACTAAAACAACAATCAATCGGAGTTTGGCGCAATCGCAGTTCAATCCATATCCGGATGAAATAGACTTATGCAGTTTTAATATGGAGCTGGGTTATGTTGTCTTTTTCTTACGGCACAGAAATTGCACACAGGGTTAAATAGGGAACCCTGAGTATATTTGTAAAAAGTAATACGTATATGGGTGAAATGGGTATATAAATCTTAGCTCAGTTAGTGGAGCACAAGCGTTGTACGCAAGCGTGAATTTTTAATTATCGATCGGATAACTTAAACCAATCAGAGCGTAAGCTGTTCGTTCTTACGACTTCGTACAGCTTCGTACGGCTTTCGCTCGCGCTTTTTTCAGCTGTTCGAATTTGAAATTCGTTCCGACGATTAATATAAATAATAATGTTAATAAATTCCATTAGTAGAATAAAGTTATTTTATCCTACTAGCTTATAAAATATCACTTTAAACGTGGATAAAAAATGCTTAATATGATTGTAGATTAAATGACTTATTAATGTTTTAAATAATTAAATGGTTACACAGTTTTACCACGGTTTTACTGCCTGCCACTCAATGCTATTTTAGACAATATTAATTTTATTATCTTTTAACCATACAGAATACCAAACATTTAAAGTATATAATAAAAGAGTAATTATAGATATTAATATTATATACAGGGTGAGAGTTTCCTAGGATGTTCTCTATGGGTATCTCGGAAACTACTGGAGATAGAGAGTCAGTTAAATGGGGAAAGAATTGCAGTTTTGTGGGGTCATAAATGCGCTTTTCAGATTTTCTTCTTTCAGTTAAAATGCGCTTTTCAGATTTTCAAAAAAAAGTTCATGGCTTACTAGATATATCGAAAAAAACAAATTTTGGCTATTTTAAAAATTGTCCCTAATTCCATTATAATCTATTTTAGACAAAAAGTTTTTAGATAAAAGTTGTAGATAATCACATCCCTAATGAGATTGTGCTCTCCGATTTTTTCTAAAGCCTGTCATTTTTGACATATGACACAAACATATGTTTTTTTAAATGGAAACCATAGTTGGCCATGACTTCATGAATAGCGCCTTTTTTTAAGCTTCTCAGCGATATAAGCTATAATATGTTTCTTTCACAAAATTACTGAGTTATAGCCAATTCTTATCTTTCTCGACTAATTTCACTTAGTTAGCCATGGAAACAAGTTCAATCGTTGTTGCTCTCAGAAATGTGAAATTGTCACATCCAATCTTTGCAAATTAAAATAAACAAAAATTGTAAATACGAGTTTTACAAATGAATAAAACCATGTAGAATCATTGGTTCAACTTTATTGGGCCATACAGTTTCGAGAATACGTTGACTAAATACGTTGTCTAAAATAGATTATAATGGAATTTGGGACAATTTTTAAAATAGCCAAAATTGTTTTTTTCGAAATATCTGGTAAGCCACGAACTTTTTAAAAAATCTGAAAGGTGCATATTTATGACCTCACAAAACTGCAATTCTTTCCCCATTTAACCGACTCTCTATCTCCAGTAGTTTCCGAGATGCCCATAGAGAACATCGTAGGAAACTCACCCTGTATTAAAGAGTCGCTCTTATTTAGTACTTTATTTACCATCTATTTATTCTATTTTAGTGCCTCTAAAGAACATGCACCTTAACATCTCAGACAAAATAGAAAAAGAGTAGGTATATTATTACATTAAACATTTTACTTTTGAAAAATAAAACATGTTTTTAATCTATATTAATTTGTGCAATATTAAAGTGCCATAAATTTTTTTTTATAACAATTATATTTTATACCAATGTGGTTAACAAATTCTAAATGTAAATTGAAAAATATTTCTTATACGCAAATATTTACTCACTGTTTTTCCAAATTAGAGAAACATTTACTACGGGTACTACAGCTGGCAATTTGAAATTTTCTAGGGATGATTTCAGAACATTAGCTTGATCTGGTAGAGAAGCAATTGTCGAATGTAAATAGGACGTAACAACTAATGCGATTTGGTTTTGCAACAGTCTTTGAAGAATTTCTAGTGAATAGGGTGGTGAGTCTGGATTAGCATTGATCACGATAGTGCTAGGAATGTTGTTTTTCTAAAACAAACCATATCATTTTAAGTTACAAACATTCAATCAACTTGGTAAAATATTCATTACTATTACTTCTATATACTTTTTACTTACAGTACGTTTACTAGCTGTACATTGTGCCACTTTTGGAATTACTTTTGAACTCGTATCATTTTGGATGTTTAAGTCACATTTTAATGAATGAATTTGTTTCTTCAACTGTTCGAGCTGTTTTAGGATGTCATTTTGTTTAGCCTCTAACTCTGCCATCCCTGGAATACCTTGGCTATTCTATATTGAAATTCTTTAATAAATTATCTAATAAAAACAAGAAATAAGGCGCTAAATATGATGAAAAAAGGAGTTTACACTTTGAGGCATAAAATATTGGGGTAAGTTAAGAATAGGTTAATAGAATATAATGATGTTATATTTTAAGAGGACATTTTAATGTTCCACCATCATTTTCATTACTTATTTCAGTTTTATTTGACAGTTGTTCACAAAAATTGATAACTGTAGTATCATGCCTGTGAATTTTCAAGATTTTGTGGTAAGTAAGGCAGTTTTATTACCTCAAAAGTGTATAGAATTGGTCTTAAGATGTATATAAATAAGAAAATGATATAAAACCTTTAAAAACTGTTTAACCTGGTCGAAAATATCCAATTTTTGATTCGGTAAAGAAACGTGATCTTCAGTGCCATCAGCCTTATTTCTTGAGCTGTGAATATTGTTCATACGGTACATACACTTCGGTAACTCGACTGCAAAATCGTGCACAACAATTGGCTTCATACGATACATTTTTGTTGGGCCATTCATGATTAATTTAATAAATCCAGATCTTTGTAGAAATTAGTTTTCACTTATTTTTTGTCTGTCACAGAAACTTCCTCCGCCCTTTCACAATAGTCGGTGTTTTTGGTCAGTGACGTATTTAATATGAATACGTATTTTCATAGTTTGAACTGATTTGAATACCTTTCTGGTAAAAGCAGTTTATTCCTCAAACTGTTTTTTAGGTTGTGCTTGGATTACAGAGTATTACTTTTTTTAAATGTTTTAATAAAAACTCCGGAACAAATTACTTTAATAAATTTTTCAAATATCCCACTCTTTCAGCTAGGTTATCTCTATCTCTCTTTCCGGTGGCGCATCTGCGCCGGAAGTATTATGTAATGACGATTTTTTTTAAGAAAAATTCATTTAACATTACAAAAATATTGATTAAAAATCCCAGTGAAAATTATCATGCTATCAATTTTGTCGATTACTTTCTTTTTCTTTTCAAAATTGCAAATTATTGAACAGACGATGGTAACGACACCTGCTGCCGATGTTTTAAACTTCACTTCGAAGCTTGTAAACCAAGCCTCGTTTGCGGAAATTTCTCATTTTATTAAGTATTTTTACCAATTATATTCTTTTTCTGTGCTAAATTTGTTTTTAATAGTGTCGTAAGTATGTACGCTGCAAAAGTGACAAAAAATCTGAATAGGTGGTGAAATTTTTAAAAAAATCTTGCAAGTTGTCATGGCGGCGTTTACGGTCGACCAATAGGAACGCTAGATGCTATAGTCGAAGAGTGTACTTTTTCGCTTTGGCTACGCGTCATCTTAAAATTCTCCCATTCTCAGCTAAAATGGAGTCTATAGATAGTAAGAAATAGTGAAATTGGACTGGTGTATTCTATTCTTAACAGGAATTTCATAAGATTTCATCGAGTTCTTTTATAAAACGAGAAAATGTCTATTGTTGTCACGTGACGTATTCGATTAGTATGGCGAAAGTGCAAGCGACGACTGTGAGTGGATTTAAGTAATTTTTGACATTCGTATTTGTATACAAGTTTGTTTTTATAATATCCCACGTGGATTAGGATTACCGTATGACAGTTTAATAGCACGATGTCAACAAGAGGTGCAAAAAAGAGGGGTCGCCCCCCTAAGGTGCAGGTAGCCGAAAGAACTAAAAAATTTCAATATCACCTCCTAAAAAAACCAAAATACTTGCTAAATTATCAAAAGAAGGAGTCTGACTCCCAATCTAGCACTCCTTCGGCGTCTCGAGCTTCTTCGCCTCAAGATGATTCGCATAGGAGAAGCAGTACAAGAATTAGAGGTAAAGATGGGCATAGAGCGGGTAGAAAAAGTGGTTATGCTGGTTCTGCTTATCAAAGAAGAGGATACAATACTGCTTATCAGGACTACCAAGAATCTGAATACCATTACGGTTCAGATTTTGGTGATGAATCTAGTGACAAAAGTGATATTGAAGATGAACTATTAACAGACAGTGATATTGAATCGAATGGTGGAAATGCCAGTGATAGTGACTTTTCTTTAAGTAGCTTTAGTACAATGAGTGGCACACCTCGAAAACAAAATGCTGCCTTAAATAGAGCTCCCACACCCGAACCCCTCTGGTTGCAAAATCGAGATATACCATCCTTAACATTACCGAAATCATCTGATGATCTTCTGGTCCCTAAAGAACGAATTATGGAAGTAGTTAGTATATATGAAGTCCTGAGACATTTTCGGAATTTGGTAAGGTTGTCACCTTTTAGATTAGAAGATTTTTGTGCAGCTCTTATGTGCGAAGATCAAAGTAGTTTACTGTCAGAAATTCACATAATGTTATTGAAAGCTTTATTAAGAGAGGAGGATTCACAACAGACCCATTTTGGTCCTCTAGATCAGAAGGATAGTGTAAATATTGCACTTTATTTAATTGACAATATCACTTACCCAGAAGTTTTAAGATGTTATGTAGAGAGTGATAAGAATTTTGATCAATCTATTATTACTACATTAAATACTTCAGACTACCCATTTGCAAATTTAGAAGATAGGATTAAAGTGCTTCAGTTTCTCACAGATCAGTTTTTGATTACAAACCCTGTAAGAGAAGATTTGCTAAGTGAAGGTAACTAACATTATATTCATAACTTTATATTATACTGTTAATTATTATGTTATTATTTTGCAACAAACAGCTGGTTAATAGTCATATAATGATTGTTTGAGATTTATTTTGGTTGTTAAGCATTTTATAATGTTGTACTTAACATTCTATTTATAAGAACTTCATTAACACTTATAGTGTTAATTATTATGAGGTTATTTTGCAACAATTTATTCTTTCGTGAGAGGCTGATTGATAGTTATAGAATGATTGTTTTATATTTATTTGGTTTGTTAAGCATTTTATAATGTTGCATAATATAAAATTTGTTTATTAATTCATATTTATTTAATTTTTCTTTACAGTGCCTATGCACTATGATGACCACTGTCGCGTCTGTCACAAATTGGGAGACCTCCTCTGCTGTGAAACCTGCCCAGCAGTTTATCATTTGGAGTGTGTGGATCCCCCCTTAGTTAATATCCCGGAGGAAGATTGGCAGTGTGGTATCTGTCGGTCTCACAAAGTATCAGGAGTTGTTGACTGTGTGCTTGATTTGGAAAAGCAAGGGCAGCTCTCTCGGCAAGAAGCTCTGGGCTATGATAGACATGGAAGAAAGTATTTCTTTTTATGCCGCAGATTATTTGTGTAAGTATATTTTTGATATTATACTTTGTAAAATTTTATTTGATATATGTATTTGCAATTCAATTAATTCTTCGACTTATATTTAATTTAAGTCATTTTTAAAATTTACTATCTAGTCATTGTTTTTAATTTTTTAGTTTTATATATTTTAATAAATTGAACTTATAGATAAATGAAAATTAATTTTACATAATATGGGGTACCTATGTAATGTGTAAATAATTGTGAAACTTGAGGAGTGGATTGCTTTTTAAGGAGATAAAGGGCTATTTTGTATAAATATTTTCAGTTTGGTATTTGCCTACAAAGATATTAGGTGATATAGGATGAACTAAAATGATATTATGGAGTTTTTTTTAAAAAGCAGTTTATTCTAATAAGTTAAAATTAGTATGTAGGTTACACTAATTAAACTGAATCTATTTTCTTAATTGATTTTGATTTCATTTGTACTGATCAAACAGAGTATACCGGGTGCGTCTCAAAAGTGGCTCACCCCTATAACTTTTTTATTTTTTCAGATGAAAAACGATATTTGGAATATTACTATATAACATAAATTAGGATTTTGATGTATTCAATTTTCTTTGGTCACTTCCTCACATCACTCATCACATTTTCACTTAAAAGCAAATCCTATTTTAAATTTCTATTCAGAGTGTCATGGCTGTGTTAAAACCACTAATTTTTTTATCAAAGAGCCTTGGAAAAATAGTTTTGATCATCTAATGTTTTTCGTGTCTTGTCTTGGCTGGTTAAAAGATGCCCAAATCGTATTTTAATCATATCCCAATTTTTTCAAATGAAACAAGGGTGGCTCATTAGCATATTTGAATAAAGTAAAGGTATTTCGACTGAAATTGTCGTTATTAACCGCATGTTACAATTTCAAATAAACCATACGTGAAAATGTCAAAAGTTGACATATGATATGTCATTCTATTCAGAGAGGCATATTCTATTGAATAAAGTAGAAATACACTGAGGGTGTCATTTAAAAATCAAAAGTTGTAGTCATTTCCGGTGAATGAGGAGGTGACCAAAAACAATTGAATACATCAATCAATCCTAATTTATGTCATACTAATATACCAAATCTCGTTTTTTAATCTGAAAAAATAAAAAAGTTATAGGTTATAGGGGTGAAATTGTCGTTATGAACCGCATGTTACAATTTCAAATAAACCATACGTGAAAATGTCAAAAGTTGACATATGATATGTTATTCTACTCAGAGTGGCATTTCTTATTTGAATAAAGTAGAAAATAACGAGGGTGTCATTTAAAAATAAAAAGTTGTCATTTCCGGTGAAGGAGGAGGTGACCAAAAACAATTGAATACATCAATCAATCCTAATTTATGTCATCATACCAAATTTTTTAATCTGAAAAAATAAAAAAGTTGTAGGGGTGAGCCACTTTTGAGACGCACCCAGTATATAAAATAAACTTATTTGGAAAAATTTTTGGTTTTTACAAATATATCTAGTCAATAAATAGAAAGGTAATGGTATATTTACTTTTCACTATGTATTTTGCTATTGCTTTGATGATGATGATGATTTGATGTTCTAAATACATACTTATTATTGGTTACATTTTTATAAATGTAAACAATGAAAAAAAGTATAAGTACAAGTATTTATTTAGGTGTTGCTGTTAAGTTTTCTTCAATTTTGTTTATTTTTTAACAGCGAAAGTGAAGATGGAGAAGTCTGGTATTACTCAACTTCAGTACAGTATGAACATTTACTCAGCCATCTTGATAAAGATGACATGGAATCATCTTTATATAGAGAACTCCAAGACTACAAAGATGAAATTTGTAGACAGATGGACCTTACCGAGAAACTCACTAATCAATATAAGGGCGCAAAGAAAACCTATCTTGATGTGGAGAACGCAAATATCTTGAAAGCGATTAAGGAGCGCGAAGAAAAACTTGAAGAAGAAAGAAAAGAGAAACAGAGACAAAATGCTGAAGATATGGTGGCAAAGATGCATGAAGAAATTTCAGATGTGGCCTACCATGAATCTGTAACCACCTCTGAACTTACAGAAACAAGTAGTAATGGAGCAGGAAACATTGCAACAGCACAATCAGTAGAGAAGGATTTACAAGATGAAGATGATGAGAAAAATAAAGATTTAATAACAAGACCTAAGACAGCATCATCAACTTCACGCAGTTTGAACTCTGAAGATTTAAAGAAAAAAATGATATTGGGTAAAGATGATGATGAGTCTAGAATGACAAGATTGAGATCTAATCAGATAGCTAATGGAACGTATCTCTATAAACTTGGTATGGAGAATACATTTAAAAGTTATGTGAATCAATTTACCACCAATATAATAGCCCTAAACAAACCCCAAAGGAACGAGGAAAGAGACAAGAAAAGACATTTGTCTCACAAATTCTCACTCACTCCTGCTTCAGAGTTTAAATGGGTAGGAGGTACAAACGGTACTAAACATATCATGATGAACACTTTGAGACATACAATCCTTCAACTGGAACAAGTTATTCCATCTCCATTTATGCACCCAAATTGGCAGCTAGTTAGAAAGCACTGGCTCAATATTGTAGGAGGTTGTCAAACGCCCAAAGATTTCGCCAAGGCTTTGATAGTGTTACAAGCCTGTATAAAACCAGTTTGTTTTGCAAACGTTTGGCACGATCAGCTGGGCCACGTCAAGCTTTTTAGAATAACCGCTCAAGAGAGAGAAGAAAGAAAGAAGATGGAGAAACGCGAAAAGAAGGAACGCGAGGAGGAAGAAGAAAGGAATCGCCTCATAATTAGCAGTTATGTCAAATACACCATGAGTTTTAAACATCAGTTGTGGAAGCAAAAGGGCGAAGAGTACCGGATACATGGCCGCTGGGGATGGTTATGGATTAGAACTCCACGAAACTTCCGACACGTAGATTCGAAAAAGATGGGTTTGTCTGGCGATCCGCAAAGGTACATGCTCCAAATCAGAGACAAAGCTGGTCAAAAGAAAATAGTCTCTTTAAGCCCCAACATGTATAGGTTCCTGATGAATAAACTGAATAACAAAGACAACGCCGAATCTAGCGAAAACAAAGTAATCAGCGAAACTGATAAGAAAATCGAAGAAGCATTTCCAGAAGTTCTAAAAAACATTGAACTTATTCCTCCTGTCAGTCAGTTTGAGGAAATTGACGTTACTAAGGCCCTAACTTCACCTGGAAGGTTATTTTATCCAAAAGTAGCAAAGAAGGGTATTCTGGACGATCTTCTAGCCAGGCGATTACAATTGAAAGTTTTAGAAGAGCGTAAGATTGCTCAGAGTAAAGCTGGGGAATCACAAAAAGAGGAAGAAACCATAGATGTAGATGGTGATGATGATTCACCAGCTGAAGGTATTGATAAACAACTTAACAACATGTTATCTGGTAAAATGTCATTAAGTAACGCAAGTATTTCTCTAAATAAGGAAGTTTTGAATAACATTACAAAGAGAATAAATACTCTCAGGTCTCAGTATACCGCTATATCAAAAGTAGCTAAAGACTTTCATTGTTATGCCCAGCAGTGTAACTCAGCTAACAGTATACAAATAGAGAGCAGCTGCTATTCTCCTCTTTGCATTCAGAGAGTGAAAATTCGTAGAGAGTTACTGACTCTTTTGAGAAAAGCCAATGTCGCCACAAATAGTTCCACGCCTATTAAGCCAAACAGTGGAAATTCTGTTGTTACTCCTAATAAGAAAGTTTCCATACTGGAACAAACATTACAGTCGTCCACGCCAGGAGTATCTTCACAGGAAAACAAAGAAAAAACTGATGAGGAAAATAAACCTACTCAAGCGAGTTTGTGTAAAGATATAGTAAACGCTGTTTTGACAGCTGAAAGTGCTGACGACGATTCTAAACAGGATGTGTATATTCCGGCCAAACCTGAAAAAATTGAACCTAAACCAGAAATTGTTAAAAACGAAGACAAACCTATTGAACCTAAAGATGAAACGAAAGAGGAGGTTAAAGAAGACTTATCAGAGCTGAAGGACGAACCTATGGATATTGACGTTACCTGTACCTCTCCTGTGAAGAAAATTAAATTAAAAGACGAAGAGGAGGACATGGACGTAGACATGAAGGATATATCTCCTGATACAATTAAAGAGATGATTTTAGGCTCCAAGTCTGACGTCACTCAAATCGTAACTACGACGACTACATCAACTACCACAACGGCCACTCGGTCTACCGATGGTAAAATTAAGACGATATCTGCCGTTCAGAGCACCTCAAATTCAGTGACGGTTAAATCGGCCAACGGGATGGGCCATACTATTCAAACCTTGAATTCGAAGACCGCCACCTATAGCGCCCAGCAAAACAGGAGGTTCTGTCAGTACCGTATGGGGTTGAAACGAGAAGAGAAAGTTGTGAAAACCGAACATGCGGAAGATGGTAGTGAAAGAGTATATTCCACTACATCCACTGAAGGAAAAATTTTCCTTAAGAAGATACCGACTCAGATGGAGTTAAGACGCAAGAGGCGTCAGGTGGTGAAGTACCCCGCTTGCTCCAAGTTCCAGTCTAAAAAAGGCGTGGCATCTATGCTCGTTTTACCACAACACGACGTAAGAAAACTAGCAAGAAATGCCGGCAGAATCTATATATCTGGATACAATTTCCTTGCCAAACAGAACAACTCTGTATGGCCGTACCCTTGTGCAAGACCCTTATTCAAAACCTGCTGGATCTACAGAACAGTAAACTTAAAATCGTTGGCGGCGGCAGCTCTACAGTTGCGTATACTTTGGGCCACGCTTCGATGGGACGACATGCAAACTAAACCCCCTACCACCGATGGCAAGCACCAGATCACTACAGAAACGGAAATCTTGTCTTTGGAGCTGTTGAAGCATAGGCACATGGGCCAATTTTTGGAGAAAACGCAGTATATGAGGAGGAAGGTGGTGATTCCGTTGGAATTGCCGAAAACTATGAGGGAGGTCACTTCTATCAGGAGCGGATTGAGGAAGAGGAAGAGACCTGAGTCGCCCCAGAGCATGGATCCGCAAGTTACCGAGGAATGGGTGGACGAGGACAAGTTGGAATTGTGGGAGATCAAGCAGTATGGAGAGAAGTAAGTGGAATTATTTTTTAATGCTTATTTTAGATATACAGTCCAATTTACGAAAGGTGGCGATTGCGCCAGAAAGATTTTATTTAGAAAAGACATGCCAGATCAATACTTATGTGTTAGTTATATAGTTAGTTATAAATAATGTGTTAGACTGAGATAACTTGTCAAAATATTGTTTTAGGACAGGGAATGATAGTTCAATTCCCAGATCAAAGATGCTTTTTTCTTGTCGTATTATATTCAGAGTTCAGTACCGATGAACTACATGTGTATCTGTTGAATGGATTTATTAATTGTTTAAATACAAGGTGGTTCCGAACTGTATTCCGGAAACTTCGGCAACATATTCGGCAGATAAAAATAAGTAAAAAAGTTCTTATAAATGAGGAATTTGATTTTGATGTCGGGGCGCCACCTACATGTGTTTTAACTGTTTTGAAGAGTAATAACTTTTCGTCTGTACCTGTATAAAACTACTTAGTGAAAAAAATATACATTTCCGTGACTTTTTACGTAAAAAATGTCTCTGGTAAAAATCGTTAGGAGCAACCGTTATCAAGATATTTAGAATGGAAATAGTCAATACATGTCATTATTGGCAAAAAATAAACACGTTGAGTAGATAGATATCTGACTGAATTGGGAAATTTGTATTTTTTCTGCGAAAAAATGATGATAAAACAGTTTCTGTTGAACTTTTGGCACCAAAACATTTCAAATTTATGATTTCAATCGTAATTACTATTTAGTCAACATGTTTAATTTATGTCAGTGATGACAGGTATTGATAATTTCGATTCATCGAACCATTACTCGGTAGTGAGTTTTACTAAGAGACCTTCTTTACGTAAAAAACGTCGTAAATGTATATTTTTTTGCTCAGTAGTTTTATACGGGTACAGACGAAAAGTTATTACTCTTCAAACCAGTAAAAGTATGTAGGTGGCGCCCTCTACAAGTAGGAGCTAGGGCATTCAATCCCGAAAGAAATTGTCAATCTCGGGATTTCGGGATTATAATTTTTCGATCCCGGGATTGGATTAAAAAAATTAATTACGTTGAAATTGGGTGTCCCAAAAATAAGTGCAAGTATTTTAAGGAGTGGTAGATCTCGATAAAAAATAAAATACATATATTTTCTCTTTATCATTTTACAAATAAGTCCAAAATAACGGAGTTATTTTTCTTTGAAATTTTCCCAAAAAAAATTTTTTTGCTCAAATTTTCGCTATGTTGCCATATTATCAAGAAATTATGTTTTTTAACTAAAAACTCAAAAAAATCCAAAAAATTTTGTATTTTCAAAAATTATAGGCGTGTTTCTGTGTTTGAACTATACTACCAGTTAAAATACTTGCACTTATTTCTGGGACACCTAGTATTTTCTTTCTTAACAAAATTTTATCGAACAAAAAAAAACATTAACATAAATTAAACGTCATCCCCATTACAAAACAACATAACATATAAGTTTATTTAACCAAAAAAAAACTTTAAAAGGAACTAAAATATACATTTTTTATTTAATTTACATAACCAAACGAACAAACACAGCATAACACAGGATTATGTAAGATACTAAAATACTAAGATACTAAAATAACAACTTATGCAGTAACAAAGATGAGAATCTAAACTTGTTTTTTGAAAACATTTCTTAAAAAAACAAACTGATCAAGAGAGACCCCGCGACGGAAAATATATGGTACATTGTTGCCATACATTCAGGGTTGTTTATAAGCGCATATTGTACTATCATGAAAGACTTGTGTACAATTTAAATTATAGAAAAAATGTAATGATGAATCCCGAAAATGCCGGGAGTAAATAAAAGACAATCCCGGGATTTCGGGATTGAAAAAATGCCCGGGATCCCGGGATTGAATGCCCTAGTAGGAGCCATATTGATATCAAAATCAAATTTCTCATTTCAAAAACTCCCAGACCTCAATTTTCATCCCAATATTGACGTTACTTCAGAAATTATTTAAAAAAAATGAAATAAAATTGAAACTTCTACACCCTCTATCTCCGAAATTAAGCATTTTGGGACATACATTTATACGAATTTTTTAATTATTTTTATCTGCAGAATATTGTTACGGATTCCGTGGGTCCACTATTTAAACTCACTATAAAATACTTAACGAATTTATTTGTTTCACTCTGTACACACAACTTATACTATTTACAACACAACTTATGCAACTACTATTACTCTAACGGTATTTCGCGGTATTTTCAAACTTCAGACTATCTTCAGACTTCAAACTTCAAACTTGTCCAACTGTCAAAGCGCGGGCCTTCTATACCCCCTGGCGGTTGTTTCTAGATTTTTCTAAAGAATTCTATAATTTTCTTTACTTTCTGGCGAATGCGCCAGGTTCCTCAATGCACTTTGCGATTTTAGCAGTATGCAGTGATGCAACCAGTAATACACCTTGACATTGCCCCCTTCTCAAATTTGATCGTCCCGATCAAGGTTTCCTGTCTGGTATCTCTTCAATCGATCCAGATGAACTACTTTCATCTTACTTCTAGGGCTGCGTTGAATCCGGTACACTACATCATTTATCCTCTTGATGACTGTATAAGGACCTTCCCATGCTGGAGTTAACTTTGGGGACCTTCCTTTCTTGCGCTGTGGGTTATACAACCATACTCTATCGTCCTGTTGAAATCCCGTAGAATTAGCTCTGAGGTCGTAACGAGCTTTCATCCGGTCACTGGCTAGCGTAATCTTACTTCTCACGGCCTTATGAATTCCCAATAATCTTTCCTTCCTAACGACTCTTTCGAACGACAGTCCAACGTTATCTTGTTCCATTTTTCCTCCAGATCGAGTACTTGGCAAGGACCAAGTACTCGACAAGTCTAGCTGCGCAAATCTTACAACGTTGACACCATTTCTTAACATCTTCACAATAATCCACCCAGTAAAAACGGTCTCTCAGCTTGCTCAGGGTCTTGTTTACCCCAAGATGGGCTCCAGTTTTACCACCATGAATTTCTTCCAATACCTGGATAACTTTCTTCCTTGGTACCAGTAACTGAGTTGTTACTGTCCTGCCATCCGCACTTTCCCACGTGCGCTTTAACAATCCATTCTCAATCACCAGTGAATTCCACTGGAGCCCAGAGAGCTTTGAAAACGAGCCCTCTGTCCGCAATATCCTGCCACGGTGGTCTCTCGCCGTTACCTTCCTTGAGCCGTAGTATTGCTCCGATGTCTGGATCTTCCATTTTGATCTTTCCTCAATTGTATCGTCGTCCATGGTTCGTCAGTTCTAAGCTTAAAATTCCTTATTCTGATAGTGCTTTCGCGATGTTTCATTTTCTTGTCCAAGGTAGCTCGTCGTCGATCTAGGTCGTTGTCGATAATTTGTACCCGTCCTACACGGCACCCAGCGGTTTTCTCTAGTTTCCCGAACACAGTCTTCTTGGTATCACCAGGTATCATCACAATTTCCGCTGATCTTGCTTCCATATTTCCTGGTCTCTTCTCTTTAGATACAGAAAATTCCTCATTTCCGATTTTCAGGATGTTTCTATGGTGATCAAACGAAAAACCATGTTGACTGATCACATCCATACCCATGATAAAATCATCTTCAATGTCTGCCACTAAAACGCTATGCGAAACTTCCAAATTCCCTAACTCCAATTCCATGAAAGCCTCTCCCCGTACAACGGCCATTTCCCCCGTAACTGTACGTAAATACACTCTTCTTCTAAGAGCATCATCTTCAATCCTTGCACTGAGTTAGTCCCGCACCAACGATACCATAGCGCCTGTGTCCACAGTCATTCCGAATTCTTCTACCATTGACCTTCCCGTTGATCACCAAACTGTCAGCGGTTTTCCCTAGACTCTAACGGAAAACATCCTAGGGGCTCTGTTTTCTTCAGCCAATACTCGCTCGTTAGTGTTGATTTCCTGGTGCCTATGTTCTCTCGATGGTAAACGGAATCGCATTTGGACGCGGCAATCCCGTTTGATGTGGCCATTCCTGCCACATCTATAGCAACTTATGTCCTGGGATCTTCCGATGTGCCGATGTTCTCTGGATGGTGAATGGAATCGCATTTGGATGCGACAATCCCGTTTGATGTGGCCATTCCTGCCACATCTATAGCACCTTATGTCCTGTGATCTTCTATGGTTCTCTGTCTGGGTGTTGTTGCTACCCTTGTTCACTAGTAACTCACATAGTTTACTAAACATCTCCTCCAAACGTATGTGAGAACTTCCGGGCTGTTCCTCGACCGTTACCGATCTTATCTTCGGTCTTGGGATGGCGCTAAAAGCAGCTTCAATTTCTAGCGCCCTGACCAGTGCTTCGCTGCTGGTAGAAAATCGGGATATTTGCAGCGCCCTCTGTAATTCGTTGTCCCTCAGTCCGCTGATAAAGCACTGAGCAGCGAGTTCCTCCCTAAATCCTTCCGGTGCTTCAGGATACGCTAGGTGTACCAGCCGACGTAAGTCTGCTTCAAATTCCTGCAGACTCTCTCCGGACCTCTGCAGGCGTGTCTTGATCTGGGCCTGGTAAAGTTGGCGTCGATGTTGGTCGCCATATCTTCTGTCCAGTGCAGCGACCAAAGTTTGGTATTCCTGCTGTTGGGCTGCAGGTATAGTTTGCAACAGTTCCAGGGCAGGGCCACGCAGCGCGATGACAAGTGCCGCTGCTTTCTCCTGGTCGGTCCATCCGTTGGCAGCGGCGGCTGCTTCAAACTGGCGGTGGTACATAGTCCAGGTGGTTTGTCCATCATAGGTTGGGGCCTTGAGGTTCGCAGTTCCATGAACGCCAGGTGTCCTTACTTGTACCTTGGTCTTCTGTAGGTCCATCTCCAATTTTTCCATTTTCTGCTGAAGGCGTTCCTCCAGATCTTCTACAACTTCTTGGAAATGGTTCTCCTGTCGTTTTTCCAGGCCTTCAAAATTCTTCTGTAGTCGAAATTCCTGATTTTCTAAAGTTTTCTCAAGCCGGTCCTGTTCTTCTTTGTCTTGTTGTCGTTGAACTTTCAAATCTTCGAAAATGTTCTCAAGCCGGTCCTGTTCTTGTTGACGTCGTAGTTTTTCCTCTTCCTTTTCTCTTTCTAATCGGGCTCGCTCTTCTTCTCGTTCTTTACGGAGTCTTTCTTGTTCTTCTGCTTTCTCCCTTCTCATATTCTCCATAAAATCGCCTAATAGTTTGCTTACTTCCTCCATTTTCTTCGCTTGTTGCCTTGTACCAACCATAAAAACACTCTAATTCGGTCTAAAAATCTTCCAATCCACTTAATTTCTTCTTAAAATCCTCTTGAATCGCACTTCCGACACCAATTGTTACGGATTCCGTGGGTCCACTATTTAAACTCACGATAAAATACTTAACGAATTTATTTGTTTCACTCTGTACACACAACTTATACTATTTACAACACAACTTATGCAACTACTATTACTCTAACGGTATTTCGCGGTATTTTCAAACTTCAGACTATATTCAGACTTTAGACTTCAAACTTGAAACTTGTCCAACTGTCAGGGGCCTTATATACCCCCTGGCGGTTGTTTCTAGATTTTTCTAAAGAATTCTATAATTTTCTTTACTTTCTGGCGAATGCGCCAGATTCCTCAATGCACTTTGCGATTTTAGCAGTATGCAGTTATGCAACCAGTAATACACCTTGACAATATGCTGCCGAAGTTTCCGGAATATCTACAGTTAGGACCACCCCGTATATTGAATTAATTTATTACCCTGGTAATTTTATTCCTTATTTTATTATAATATTCAGTATGGCACAATTATTCATCTTTCGTGAATTGAACTATATACTTATATTAGCCTCCGCTTTTAGTACTGGATTTAGGTATTTTAATGTGCATTTAATATTAGATGCAATTTTGTTTATATATTAATAACATGGTTTTAATATCTTAATAAATATGTTAAGTTAATAATAAAAATAAATATAAGTCAAATTGTCGCAAACTCAAGAAAATTCACTACCATAGGAAGAACGACAGTTATTATCTTGTGCGCACTGTGATTGGAAATATTTTTGACGCGTCTTTCTTGTCACAGTGTGTACAAGTAAATAGCTTACAATACCACCTCGAGTATGGGTATAATGATTCCAGGTAAATTTATTGGTGGTAAGAATTATACATAGGTCATAATGATTGAAAATAAGAAAACTGGTTAAAGACAATCGATGATAATTTTAGTAAGGTCAATCTCTAGACGTCATTTACTAAAAATTGACATAAAACTTGTCAAAATTAACACTCATTATAGGAAGATTAAGAAAGGATAGAACGTTACCAGACACACTAATCTATTTCCAAAAAAAAAACAATTTTTTTCTTGAATTTCCAAAAAATTTAAACTATACCTACATGGGCTACAGGTAGGGTTGCCAACCGTCCTCTGTTTCAGTGGACAGTCTGACTGTCCTTTTTTCTCTCACATATTGAAAAAGTTCTCTGTTTTACATACCAAACTCAAAATCTAAAAATATTCGTCTATCGCCACAATGCTTTAAAAAATTGTTAATTTGTGTCTTTTGCTTCTCCCACTCGTTTGTACAGGGTGGACCAATTTGGTTGTTTCTATAGGGTATCTAGGAAACCGTGAGAAATATTCAAATTTTGATACTGCAGTCTCGGGTTCTTTTTTTGAAAAAAGTACAATGGCGCAAACGGATCGTGGCTATCTTGATCGGTTTCGAAGCTACAGGGGGATTCTCAGATTTTGTACTTTTTGAAGGTGTTCGATAGGTTGTTTATTTCAGCCAACCACGGAAAAATGAATTATACATTCTAAAGGCACTTTTCTGTGTAGAATACAGTGGCGTAGTCAGCCTTTGTTCGAAAAAAATATTTTTTGAGATATTAACTATACTTATGTTTTTTTTTAAATAGAACCCCATGTATATTTTTAAATTTTCTTATTCAGCTTGGCATGGGCTTCTCGAAAATATATAACACTCTATATTTATTTTCACTATTAACCTCAACATTTCAAATTTTTCTTAAAATATCCACTTAGTAGATAGTAGGCCGCGCCGCGTAACAAAGTGAACGGTTGTCATGGTGATCGGAACATACCTTTGATGGATCCGGTACATTTCATTTCAACAGATTGAAGTGTGTGTATTTTAAGTAATAAAAAAATGAGTAAATTTGAAAATTTTGAGAAATATAATATGTTAGAATGTTATATTGAGTCTAACAAACATAAGCAAACGGCAGCTGATTTATATTTTGAGCGGTATCCAGAACGCAAGCAACCAAACCCATGCCAAGCTGAATAAGAAAATTTAAAAATATACAGGGGGTTCTATTTAAAAAAAACATAAGTATAGTCAACAGTCTCAAAAAATATTTTTTTCGAAAAAAGTCTGACTACGCCACTGCATTCTACACAAAAAGGTGCCTTTAGAATGTACATTTCATTTTACCGTGGTTACTGAAATAAACAAACTATCGAACATCTTCAAAAAGTACAAAATTTGACAATCCCCCTGTAGCTTCGAAACCGATCAAGATAGCCACGATCCGTTTGCGCCATTGTAATCTTTTCAAAAAAAGAACCCGAGACTGCAGTATCAAAATTTGAATATTTCTCACGGTTTCCTAGATACCCTATAGAAACAACCAAAATGGTCCACCCTGTACAGAAAAGAAAATGAAGAAATATTTATGTACTAGAAATATTCGTGAAAGCGATAATGTTGCAAGTTAGCTTATGCTTTGAGGTTTGTTGAAAAAGTTTTTTTTTATTTGAACAAGTTTTGAGTACAATTGTTTTTAAGAAAGTAGGAAAGACCATCAATTGCATACCGTTGACAAAACTTTTTGGTAAATTCTAGACATTTGGGCGAGGTTTCAAAAAATGTCTCGCCTGTGCCTCTTTTTTACCCCCTCGTCCTCTATTTTTTATTTTGAAAGTTGGCAACCCTAGCTAAAGGCTAAGTTTATCTAAAAGACTTGGTTACTATAAATATATGATTACAAATATTAGTATATTTTTTATGAAAAAATAATATTTAGTTTTTTATTAAATAGGTATTAATGTTGATGCATGAACTTGTAAGAATGTTAACAATTAAGTCCAACATTACTTAATTATATTTTTTTATTATGCTAAATACAAGAAATTAAAAAAAAATTGAGTAATAATATTTATCATGGAAATTGCATACTGTTGGGAATAATGAATTAGCATTTTTATTTATTATTACAACGACACGTGAGCAGAACACATTTTGATTTGCATTCACTGCTAGATATTTTATTTTAGTAGTTCATTTTGTATCACATGGCTACATATTATTTGATCACCTACTACGCTACTATCAATCACAGGGGAATTGCCAATTGAAAAATTGATACAACTTCAAACATTTTGTACTTATAATATTAGTGGCTTGATAAATCTTTTTTAATGCTTTTAGCTGAACTATTTTTGCAAAATGAAATTTAACTGGACAGAACGAACATGTCTTCTTTCTATTTACATGTCATTTATGTAACTTGGTACGGGCTATTTGTCGCAGTAAAAAATATATTTTCACTCGTCTCTGAAAATATTAAAAAAATAAAATAAAATTTCGTAAAATGAATTTACTTTAGTATTATTTATAATCTGTTAAAACATGTTGTAGTTCTTCTCATGTAACGTTTATCATCATGACAATCAATCAAATTTTCCTTTTAAATAAAAATAAGTTTGTATGTATAGTTTTTCTGAAGTAAGTTGGAATAGATTGGGACTCTTAATTTCGGCACTGTCTTTATCGACGTCATTGTCGGCATCATCTGGGCAAACGAATTAAGAGTCCCAGTACTTGCAATTTACTTGAAAATACTGTACAGAGTGTCCCAAATATCAATTTTCTCGAAAAATAATAAGCTCTTAAAATCTGCAATAAAAAATACATTTTTTTTTGCGGAAACCGTAAGTTGTATTTTGTTTTTATAATTCTTAAGTGATATCTTATAAATATTACTAAGCTCTCAAATTACTTTATATTCAATTTATGATAAAGTAGGCTTTGGCTTTGCCAGTAAAAAATATGGTTAATTCTATAAGAATTGTTTATCTGTCGTCATACAGTGCAAGCTTGTTCATAATACTTTTTGATCGTGTTCTGTATGCCCAGTATTTTTACGCATTATACATTCATGGTAAAGCAATATTCACAATTAGAGAAATATCTAGAATAATTAGTTTTTATTTTAATACCACATAAAGGACTCCACTCCGTGGTCTGGATTTTGAGATGTGAAGTAATAAGAGATATTCCTAACTCAAAAATAAAACAAGTTAGTTTGAAATGATTAAAACGTTCGGTGTAGTAGAGTTATTCTACGCACTGTATAGAGCATGACATTGTAAGAGGCATTTTAGGCTACCATAATAGTTACGTGGGAAAAATATGTGTTTTTTTCATTGTCACTGAATACAGTATTATAAAACTTCTAGTTTTTATGGGAGGGACTTAAAACACATTAATATCACACTTTATATTTTTTTTAAGTATACTATATATATATATATATATATATATATATATATATATATATATATATATATATATATATATATATATATATATATATATATATATATATATATTGTGTATGTACTCTGTTATTTTTGCTTCTGGCAAAGCAGAACCCTTTATTTTTCAACCCCACTGTGCATGTCGTCACCCTTAACTAACCGCCTGGCTCGCGTGTGTTTATCGCAGGGTGGAAAAGGCTAACCAACAGGTTATCACTAGGAGCCGTACCGGCAACCTACCCCCTCCGCGACCCTCTCTCCAATCCGGCGACCACGTGGAGTCGGTCAAAGTGGCCGTTACCGGCAAGGCCAGCGCCGAAGAGATCAAGGAGAAGATGGAACAGCAGCTGCGCATCCAGCGGGCCGCGCACCAACAAAAACGGGCCATGGAGATCAAGGGCATGAACGTTAAACCGGGTTCGGTGTTGGAAATGGTCGGAACCACCACCCAAGGTAAGCCAAAGCTTGGTTTTTCTATGTAAAAGAAGGCTGGAGTGATATTTGGTATTATAAATAAAGACTTTAAAATATTGATTATTATGAATCAATAATATTGGTTGTTCTTTGTTGTTGTTGTTGACCTGAATAAAATGTTTATTATAGTTAAATCTTCATTACAGATTACAGTTTACAGTTATGTAGAGTTTTAAGCTTGATTTTCATGTATCCGTTGTCCGACGATAGGATGTTAGTTTTATTGGTTGAATTTAAAAACTTCTATTGTTTCGAAGTTTTTAAATTTATTGCATTTTCAATGCCTTCGTTTATCGGATATACGATTTGCTTGTGATTGGTGCCATTTTATATTTTCACTTGCATAACGATTTTGCTGTTTTGTTGATAGTCTTAAGAGCTAGCAACGTTTTCGAGAGATAATTTAAAAAAACCTGGTTCTTTAATATATATTTTGCTAAGCTCTCCTGAACAGAGTGCGGACCGTCTGGCTGCCGGTAGAGGTTGCGTTCACTACTGCGCATCATATAATTATTGTGTATTCAACTTCTGTTCACTACTGCGCATCACAAATTCGTCCTGTATTTCAGGAACTAAGGAGACTAGGACAAACTTATGTGTAGCATATTTAGTTTCATAAAAAAAGTAGTAAAGTAATGTGAAAATCGCATCATTGTATCTACTCATAAACGAGAAATCCCATAAAACACACGAATTGGGATACAGTGTACAGATGTGATGCGCAGTAGTGAACCGCAGTAGTCTACCGGCAGCCAGACGGCCAGCACTTTGGTCAGGAGAGCATAGCAAAAGATATATTAAAGAACCAGCTTTCTTAAAATTCTCGTTTTCCCGATGGTGCTAGCTCTTGTACTATTATATTTATAATAAGGTTAGATTAAATTTGTCAAAAAAAAGTGTCAGGACGAAAGAAGTTTTGAGCACTTAGATAGTCAGTCCAACGATAGAGTTTATCACATTTAATTCAAAAGTAAATTGATTTTTCTGTCAATTTTTGGATGCCGTGTGCCAAAAAGGTACTTTTTCTCTTTGGACAGACTATTTGGTTCTTAATAAAAAAATTATATTGTAGTTAAATTATAATGAACACTTTACAAAGGTCTTAGTTTTAAATTTAATATAAATTTTAAAGTCTTTTAGCGAAAAACATTTGTAACGTAATTTGACTGATTCGATAATACCGATTTCTCTTTTTAAAAGCTACTGCTAGTACTACCTCAGCAACTACTAGTACTACAGCAGAAAAAACATCTGTTACTAATCCTCCTCTAAAACCGATTCAACCGAAAGGTAGGCTCAGTTAGTGGTGGCTATCATATTTTTTGTGGTTGAATGTTTAATTTTTTTATAATCTATACAAGCATGAGGTAGTAAATGTGCTTTTATTTTAACATTGTTTCACTTTTTTATTTCTTCTACATAAACATTGTTCTCAATATACATACTTATAAAATGTACTTAAAGAATTGTATAAATTTTTAATTGCTTGGTTAATATTACATTTTATAAGTTCTTATTAAAAATTCATTCTAATCTCAAAAAGGCAATAATTAACATAACTTTTAAAAAAATATATATATGAATTTTTGCTTACATTTAACGCCTTTTAGTGACATCAGCAGATGGAACAGTGAAAATAGTGAAGAACGTAGTCGTTCCCAATCAGTCGGTTGTCAGTGGCAAACACACGTTAACCTCGCTCCTTACCAGTAACAGCAAGATAGCCGGTAGAAGAATTTTGATGACAAAAGGTCCCGATGGTACTACGAGAGTTGTCTCTGGCGGAAGTACTAATATTCTTCCTAAAAACTTACAAAATGTGCCGCAACAAAGTTTGATCAAGGTGCAGACCACAAGCGCAGGACAGGCTCAAGGTAAATATTTCATTTTTTGTGATATACGGCACTGGTCAGGGGCGGATACAGGAATTTATTTTAGGGGGGGGGCCAAAATAAAAAGCAATGTAGAATATGCTTTTAAGGCACCATTTTTAATTCAAAAGCCTAATATTTTACACAATTTACAGATTTAAGGGGGGGGGCCAGGCCCCATGGGCCCCCCCTCTGTATCCGCCACTGGCACTGGTCACTTTATTTCCGTAGTCTGTATTTTAATGCATACGACAGAGAGAGATAAATATATACAACCTGTTAACAGATAGAGAGACAAAATAAAAAGCGACGTACAGTGTTGTCAGTTCGTAGGTGATATAACATAAAGGTGGGTATTCACTTGCAACAAAACACTCCGAACGAACCAAACTCGCCGCGCGCGCTGTAACAAGTTTGTGTAGTCAGTACATTGCGCCGAACCGAACCGAATGCGCCAAACATTTTCCGAAGCTTGTCGGTAAACGGGATTTGCTCAAAAGAATTTGTTCGTTGGCCGGTGTTCAGTGGATACGGCAGTTTTGAACGTTCGTTGTGTTTCGGGTGTTTTTAAACTGTACCTAGCTGTGGAGTGGAACAGAGAAAAGTGTTTAGAGTTAATTGATGAGTTTGAAAGGCGGCCCATTTTATTAAATTAATTAAATTCTTCTTATGCATATAATCTAGGTCACTAAGTAAGGCCATATTATATTGACGGCGCAAAAAGAGGCGTCTTGCCCACCTTTTTTGTCCTTTCCTTTTTTTCTCTTTTTTGTTACCCGCTAATGCCTCTATAATTAAAAAGGCACCAGCGGCTATGGTAATATCAGATGCATCCATGTCGACAAACACACTAACACTGATTACTGGTGGGAACGCAGCGAACACCGCAAACAGGCGGAACGCTCCGCGCAAAATGTTTTGTTGCAGGTCGTTCAGAGCGCTCCACAGTGCTTCGAACATATGGCTCTAGAGGACAAAAATGCAAAATTTCTCTTTTATTGTAGGCAATTTATTCAAACTAGGTTTATTTGACACAAATGATGAGTACTCTCATTGTACTAAATGATGATGTTCTTAGTCCCACGTTTATGAAAAAAAATCTTATAAATAATAAAAATGTTGGAGCTGTGTTCCATCTAAGGAAATAATAATTTATAGTATGAAAACGGTGTAAGTATTAAATAAATTCCTGTGATAAAAAAGAATTGGAATAACATTAGAACATGATTCCTACAATATAAACCTAATATAAGATAAAAATGTTTTTCTTTAATGAAAAAGAAACATTAATGCTATATTTAATTAAAAAAAAACTTAAGATACTATAAATTTACTTTAGGACAACAATGTGCATAGATCGTAACTACTCTGATTCAGAAGAATCATTGCTGACAGAATCTTCCAAATTTATAGTATCCAAATCACAGGTAGATGAAATATCCTCACATATAAGATATTTCTGTACATCATTTTCTAATATGTTACTTTTTCGCGTTGTTACTGTTCTTTTTGTTGATACGAGGGGTTCGGATGTTAATAGTTACCTGTTTAATATACCATATCCATATATTATTCTTTCGTTTTCTTGGGTATGAGGTTTTATAATAAATTGAAAGAAGGGAACATTTTTTATGCCACGTTTCGCTCCAACATAGTGGGCTCAGGCACAAGTGGTTATCTCATTGGACTGGAAGGTTCATCAATATCTAATAAAGAACACATTTTTTGAAATATAAACAATTTTGAGTTCTTGTCCTTATGATCAAGCCAAGTATTAACCAGATCGGCATTGCTTATCAATTTTACTCCATCTGAAAAGTATTATAAAATAAAGTTCGTCGCAAGCAGACGCAGTTGAACTATGCAAAAATTAAAAGTGTATGAATATGGCAACAAAAATATTCAATAAATACGATATGTTTTGATATGTTTTTTTTTAATGCCTTTTTGAATTTTGAAAACGTAAAATTTTTATACCCATTTAAGAATCATCTTAAAAAATAATTAAAAACTAAACAATAACGAACTTGTTTAGAAATAAATTTAAAGTACATACCTTGTTTAACAATATCCATAGTGACTTTCAATTAAGTACGTAACGTTTAACTCCATATACAGAACTACTATGAATGTTATTCTTTTCACTGATATAAGATAATGATCGCAAAATTTATTTTTAGTGAAAATATTTGCTAACAAAAAACGCTGTTTATGAAAAATAATATACAGGATGGTTGAACATTGGTATAAGTATAAAATTACATATTCAGATATTAGTAAATTTTAACTTTTTTTTCGATTTTTGTCCATGGGACGAAGCACTGTGCGCTCCCGGAAAATGTTTTGTTGCAGATTGTTTGGAGTGCGCGGCGCGTTTGGTTTGTTCGTAGTGTTTTGTTGCAAGTGAATACGCACCTTAATAAACGAAGATAATATATCTAAGCTATTTAATAATGCTGAATTCAGTTCGATACTTGTTTAAAAACTTGGAATAAAACACTGCAGTCACTCTTTACAACTACCATAGAAATAAATATTCATTGGTTTGTTCAGATTAGTTCAGAAATAATGTTAGTGACCGCATTTTAAGGTGTAAACTTTCGTTCTATAACTATGCAGTGTCACGTGCTCCACAGAATCAGTAAAATTTGTACCACAGATGAAAGAAACAAGTTTAAATTGAAATGGTTGGCTTTCCGCCAAAACTTATAGTTGTTTTGGAGCGCATACGTTGTAGGGCGCTGCTATAGCGGTTGCTAAGAACAACCGCAAACAATGACAGAAACAATTTTCTCTTGTCAAAGTCAGAATCTCCAAAAATTATTAAATCTTTCAAAATTTAAACCGCCCGTATTGGAAAAATACCGAAAAGAGTTTAAAGTGTCCGTTTTAAAAACAATTATTGCTATATTTGGTGAGTTTAATTTAAATTTTATTTACTAAAAAAGGTGATAATTGTGAAAAAGTGGCATTGAAAACCTAAAAAACTGTGTGAACTGGGAATCTAAACTTGTTTCTTTTTTCTATGATTTGTACTCAATTCAAGCAGCTGTCAATTTTGACTTGAGTTACTAAACTAACAACTGTGATTGTTTGTTTTTGTAGTTTCGCTAGCGACCCAACGTCGTTCTGAGACCGCGGGTTAATAAGAATCTATTACAGCTGAAGTAAAATAAGTAACTAATTGTAGAAATTAAATATCTAACCCTAGATGCAACCTTTTTTTGTATACGCTTTCTTGGGCGGTTTCTTATTTTGATGCAAAATCAGGCAATACCGCATAGAAGAAATGTATGACTCCAACTTTTTTCACTTTTTAATAGATTTGATTTTTCATTATGCCGTGTCTATCACTGTCTCACACGTTAAAATCCAGACCACGCTTCTACGGTGACCAAATCTGTATATAAATGTTATTAGTTACTAATAATTACATATTAACATTATTAATTAAATTATGAAACACCGCGGGTAGTTACAATTTACTAACTAAACTAAGTTATCGGTTGGTTGTTTTTAATGTTAGAAGATATAGGTACAAAGAAATATAAACTAATTTTTCTTATATGTAAAATATTTCTTATAGACATTGAGACATTCCTTATAGACATTGATTGAATAGTAACTTCTCATAGTATTTTTCCAATGTAGCGAAACATGATCAGTTAAAAAAAGTTAAAATTGGTATTTTGTTAACAAAAATTAGATACTGGTAACAGGATTGATATGTTTAAAAATAAACAAATTTTGTTAAAAAAACGAGTATTTATATACTGGGTGTCTGAATATTCCTAGGAAATAGTCCTGAATATTCTGACATAGAACTACTACATATTTTTGGAATTAAAATAAGTTCATTGGACACAGTTTACCTCTATACAAAAGTCCTTTGTCCGCGAGAGGGCATCAAACTTTAAAAAAAATAAACACATTTTTTAAGATATTTTAAGAACTGCTACTCTGATTATTTAAAAGAGATTTTGGGTGACTATGTTTTGCTAAGTGCTTTAACATTTGAGTTTCACAAAAATCAAGAAAAAGTACAGGAAATTTAGTGTAAATATTTTCCAACTCCAGCGACAACTGATGTTTCTTGTAAAATGGTCTCTCTAGTATTTACTACATTTTTTGTCCCTTGTAAAAAAACGTCACATCGCATAGTTTTTGAGAAAAACATTTTTGGAAAATTTATTTTTTCCAAAGCGGACCTACAAAATATATACAGGGAGTTCTAATATTCCATGGACATAGAAGAACTACGTATTTTTTGAATCAAAATAAATTAATTGCACATAATTTACCTTTATACAAAAGTGCTTCGTTTGTCCGTTAGAGGGCATCAATAAAAAATAAACCCGAACGTTAATTAATTTAAAATTTATTATTTTTTTTAAGATTTTAACATAAAATTCCATATTTTCGCCAACTGGATTATTAGAGCATAATAGATTTTATGCTCCTCCATAGCTTGACGTCTCAAAAAAGCATTTTTCCTGAAAAAGTATGCGCGGTCGCTTATTTTTACAAGAGACAAAAATGTAGTAAATACTAGAGGGACTATTATACGAAAAAAAATCGGTTATAGCTGTAAAAATGTTGTCGATTGAGTTGGGGAATATATATATACTAAAATTTATGTAGGGGTGGGGGTAGTTTTCACCCTTCCCGTACTTTTTCTTGATTTTTGTGAAAGTCAAATGTTAAAAAACTTAGCAAAACATAGACACTCAACATTTCTTCGAATCGGAATAACGGTTCTTAAAATATCTTAAAAAATGTGTTTATTTTTTAAAGTTTGATGCCCTCTAGCGGACAAACAAAACACTTTTGTATAGAGGCAAATTGTGTCCAAGGAACTTATTTTGATGAGTTGAAAAAACAAGTGTTTTAAACATGTTTTTTTCAATCCTGGCTAAGTAACATTGGCGGTACATATTATGTAAATCAATTCTCACTCATGTATCCCCATTTGGACAGACTATAGCGGGGTTTAAAAGAACAAAATGAGTATAAATCGTTATATGAGTAAAAATAGTTCAGCTATATTCACACTAAACGATTGCTTTGACGGATTTTGTTTCGCTATATTAGGGAAAAGTAACATGATAAAAACCATACTTGCCGTAGTTAATAGTAATATTCCGTTTTTTTTCTCTTTAAATTAAACGAAGATCATATTTACGCAGCAGCCGTCTCTACACCGACTACCACATCGGCCACGTCCACGCCCACCAAAGACACACCGCAACGCGTCCAAATCATGCGCACGGCCGACGGCCGTCTGACCGTTAAGGGTCTGATGCCCGGCCAGCAACTGGTCCAATTTCCCGACGGCAAACTTCAGGTGCTCACCACGACGCCCGTGGCCGCACCTAGCGCCGCCACTACCGCTAAATCGCCCTCGGTCACCGAAACGCCTACCAAACCCGTCACTAAACCCGTTGTCGCTCCTTCTACTCCCGCAGGTAAGATGGCGCAGCTCAAGCCGTTGACGACTACGCAGCCGCAACAGCAGTTGGTCGCGCAGCAGCAGCCAGCGCAGCAGGCCGTGATAGGACAGGCGGTGGTCCAGCCGAAGGCGCAGCTGGTCAAGCCGCCGCCGCAGGTGTTGCAGAAGATAGCGGTGAGCACGGGAACTCCGATCGTGCAGCAGCAGGTGGTTTTGGGCACCAATCAGTTGATTTCCACTCAGGGCGGTCAGCAGGTAAGAACTAGGAACAGAAATATTTCCTATATTTGTTTGAAGGTTGTAGTTTATTGTAAACAATAAAAATGTATAAATACCTATGTGACGAATTCATCTCTCCAAAAAGTCCAATATGGGTATTTCAAAACACAAAAATACACTTAGATTCATTTTAACACACACTAAACCAATGAATACTGAACAACGAACAAAAAATGTAATATACAAAATACCATGTGAATGCGATAAATTTTATATTGGTGAAACATCTAGACCCTTAAATGTTCGAATTAAAGAACATAAAGGTTATTTAAGAAAGGGCGACTTTCACAAATCTAAGATTTGTCAGCATTCGTGGGACACAGAGCACAGAATAAATTTTAACAACGCCAAAATTATAATGAAAGAAGCGATAGTCTCTAAAAGAAAATAAAAATAAATGTATTGCTCATGCATCTGTAGATATTAGTAATTGATTTTAAAGAACATGACATACGTAAAAATTAAAAATAATCATACAGAAAGTTTGAACCTTTTTGGTTTTATCTTAAGTAATTGTTATCAGGTAGTAATTGTTAATTTTGAACTTGATATAATGTCATTTATTTTTTTTTATGTCATTTAATTATAATGTCATAATGTAATTTAATTTTATAATGTCATTTTTTTTCAACTGTTTTTGTAGACGTATCTGTTATCTGTAAAAAAAAACTAAAGCGTTCTCGAATAGTTGGATTTAATTTTTTTTCTTTGTATTTTTTTTTCTTCCGATGACGGAAAGAGATAAATTATCCGAAACGTTAACGTTTTTTTCCGTTAGGCAAATTTGTTTATTGGTAGACCATTGCTGACAATTAGTCTCTGTTGAATTAATGCAGCATTGTTTACAAAAAATAACTATTTTATTTTGTAGATTTTCTTGCAGTGGCGAAATACCCATATAGGACTTTTTTGGAGTGGTAAACAATGTTTTGATTGAAAGGAATTACTATATTGAATCTATTTTCTAATTTATATAGTTATGACGTTTTTAATGATGTAGCTATAGGCTTAGTGCATTTCAAAGTTCGATAGCAGCGCTCGGTACGGCAGAAACCATAACTTTCTGGCTTTATATTTCACGCAGTCCCGTTTACCGTTCATGTTGTTTGCATTGAAATTATATTGAAATCGTGGCTTTGTCATTAACTATTTTAGTTTTTCCTAGTGCAGTTATTGAAACTATCAACTTCTCAAGTACGAAGTTTGTGGGAACTATCGCTGTGTCGGGTAGTAAAAATTAAGTAAAAAAGAACCCGAACTGGGCATCGTGTTGTGTAATGGCAATTTCAAATGATAATAAAATTGCCAATAAAATGTTAACACGAAAAGAAGGGCGTAATTGTGTGGTTGTTTGGTGTAATAACATTCAATAAAACTCTCCCAGAACATTTTATAGCTTCCCAGCTTTCTCACACCCATTTGATCAAAAGCAAAAATGGATTCAGGCCGTTCGACGAAACAACTAAGCGAACAAAGTTTCTATTAGGGAGGCACGTATAGCCGCCCATACTAAAATATGTTAATATCTCTATCTAATCTTAATTTGAAAACCGCGTTTCGCTAGCTACTGTAATTTTGGAGTTACGATTTTTTAAAATTGTTAACCCCCTCCCATACCTCCTTACCAACCCCCCACCCCCACCAAAAACTAATGGCCAGATTCTCGGGTGCCACAGTATTTTTGTGCCAAATTTGGTTAAAATCGGTTCAGCGGTTTTTGAGTTATCGTGTTACAGACGGACAGACAGACAGACACCATGAAAATATTTTGTATTTAGGTCATTTATGACCCAAGTAACTCATTTTGAGTGAAATTAAAAAAACTTTTTTTGCCGATCCTAATAGCCTACCATACCTATTGGTATGGTCGGCTAAAAATTAAATAGCATAACTATGAGAGGATAAAATATAGTTTGATCAATATTAATGGTATACTTTTCTAATCAACTAGGGCATGCATTTTTTATGAACATATTTTAAAATTATGTATCTTTTAAAAATTTCGTTGCAGCCTAAATAGCCCAGTTATGTTCCCACTAGCAAAATCGGGCGTAAAAATGCCCGCTACTGTAGTTGGACTCATCTAAAAAGTTTTATTACCTTGAATAATAAATTATAATACAAGTTAGACCTTCTGAAGATATCAAAATGTTTGTCTTTCTATTTTTTTTAGAATTTCCACAAATTATATTTCCTAACACGTTTAGAGTAATTTTATATAACATATTTTTTTGTGTACTCGCTATTTAAATCGGCTGTTTACAGTATTCTCCGATGGTGGCAGCACCGGCGGAGAATGCATCAAGCCTATATCACTCTTCCTTATTAGGCTAACTGTCTGTACTTCAATGCTTAAAATAATCTGTCGCGACTGGTTAAATGTTAAAGTGTCAAACATTCTTTCAGTCAACGACGGATGATCGCGCGTTGCTTTGGAGCACAGTTTGAAATGTATCCACTTTAAGTATGATTTGATGGTCATCGGTTATCTTCGTTAAGGATAATACCGTCGATTTGTAGCACCATACTGCGTTATCTCTTGCTAGCTAGCAGAGACTAGCACAACGTGAAACGTCGTAATTGTATAAATTTAAAAATGAAGATAGTGTCAGTTCAACACATGCGAGTTTTTTCATAATTTACAATTGTTTTATTACTACATTTTCAGGTTATTACTAACCAAATTGTCGTGAACAATCCCAACTTGGCTCAGCAATTGGCTACCGGTAAGGTACAGGTTGCCACAATAAACGGACAGCAAGTACTTATTCGGCCTACAGGCAACAACCAAGCTCAGGTTGTGGCTCAGTTGACACCTGGCAATATAACCCAGGCCATCCAACAAGCTACTCCTATAGTACAGGCGCAACAGCAAACCACGCCTCTTAGGAATATTGTGCCTGCTAATAATCAAGTTACGTCTCCAACGCAGGTGAGTAATAATTTATTCTGTACTAGTTTATTCAAATACATGATGACCCAGTATTCCAAAAGAGCTCTATATCAAGTTTCTGGTTTGAAATTTTTGCTCCAAATCTTTTTTTTTAATATGCAGGTATGGTAGCGCACATTTTATAAATAGTTTTTTCAATACACAGTTCGTGTTTTCATTATACATATATAGTCTATCCAACGACAAGATCCTTGACAGTGATAGATGTGTCTGTCATTTTAGTTTCAAAGTAGTTTTCAAACAAGAACAAAACACCACATACCATAAAAATATAGAAAAGAACTATGTATTTCTTTATTATTATATTTATCAATATAACTTATGTACGAATACAAATTTGAAATATTCAACAGGAATAAATAAAACAAAACTATTTTATTAATAATAACACTTACCGAATTTTTTACCTTAAAGGTTGATTAATCAACTTTAATCTTATTTTTTTTAAACCAGTGCCTTTTTACATCATTTTTCTGCAGTACTAAAATCCATTATTTACCTATCGTGTGATGTCGTTATTTTACAGCTACTCTAGTTTTTAATATATGTTTAGTACGATCCTTGTACCATATACGAGATGCACTTATCTATGACGAGATGGTATACAAACTTTATTGATGGTAACTTTATTGTTGTGTAAGTCTTTCTGCCTGGGCATCGAGTATTAACTATAAACTGTGCTCTGGGTCTACAGTTCAAACAAGAACAAAACACCACATACCATAAAAATATAGAAAAGAACTATGTATTTCTTTATTATTATATTTATCAATATAACTTATGTACGAATACAAATTTGAAATATTCAACAGGAATAAATAAAACAACATAAATAAAACAAAACTATTTTATTAATAATAACACTTACCGAATTTTTTACCTTAAAGGTTGATTAATCAACTTTAATCTTATTTTTTTTTAAACCAGTGCCTTTTTACATCATTTTTCTGCAGTACTAAAATCCATTATTTACCTATCATGTGATGTCGTTATTTTACAGCTACTCTAGTTTTTAATATATGTTTAGTACGATCCTTGTACCATATACGAGATGCACTTATCTATGACGAGATGGTATACAAACTTTATTGATGGTAACTTTATTGGTATGTAAGTCTTTCTGCCTGGGCACCGAGTATTAACTATAAACTGTGCTCTGGGTCTACAGTTAATTTTCCCTCGATTTTTCCTCCATTTGACTTCAAAAGACACAAAAAACACGTAAAAACACGAATCAAAATGTATCATCTTCGAAAACGCTACGAAAAGGGTATTTGACATAAGTTGACACAAAATTATAACCTATAATTTGGCAAGACTTTGACAAGCCTCAAAAATCTAAAGGCGAATTCATACGCATCGGCGTCCGTTTATCGTTCATCGTTCTGTCAAACCAATAAAATTGAAATATGATATGTCATTTTTGAAATAAACCAATAAAACTGGTTTAAACCAACAAGAGACAACGCATGACGGATTTATATTTAAACCCATCCATAGTTAACTTAAAAAATATTAGAAACTTTTTTTAGTAAAACAAATAGATTGGTATGGACGTCATCTGCTTTTCTTCTGTCATCGTCTGTCGAAATTTTACCTGAGAAAAAAAACAGAGTATAGCTAGTGTCCATATATTCTATAAAAAAGATTGAAATGAAAATCACAAACCTGATGTAAAGCTTTTTGAGAACTAAGTCAGAGTACACTACAAGTGTGTCAATTCTAAATATCTGCTACTTAAATTTTCAGGTTACTCCTCCAACTCCACAACTAGCCAAAACTGTCAAAACTCCACAGAAAGCAGCTCAGCCTGACACGCAAATCGACAAAGCTACAATGGATCATCTATTAGCTGGTCAGCCTGCTGGAACGGTCATCAAATGCGTTACTGCGCAAGTCATACAGACTCAACAAGGTCCGAGAATCGTTCTCCAAGGATTACAAGGAGCCGATTTTACTCCTCAGCAGTTGGCAGCTGTTCAACAGCAAGTCAAACAACAGTTGCTAAAAGGTATACTTGATGAGATTTATTTAGTAATTCAAGTCATTTCCAAACACTCCAAAGAATAATTTTGATAAAGGTATTGTTGAGAAATACAGTAATATACAGGGTGTCCCAGAAATAAGTGCAGGCATTTTAAGGGGTGGTAGATCTCGATAAAAGAAACATATTTTGTCTTTATCGTTTTTCAAATAAGTCCAAAATAATGGAGTTATTTTACTTTTAAAATTTCAAAAAAAAATGTTTTTGCTAAAATTTTCAGAACCACTGGATCTTTTCTGGATTTTCTTTTTTGTAAATTTAATCTAATAACTATGTTGCCATATTATCAAGAAATTATGTTTTTAACTAAAAACTAAAAAAAAAAATACAAAAAATTTTTCAAAAAATTTCGAATTTTCCAAAAAAAAATTTTTTTTGCGAAAAAAACCTCATAGGCGTGTTTCTGGGGTTGAACTGTACTACCAGTTAAAATTCTTGCACTTATTTCTGGGACACCCTGTATAATTTGATCATATAATAAAGAAAAAGGTTTTGCAAAACTAGTTTTCTTTATTTATCAGATCTTCCACTTCAATTTGTTAATTTTGTCAATCAAATAAACTTTTAGTTAAGGATTAAGCTTGACCGGCACAGCATTGCGCACTTTTACATATTTTCTTTTAATCAAAATATTTTAGGAAACAAAAATAAATTAATTATAAATATACAGTTATTATTTACATCAATAAAACTCGCCTTCTTAACAGCACTTAAGGGACATAAAGGGCCATAACTACCGCTTTCCCGTTCAAAATATTCTAATAAAGTTGCGATGAGTTTTTTACGACTATTAAGCTACCTTGTACACTCGTACTAAAAGAGGTTATAAAAAGAACAATGTTCGATCGCAAGGTCTGCTAGTAAACATTTTTAAGCTTAAATTATTACAACACTATTAACTAACCTAACTAAACAAAACTAAAGTGTCAAAACGAATGATAATGTCAGGAAATAAATAAAGAAATGTGACAACTTGACATTTTTTTACAGTAGAGCTACTACCCGAATCCCTAGCGGGAAATTTAAATTCCAGTTAGTCAGCCCGGCCCCGAGTATGTCCATGGTTGGCAACGATTTAAAAATCGCGCCCTCGATTACATAACTAAAAGTTTAATTGTATGGCAATAGTATGGAAATACTGTACAGTGTTGGCATTTTATTTTGTCCTACTTTTAACAGGCATCACCAAAAAAACTATTCATAACATAGACTTAAAATAAAATATAGACTGAGCATCTCATTCATAAATAGCTGGAACATGCGGTCAGACACTGTCTTGTTATTGTTGTGTTATTGTTTTAGGTTATAACGAGTGCGACACGAGCGATAGATAGGTTGTCTCTGTCGTAACGGTCGTTTCCTGACGACTCTGCCGAGAAACACAACACTGTCTTTCGTTTCTCAAGTACACCTGAACTCTCCGTATCATAGCCGGGTAATTTTTTATTTTAATGAAGCTATAATTAAATTAAAATATATCGTATTTAAACTTTTTATATTTTATTAAGATTTAGGACAGGTTTTTTAAATAAAACTTTAGAAAAAACAATTTAGAGTCCAAAAATGATAAAAATAATAAAATACAAGTTATAGAAGAAATTTTATAATCGAAATTAGGTAATTTTTGAAATTAATAATAAATTATTAATTTTAGTCAAACATTTACAACCCCTAATATTAATCAAAACATAAACCCTGTAAAGTGCAGTTAGAAAATGGACTGGTCCAAGAAGAGTCCAAGAGGGGAGGACGCATAATAAGAACATCTTTGACCTTTGAAAGACATTATCATTACTTAACGTGAAATTCCAATAATATTGACGCCTATACAGCAGTTATCCATGGTTCTATTTTGAAAAGTTGCACTAATGCATAATATTTTGGGCATAAAATAATACTAAATTACGTTATTTCTAAAATGTAGTTACTCGTATATGTATTGTCAAGACTTAAATATATGTCTTCTTGGGTTTATATCAAATTGGAAAAAGTAAGGAAGGTCACCGAAGTTCGATACCCTATTCCACAGATATAATAGAATCGGCGACAGGGAGAGAAAAAAAATATGATTGTTGTAATTTTTTTTCTGGTTAAGTGATGTCTTATTATGTAAATTAGAGAAAACATAAATCTGTTCCATTAAAGCAAGGAAGGTGATAGGAAGTGGATAAAATAAAAACTACATTTATTTAACTCGGTACTGTCTTTATTATACGGGGTGCGTCTCAAAAATGGCTCATCCCCATAATGTTTTTATATTTTCAAATAAAAAAAACAAGATTTAGTATGTTAGTATATGAAATAAATTAGGATTGATTGACGCATTCAATTGTTTTTGGTCACTTCCTGTTTCACCGGAAATGTCTATAACTTTTAATTTTTAAACGGCACCCTCGGTATATTTCTACTTTATTCGATAGAAAATGACACTCTGAATAGAATGACATATCATATGTCAACTTTTGACATTTTCGCATATGGTTTAATTGTAATTGTAACACGCGGTTCATAACGACAATTTGACTCGAAATACCAAGTGTGTGGTATCAATATATTCATAAAAAATGCTTTTTCCAAATATGCTAATGAGTCACCCTTGTTCCATTTGAAAAAATTGACATATGTATGATTAAAAATACGATTTGTACATCTTTTAACCGGCCTAGACAAGACACGAAACCTATTAGACGATCAAAACTATTTTTCCAAGGCTCCTTGATTAAAACTTGGTGGATTGAAAAAAACTGGATTGAAATTTAAAATAGGATATGTTTTTAAGCGACAATGTCAAAAGTTGGCATATGATATGTCATTCTATTCAGAGTGTCATTTTTTATCGAATAAAGTAGCAATATACCGAGGGTGCCTTTTAAAATCAAAGATGTAATCATTTCGGTGAAACAGGAAGAGACCAAAAACAATTGAATACGTCAATAAATCCTAATTTATGTCATATACCTACTAACATACAAATCTGTTTTTTATCTGAAAAAATAAAAAAAGTTATAGGGTTGAGCCACTTTTGAGACGACCCGGTATATTAAAAAATAATGTTTCATAATGTAATATCATTTTAAAATTCTTGTATGTTATTTTAGATTCTGAAGATAATTTTAGAATAAACCGGAATATATTTTTAATAAAAACATTATTAATTATTAACAGGGTTATAATTATGATTTTGTTACAATGTAAGTAAGTAAATAATGTAATGTAAAAGTAAAAATTCAGATTTTACATTTTACTAAAATATTATCTAAATAAGCGCCTTTCTACAACAACGCCACTGACTGCCAATGGGTAAATTGAGAGTTGCCTACCGGTCAAAAGTCGTTTCAAGACTTAAATGGATTATTTAAGTCAAATTTCTTGCAAATTTGGCACTGGCGAACCATATTTTATAGTTTTTGAACAGAAAAAGTCAATAAAATAAACACTTAAGGACTATAAGCTAAGAAAATGCGTTAATACAGCCGGGGATATAGCGGCAACAAAGCTTTACCGCACACGTGCGACACGTACTACAAGGTAATAAATGAATGAATAGGCTTCCTCGCCTCTAATCGGTGTTGTCATATTGTAAAGAACTTATCCTTATTAAACAGTATCCGACTTATAATGTAGTAGTATAAGGACTATTTAATACATCTATGGAATATTAAAACCTACTTTATTAAACTGTAGTATTAATATCTCAGTATATGTGTATAACAAGAAAAAAAATATTGATAATATTAAAGACGTGACAACATAGGCTGGATGAGGAAGGCTCGGTCGACTGTACCCAGAAGTAAACATGTGTACAAAAAAGGTTGTTTGTCCGCGTTGAGATGTAAATAGTGTAGTCTATATTTTATTTTAAGTCTATGATTCATAACTAATAACTACACATAATCTCAAGCGGTTCTAATATGTTAAAGAGCATATTTTGATGACATTTGAAGTACATTATTGGAACTTTACGCAATATATTTTAAATTTGGCAAACATTCAATATTACATCATTAGTTTTTCTTTGGTTTTAGCTCAAGCATCGACAGGTAGACAAGGAGTGCTCGGCCCTACCAAAATTTATCTTGCCGTTCAACCGAGTTCAAGCGACAATTCCAGCGAAGGCATCAACACAACAGTACCACCCTTGGCGCCGGTGCATTCTACCCCCGTCAAACAAGTATTCCAGCAAGCTGTCAAACAGCCGACTGTCACTCCGATAAAACAGACGCCTGTCACTCCAGTTCAGGTATGCAAAACGCCTAAAAACCCCAAGGTGATTGTGCAGTCTTTGCCTCAAGCATTATTTACTTGATTACTAATTATATTTGAGGGAAAATGTACGCCAACCGCAAAATAATTTATTAGAAGATTGACAAAAGTTGGTGGACGTTGAACTCTGAAAGCTTAATGTGTTTTAATACGTTGCTTTTTTTGGTTTGTTTTTATTTGTTTGCTGTAATCCTTTATATTGTTTGTTGTATATTTTTTTATAGATGTTTTTTCATTTTGTAATTTTGATCTAACCCGCGCCGCAACCCTCGTGAAGAAGGCCCGAGAGATCGAAGTATGACGTCACGATAGTAGTCTGGCTTATTGCGTAGTGGTATATGGTTTTCGCATGAATTTTAGTATTTATTTATCGTTTTCTGTGACATTATAATGAAATAACTGAAATTTATTAAAAGTTACCATTTATTTTTTATCATTATGGACAGGTAATGAAGAGCATACCCTAAAAAGCGTTAACAGTTAATATAATCAGAGTAAGTAAACCGACGAGTAGCGACAGTCCCGTTTTCAATTTTCTTTGCGACTGCGCGAAATAAGTAGGTTATCTGTCATGAAGAAGCGAAGTTGCCACTGTTGCCATTTATCAAATATCTCTATATACTTTATTTCAAGTATACCTCATGCAACGAATCGTTTTTTTAATTATTTATTGGCTGTAAGATATTTTATACATTCAAATTTAGAAATACGGATAAAACAAAACAAAAAAAATATGTATAAAACTTTATAATTAATTCCACTTCAAATTATGAGCAGTGTATACCATGTTTATAGGACCACTTCATAAGTTGAGCAGTTAAATACGTAGTCTATCTGTCAAACACGCCAAAAGAGAGAGAAAGAAAATTTGGTCCCACCACATCAAAAGAGCCGACGGTTTCTGTCGCTACTCGGCGATCTACTTACTCTGATAAATATAATATTCGTTGTAATAAAGAGTTTATAAATATAAAATCGGAGAATACACTTTTATCGGCAATGTTAGAAAATGGAGTTTACGTGATTTTTTAAAAAAATATCAAATCTATCTCAAACAGATTTTTATATATCTGCTAGAATTAATCATTTCTTAATTTAATTTTTTATTAAGTAACAGCCTCTTTGTAATCAAAAATGCTAAGTGGCACATTGCAGCTGCAAGTCAGAATACGTCGCCTTATTAGAGTTTACCAAAAATATAGAGGTTTTTTCGCGTATAATCATTTTAAACTGATTTTGAAAGTTGGCTGTATACAATTTTTAAATGAGTGTAGGAAACGCTAAACCTACTACTGCCAATTACGTGACTCGGACTACTTGTCAACAATAGTAATAATTATTAAATAATAATAAAATAACACATACAGTTAAGCCGCCTTGTATTTCACGAGGGCTGTGCCCACTTCTTTCATTAAACATTGCATTGATTGTCTCGACTTAACTATAAGTGATCTCATTGTTTAATACTTAAGATAATTCAATAAACTGATAGTAAATAATTGCCTTGTTTGTATTCTTTTAAATTTTGACGTAAAAAGAACTGGAAAAAGTACATAACTTAAAAAGTAGTTCAAATGTATCATTCTTATATTTCCTTTGAATTAGGTAAAATTTTTCTTAAATGCAATTCATATATGTTTTGCTTTGATTTTTGCATGATTCTTATAGAAGGGAACAATTTTAAGTTCTATTAACATGCACGATGGTAGCTAAAACTGAAAACTAAATCTCTTTAGTACATATCTATCAAAAGACTATGCTTAAAAATACTAAATCACTTCAAGTTTTCAATTCATACATTTTTCATCCTATACTTTTCTTCTTTATCTAAGTGAGTGTTCATGTAGTTTAGGAGAATGATATTTAGAATTATTTTTAAAAACAATTCTTTTTGAAGTATATAATTCTTAACGTGAATAATGGTAAGTAGTCCTAGTCACATATATTATGATAAATTTCTATCAAGAATTTACCTATTCTAGTAGTCTTAGCGGTTGCAGTTGTTTAAAAAATAGGGGGTTTTGTATAAAACTTTTCTACTTGACATTTCTCTGCAAAGTTATTTACTTTTACAGGGTGAGTCTTAAATAAGTGCAAATATCTTCAGGGCTGGTAGATCTCGATAAAAGAAACACATATTTTCTCTTTACCGTTTTTCAAATATGTCCAAAATAACTGAGATATTTTACTTTGAAAATTTAAAAAAAGTTGATTTTTAGCTTACGTTTTGAGAACCGCTGGATTTTTTCTGGGTTTTCTTTGTTGTAAATTTTAGTCTACTACCTATGTTACCATATTATGAGCCAAAAAATTAAAAAAAAATTCCAATTTTTTTTCAAAAAATTCCAATACTCCAAAATTTTTCGCGAAAAAACACCTCATAGACGTGTTTCTGGGGTTGAAACATACCATCCCTAAAATATTTGCACTTATTTAAGACTCACCCTGTATAGAGTAAACCAAAACACACCCAAGCCAAGAGTAAGCAACATAATGACAAATAAAAAGTGAAATTCTTGCAGTATCATTATGTCATATTTAAAATAAAAATATTTCTTGCCATATAACTGCTATTTGGTAAAATCTTCAGCTTTTAAATATAATGAAAAACTGAAAATAAAAAGTTTTTTATTTATAATTATTATGGAGCCGCCTGAAAATGCTTCTTTCCATTGTGTACTGGCGGTAAGATCTTTATCTAATAACTCACCGACACTAAACTAAGTCGCCAGTTGATATAGTTAGTTGTTTATTTGCCGTTTTGGGAAATCCAGCCCGGTTAGCTCGTCTGATGATGGGGGATAGGCCAGGAAACCGGTAACGAGAGAGTGGTTGATTTCCCCATAACGGCAAACAAACATAACTTTTTGTTATTTTCAGTTTTTAAATTTTTTTTTGGAAGCTGAAAGTTTTTACAAAATTTTTTTTAATGCTTTTTAATGTGATGAGATATAATTTTATAAAAATTAAAATGAAAAACAAAAAATCAATCTAGTTTTAATCGATGTTTTTCGTAAAAAATTAGACGACGCGTCCTGTCAATAAAAATTCTACACATTTTCAAGAAGCCAATGTGGAGTCTTTTGCGCGGACATACTCGTCAAGTCCACGTGGACTCTCTGCCGCTTGTATACAGGATGTCCCAATATTCCGTGGACATAGAACTACTACGAATTATTAACATCAAAATAAGTTCATTAGACACTATTTACCTCTCTCCAAAAGTGCTTCATTTGTCTGTTAATGGGAATCAAATTTCAAAAACTATCGGATATGGCATTTTTTACAAGAGACGAAAAATGTAGTAAATACTAGAGGAAACGTTTTACGAAAAGAAAATCTGTCGTCGGTGGAATTGGAAAATATTTACACTTAGTTTTCACCCTTCCCGTACTTTTTTTTTTTGATTTTTGTAAAAGTCAAATGTTAAAGCACTTAGCGAAACATAAATACCCAAAATCTTATTCAAATCGGAATAACGGTTCTTAAAATATCTGAAAAAATGTGTTTATTTTTTTAAAGTATGATGCCATCTAACGGACAAACGAAGCACTTTTGTATACAGGTAAAATTGTGTCCAATGAACTTATTTTGATTCCAAAAATACGTATTACTTCTATGTCCACAGAACTTTGGGACACCCTGTATAGGTAGTAGTGATCTATAAAATATACTGCTGTTTATTTCAATGCGTTTTTTAGTAAATTGATCGTACTCCAATATTGTGTCCGCATTCTTGATTTTTTTTTATAGATACAGGTCCAGTAGACATACTTGACTCTTTTTCCGTATATTTTTATCGATTTTAAATAACACTGTTAAAAAGAAAAGCCCTCTGTAATTTATTTTTGAAATCAGGAAAAAATATGCAATTTAATACACTTCTAATATACAAAGTATCCAATTTAAAAAAAAATAGTTTATACCAAAAAAATATAAATATAATATTTTTATTTTATTTTTGTTTTAATATAGTTTTTTTTAATAATTATAGTTCTGATAGCTCCAAATACTGTATCCAAAAAAAAAACTAAAACCCTATAATTTGATTTTTAATGAATGTTCTATGTCAAAATATTAAACAATAGACATGTTCACTAATTTCTAATTTTAATGAATTTGGTTACCTACATATAAGTAAAAAAACATGGCACTCAAAATTTTTCTTAAAAACTATAATTTTCTCACATAAACGCAAAACAAAATTGAGAAATGCAGCAAGGCTAGAAAAAGGTTCCCGGCTCGAAGCTACCTGTTTTTGACGTCACTGCTTTGATCGATCGATGGCGTCCGTACGATCGTGCACTTGCCGCATTGTTTTTACAGACGTTCGCGAAGGTGTATTGTTTATTTTCATTGTTTTGGTGTTTTGAAGAAGTAAAATGAGTTCAAATAAGTGGTGTTTTGTCCCTGGGTGTATAATTACTTCAAAAAATAATCCACAGAAGGTTAAATCGTTACTTTGTGCCCCTTGCTTTTAATTCTTATTTTCTAGTTTTAAGTCCATTTAATTTTAAGCTTGTTTTTAAAAAGTTTTTTTTATCAATTTTTTCACTTGTAAATTTTTCGCTTAATATGGGTCCTATAGGGTGCCCAGTTTAAAAAGTCGGTTAAATGGAAGCAAAGTTGCGTATTTGTGTGCCCAAAAATAATCTATGTCTATTTTATTTTAAATCCATACCGTTACGTAGATACAAGGCGAAAAAGAAAAAATGAACATTTTTGAAAAACCACCATATTTTCTTTATTATTGGAGCTAAGGTAATCAAAATTTCAATATATGGACAAGGCAACATGTTAATTTTAAAAATGATATCAAGAAAAACCTAGGCCTTCTATGTTGCGCACGGCCGAGGTCAGCTTTTATTTTTCTTATGAGCGCCATATCTAAATTTGGCATTTTAAAAATCCTTATTAAAAATGTTTTCAACCATGTATTTCAATATGGCGCCCATAGGAAAAGAAAAAGTGCACTTCGGCCATGCGCAACATAGTAAGCCTAGACTTTTTTGAACATGATTTTTAAAATTTCCATATTGCCTTACCCCTATGTTAAAATTTTGATTATATAGCTCCAATAATAAAGAAAATATGGTGGTGTTTAGAAAGTGCACATTTTTCTTTTTCTCCCTGTATTTACGTAACGCCATATGAATATTTAATAAAATAGACCTAGATTTTTTTGGGCACACAAAAACGCAACTTTTCTTCTATTTAACCGATCTTGTAACTTTAACGGTCTTCAAGATCCCCATTATTCCTCATGTAGGTACCTCATTTTAAACTGGACACCATGTATACGTGTGCGAATTTTCAGGTCAACACAATTAAAATTTAAAATCTGGCTCCTCCTTAATACGACCCTATATCAGATCAACAATACGATAATTTTACATTGTCTTAGCTTCTATATACGCATGCAAATTTTCAGTTTAATATGATAATTAAAATTTAAAATTTGGCCCCCTCCTTCTAAATACAGGCCTCTGACAACTCAAAAACTCAATAATTTTGTATTGTCAAAAACCAAGTGTTGTTTGATATCGCTTTCAAGTAAACCCGTCCTCCATCTCACTAAGTAGCTTTATTTTTAAACTAGTAATAAACTCCAAATATTAATCACAGTAAACCAAATTTAATATACAAACATCCGAGCACAACGCGATATGTTGTATTCTACCTTGTTCTGTTAGAAATTCCACAGCGTGCAGACAGCACCGTTTACTCGCGCGGAAATACCGATCGAAGCAGTGACGACAGGCCGCGTTTAGCGGATTCAAACGATTACGATAATTTTGCACGGATTTTTGATGCATAAGCCTTTTACGGAATGTTATGAAACTTTGCATACTGAGTTTTAATGTCATAATGAATGATTTTATGAGAAGTAGGCACGTTTTAATTTTTTTGTGAACATTTCTATTGTAGCCAGTTAGAGTAGGATAAATTTAAATATTGACACTGCTCATTCTTGTTGATTTAAATCGTCACTGTGATGAACTTAAATTGCAGGTTTCCGAATCTCCCAACCAAGCTAACCGACAAGTTCTCGCAAACGGTCAGCAATCGCAAACGTCGGCGCTGATTCAAGCGATGAAGGCGAAAATGGAGAACAGCCCCGCCTCGGGAACCTCTACTCAGACTCGTCCCGCCGGCATCGGCACTCTCGACCAAAACAAACAGTTCGTAGTGACGCCGGACTATATCCAGCAAAGTATGTTCGTTTATCAACCGTCTGTCATTGTTTATAACCCTAACTGTGCTTACCCATTGCAAAACGACGCGGGCTGTATAAGATATTTCACTAAATGAGCTGGTCTCAGTCGAATAATAGATGTCATAAAATCAGTATTAAGAGAATTATATAAGTATCGAGATTTTGCGATGATGGATATTCTAGTCATATTTTTTGTTGTCGTAAACCTTGTCTTTATTATTGGAGTTATAAAAGGTAAGTTTTTCATGTTCACATAATCTTTTTTAGTAAGCGTTCAACGACCTAATGTTCAATGAGTACATAATAATTAGTTAAAATCCTCTACTGGGGGATAGGAGACTCACAGTCTTGTATAAAAATTTTATTTAAAATTTTTACTATTTAAAAAAATTTTGGCGACATGTTTCGAGAATCATAATCCCATTTTCAGGCCCGGAAGCTAAAAATATAAATAAAAAACAATCAAAGTAAGTCAAACTTATTTGTCAAACAAACAAAGTCAAGTAACAAAACAATAAAATTCTGGCACAAGTCATAAAAGTTAAAATTATCCAAATTATTTGTACAAAAAAATGTTACAAAATGCAAAGCTGAGCTTTATAACAAAAGAATTACAATTACCATGGCCGCATTTATCTATTTAAAATTTCTCAAATATCATGAGGAGTACATAAAACTATTTCTAAATGAAGTGGGAAAATTTTGATTTAGGTGAGAGGAGCCAAAATATTTGTTGTAGTTAATGTGATAATGGAATTTAGTTTCTAAGATGTATTTCAATTATTTAAATTTATATATGTAAATTAGAATTACGTAAATCAGTCTTAATTATATTGTATCTTGTATTTGATTCCCTTGATTGTGATTCCCGAAACATGTTGCTTAAATTTTTTAAAATAGTAAAAATTTTAAATAACATTTTTTATACAAGACTGAGAGTTTGAGTCTCCTGTCCCTCAGTAGATGATTTTAACTAAAAATCATTTTTACATAATCTCAGGTTGGTATATTATAATTTATAACCATAAATAAATAATAGACCATGTCTTCCCATTTTGAATTCCACATTCATTATACAGGGTGCTACAAATTCGAGGTACGAGCATTGGTATCTCGGTAACCGTAATAGATACAAACATGGTTAAATTGGGGCAAAGTTGCGCTTTGGGATGTTTACAAAGATGCCACCAAAAAAGTTAGAAATTTCAAGGATTGCTGAGTTTTTTGGAAAAAACGGATTTTTTGGAAAATCAATTTTATTTTTTCCTATCGTTACTTTTTAGAAAATCAAAAAACTAATTGCACATTCTCATAGCCAGTTTATAAGGCCTATCTGATAGTATTTTTAAACTGATCATTTGTGAGATACAGAGGCCAACTTAGTTTTTTTAAATACGGACCTGCATTTTTTATTTCAGATTTTCTAAGAACTCGGTCTCCTGAGTACATTGATATGCCACACTTAATATTTTTTTTTGTTTCGGACATTTGAACACAATTTATTTAAACTAATTTCAAGTCCGGCTCTGTTTTTTTTTTAATATTTAATATATTCATCGTTACAATATTGATAAGCTTTCAAACTTAACAATGACGTGGGGTAAAACATTGAATATGGAAAATCAAATGAAATAAAATAATAAAAAATAATATACCAGTATATGAATACATTACTTCACGTCATTTGTAAAAGTGAAATCAATACATCTCAACATTTTCAGTAAAGAGTATAAAATGCATTCGGACATATACATATAAGAAGAATGTTCAAAGAGCTATAAATAAAATTGAACGAAAAATAAATTTGTGCAATAGGGAGGGTGGTAACCCTTTCTAACATGTAAAGCATTAGAAACTAGTTTGTTGAAATTGATTTATTTATAATAACTACGATTAATATTACGAATATTATTAGATCGCACACTGAGATTTCAAAGTCACAATAAAAAAAAGTTAAAAATAATATCTTTACATTGCTGACCGGGATATAATTTATTTGAATCTTCGAATTGGCTCGATTTTCCTGATTCAATGTTAATTAGCTCTGATCAATAGTGTTGCGATGAATATAATCAGATTAAATAATTTGAAAACCCAGATTATTTTAATAAACATTAAATAGTTTTGTTGTTAAGGTACCTAAAACAAAGAAAAAGTATAAAGTGTGGTATATTATTGTACTCAGGAGACCGAGTTCTTTCAAAACCGGAAATAAAAAATGCAGGTCCGTATTTAAAAAAATCAAGTTGGCCTCTGTATCTCACAAATTATCAGTTAATTTGAAAATATAAAAATACTGTCAGATAGCCCTAATAAAGTGGCTATGAGAATGTGCAATTAGTTTTTTCATTTTCTAAAAAGTAACGACGGGAAAAAATAAAATTAATTTTCAAAAAAATCAGTTTTTTCCAAAAAACTCAGCAATCCTTGAAATTTTTAAAACTCTTTTGATGGCATCTTGGTGAACATCCCATAGCGCAACTTTGCCCGAATTTAACCATGTTCGTATCTATTACGGTTACCGAGATACCAATGCTCGTACCTCGAATTTGTAGCACCCTGTATAGGGTTTGCCAAAAAATTCGGAATTAATAACATTTTTTTTTTGTTATTCAGTTAAGCTTCATTCAGAACCTCACAATTAGCGGAATAAATTAGTGGTTTCAATTAGCGTAAAAGTTTGTTCCTTTAATTTCAGTGTAAGCATTCAGAAGTCAAAATTAGTGGTAGACATTTTCAATTAGTAGAAAAAGTTACCAAACTTTAACTTTTCCACCAATTATACTTCAAAATTTGCGCGAAATGTCATTCTGGCTTTTGATTATCTTCCGTTAAGAGAAATTGTGGTTAGAAATCAAAAGTTGATTATTTTATAAACTAAATATTAGGCTTTCTTTATGGATACCACTGACTAACGCAAGCTGTTGCTAGGATATTCTATTTAGTGATGTTAACTTTCGGAAATTTATGAAATTTTAGGAAATTTTACAATTTTACATATTTTTTGTTGATACAATGAATAAATTAGATAGACATTTGATATCAACATGTAAGTGGAAAAAAACAATAAACATAATATTAGTTGCTTTATTTTTAATAAACAATACCTAACTCCTAAAAGTCATAAACATAACATATAACAAACATTATTTGGTAACGTTTGTACTTGGTACATAAACCATGAACTATGACTATGAACTGAAAAAAAAACAAAAAAGCAGGAAATATAAATTTAAAAAACGTAAAACACAAATAACTGAATTATTCTATTCCGGAATACTTTCAGGCGCCGAGCTGGTCCCATCTTCATAGGGTATTATAGTAGTAATAGTAGTAGAGTAGTAGTAGTAGTAGTACTGTCTTCCTCAGTTTTTATTTCCAAATCAGGTATATTTGATGTATCATCTGGTTCTGATTCTGAAGGATGAACCTCTACCTCTACGGGTTCTAGTGGTTCTGGAGGAGTTTCATGTTGTTGCATATCATGTTCCATATCCACTTTTTGTTTTTGTATTAATAATTTATTGTTATGAGCTACGAACATTATTTTGCCGGCTCTTTGTGCAGTTAAGCGATTCTTTTTTTAGTATGGATAAAACTGTAAGTACTGAAACTTCTCTCAGTGGCTGCAGATGACGTTGGTAAAGACAGCAGAGCAACAGCTAAATATTTCAACTGAGTATTTTTACATATTGCTTGCGCCAACTTAGACAGTCTACATTTTTAACTGACATCCAAACGTAGTCGAGAGCCCATAAACCCGATTTGGCGCAATAATTTGTTACATCTGTAAAAATGGCTTCTTAATTATTGACAAACTGAGGATGTTTGTTGGTGATATTGTTGATAAATTCCATAGCGGCTATGTGTTCTTCATTGTTAAGGTGCTCTCCCAGGAAACAGAGGGGGCCAAGAGATTCGCGGCAAAATGCATTATTTTAAGAGCCATACGTTTTCTATTTTGTAAGACGGAGAAGCATTCTTTTTCTTCTGATTTAAGAATAGGCATACTTGATACACTTTCGTTAAATTTTTGCTCAATGTCTTGAATTTTGAAAAGAAATTTCTTCCACAAAATTCGGATTTTTGCGAATATTCGCGATTTTGGGACCGAATATTTCGGAAATTTCTGAAATTTCCTGCAAAATTCGAATTGAAATATTCGCTACCAACATCACTAATTCTATTAATTTTAATTGTGTATTTTAAACATTGTGAATGATCGTAAACTAAAAAGAATAAAGTGTAATTGAAACCACTATTTTTTTTGACTAATTGCGAGGTTCTGAATGAAGCTTTATTGAAAACGAGTTTATGCAAATTTACGTTATCATGTCCAATGTCATGCAACAACTGTCATGGCGGAAAATTATAAAAATCTTCTGTACATAATGCAGAAAGTCGAGTTAGACGACAAAATATTGAAGAGCCAACAAGTTGTTCGGAAAGTTATTTTACATCTATGTCATCTTTGAAAAATAATTGAAACCCATACCGTTGATTGAAGAAATAAGAAGATGCTTAATTTTATGGGCGATTTCGTGGCATAAAAACTTTCTGAGATGTAGCTGGCGTTACCGCAAGCCTATCCGGGAATTTCGAGATTTAGTTTAGCTTTGTGCCGCTGCGCGCTGATAGTCGTTTACAGCGCAGCGGATAAAGAATATTGTACCGTAATGTTGCTTTTAGTCGACAGAGTGACTGGTCGCCGGAGACAGTGTTGCCAGCAAACTACTTATTAATCCGTAGATTTACGAATTTTGGGTACAATACGGTAATAATACGGATTTTCTATCATTAAACAACTTAATATAATATTATATGATTAAACAAAGAACGGGGTCAGAGTTGGCTTGGAAATGAAGATCGCTGATATTTCATATGTAAAATATAATGGTAAATGTCAATAATCGTCATTTCCAAACCAATTAAACGACTTTTTTCAATCATACGACATAATCAGTACCTATAAAAGAATTTTTATTTTTGTTATTTATTCTATGTTTAACACAAATAAATTTTCCATACATAAACGCGGATTTTTCATCCAAAGATATTTTCGTCAAACGTATTACAGATATTATACATTTTAATATGGCAACACTGTCGCTTTCAGATCCACACCGTCTTCGATATGCATTCGCTGGCCGAATTAGGGAAAATAAGAACTTTTTTGTGCGTTGACCGCAGTACGATTGGTGTCTCCACTGTACAGCACTTGAACGTAAAGAGAAATCAAATCAGCCTTGTCAGCAAAGTCCTTGAATTCTTATAAAAAATGGTAGACGCAATGGCGTGCAGTGCTAATCAAAGTAGGGTAGGCAAAATTGGCAAAATAATAAAATTAGTAATATAGTAATTAATATAATTATTTTTTTCTCTGGAAAAATCACCAGATTCGGCATCATTGCGCAGAACAGTGGCCGACACCTTTGAAATTAAATCACGCGTTACTTTCTTATTCTATCTATTTCTTCTACCCTGACTTTCCAGTCATTTTGGTCTGTAGAGAACGTCAAAGATTCGCAAAGTGGCAGCCGCGTAAATCTTAAACATATCTTACGTAACCTCTAAAATAAAAATAAGACTAAAAACGTTTATTGCCAATATTTGTTGGATCAGTAATGCGTTGAGTTTTAATATGAAAAAAAAATATGATCATGTCTGGGGTAGGCAACGCCTTTTTGACCACATTATATGCACGCCATAGGGTAAACGTAAAGTTATTTTTTGAGCAACTTTTTTAGTATTTTGTGACATAACCCCTTTTTTTGCATATGTAAAGTGGATTTTTTTAATCTGCCGCCATGGCAGTTCTTGCATGATACGTCAAAATGTGTTTTTGTTGTTAAGCTTCATTGAGAACCTCGAAATTAGTGGTTTCAATTAGCGTAGAAGTTTGTTCCTTTAGTTTCAATATAAGCATTCAGAACATCAAAATTAGTGGTAGTCATTTTCAATTAGTAGAAGAACTTTTCTACGAATTATACTTCAAAATTTGCAAGTAATGTCATTTTGGCCTTTGATTATCATCCGTCAAGAGAAAATGTAGTTAGAAATCAAAAGTTTATTGTTTTATAAGCTAAATATTAGGCTTTCTCTGTGGATACAACTGATTACCGGAAGTTGTTGCTATGATGTTCTATTAATTTTAATTGTGTAGAGACTGTGAATGATCGGAAGCTAAAAAGTATAAAGTGTAATTGAAACCACTAATTTATTCCACTAATTGCAAGGTTCTGAATGAAGCTTTATTGGGTAACCTGCAGTAAATTCCAATAATAAATCCTTTTTTACGAACTTTCGGCAGATCTTGTTAATATCTATGTTTATTTTTGTAAAATATTCAATTTCTTATGATATATTTTAAAGAAAATCGCTATGGTATAAGATCAAAATGCTTTACCATCGACATCAATATATGTATAGTTCTTCTCGCGTAACTTTTCTGGTTTTGACATTTGGTAATGACTTAAAGAAAATATCTGGACTGTTGATATCTTTGAATAAGAAGACTAAGGAAGGAGCATAATGCTATCCATGTATTCATGCATGGTGGGCGGAAAAGGCTCCATAAAAGCTCTCTATGGTGGGGATCCTTGACAGTTCTGTTTGACGATTCATTTGACACATTTGAATTTGATTTGAAATTTTGTGGATTTGTCAGTCTTTATGGAGCTTATTTTATGTTATTTATTATTTATTCTACTACTGATAGTTGTATAAAGGTAGTAAATCTAGATGGAAATTGTGGCAGAACTTAAATTAACAGTGACACTACCGCGATTTATCGAAAAAGACTCTAAAATAGTTGGTTGTGTAGCGTGCGGTAGATCTCGGCAAAAATTGAGTGAAATAATGGAACAACTTTTCGCTAGTAAGTGACTATATAATATACATACGTGTAGTAAACCGATCATTTATGAAATTCACTTAAATTAACTAAATTATATATTTTTCTTGCATTTTAGCTTTTATTTATTACTTGTCAAAGATTAGATGTCAAAGAATTTAGATACGTTAATTTGACTTACCTGCTTCAGTAGCGTATCGGATGTATGTGTTAATAAATACTTATTATAACTTATCTATTTTTATTAGAATTATATATTTTTATAACAATTTTAATAACTACCAACATTTATTCACAACGTAAAATAAAACAACAAATTATTGAGTCTACCCCACGTCTACCCTACATCATAGTTTTACATTTTTTAAATAAAATTAGAACGACACTGATAAACCGGAATTTAAGTCGGCCATATTTGAGGCCCATCGCGGTGTACCTAAGATTTTTGATATGCTCCTTCCTTAGTCTTCTTATTCAAAGGTTGATATAAATGTAACTATTTACTATATTATTCTTAATTATGGACTGTGTTAAAACTTATATTAAAAGTATTTTATCCAGTTTATTTTTAACTTATTTAACTTTTCAGCTCTGATAGTTTTTAGTAGATACATTTTAGCAGCATTTAAAAGACCTGTTCTAATATAAATTCTTCAAATATTTAAAATTGTGTGTTTTTTTAAATTAAATTATTGATTTAAGTGTGGCTCTGTATTTACTTGTATCAACTAATTTTTATTTTAAAAAATGGCTTCATTACTTTTGTGTTTTGCCATGTTGAGAAATGAGACGTGAGAAGAACTATATCATAATGTTGAACTAAAAATATAAGTTTATGTATATCTATTGACCTAATTATTTTTATGGTCAAGGAAGAAATATAATTGTCAAGTACAATTATATTTTTTACAATTTATTTGACGTATTTTTGAGACTTTGGCTTAAATTTGAAATTTTAATATATAGTAGGTATAATTTTTATTTACAAATTCACAATTAACATTTTAATATATTTCTATTTTGAAATATATGCCTTCCTACGACGCGCTGTTATTTACTACTGCTGTCAAAAATTATTAAATCTCATAAAAATGAGCTATTAGACTTTCTTATTCTGGAAAAAAAAATAAAAGTTTTTGTTGATTAAAAATTTTTATGTATAAGTCCATTGAATATTTATTTATGTCGAAATTGTTGTTATATACACAAATGTTTTACAGTTACATATTTACTTAAAAGTATGTTTTTTTTTAAGTTTTAAAAATAAAACATACTTCATCTTGCCTTTTATATATAAAATAATAAAGACAAAGGGCTCTAAAAAGACTTATCTTAGATGTAAGATTTATATGAATTATTCCATTTCTATAATTGTTTTGCTTAGAACTTTCGACCAATTTTCTCTTTATATATTTATTATATTTGCAATATTACAAAATTTCAAACAGTTAATGGAAGAGCAAGGGTTTTGAAAGGATTAAAAGTTTCCAAACATATTTTTAGGGTATTGCTGTTTTTTTATTTATTTCCTTGAGTTAATGATATTTTTATTAAATGTGTATGTTTATATTTTGGAAACTTTTTTTCCCTGTTTTTAGTTACAATATTAGTTATGAAATGTATCTTGAAGTGTACCAGTTGATCTAATAAATTTTTTAAAAAGCTACTCAGGAGTTTTCTTGCGAAATACCCTTGCACTTCTTCTAGTTTTGAAATTATTTTGTCGTTTTGCTTTGGGCTATTTTGTTCCTTTCGTTTTTCCCTTTACTTTAGAGGTTTATTTTATTTTAGTCATTTATTTTTCTTTTTGTTCCTTAATTTCGCTCGTGAAGCGATTAAAACAGCCCTGAAACAAGAAAACCTGAATCCAGAGATCGAGGAGAAGCTGTTGCAATTGCAACGGTACCAAGAGAAGCAGATGAAACAGGAACCTGAGTGTCCGTCGCCGGTACCTAAAGTAGTACCTCCCACGATTCCGACCGTAAATCGGTTCGCGACGGTTGCTAGGAAACGGCCTCCCAGTACGTCCAAGAACGATGACGCTGATTGGGTCATGGAACAGCCGAAAAGAAGTAGACCGAATAGGAACAGCGAGAGCAAGAAAATCGAAACTATTTTACAGTAAGTATAGGAGCAATATTTCTGCAGTGGAATTATCAGTTATTTTTTATACAAGACGATAGATAATATGGTATTTTATCGTCGACCTAAAAGAATAATTCAAGAGCGATGAAATCGCGAGTGAATTAATTTCGGGAGACGATAATGCAATTTTATCGTCGTGTATAAATAGTATTTTTTTCATAGCGAGTTACGTTTTAAAAAAATATTCAAAAATTATTATTTCAACTAATTTATTACTAGTAGAAAAAATATTGTGCTGGGTTGGCGTTGGGTTTGGAAATGGCTCAAAACGAAATAAGTAAATTACCAACAGATATTCAGGCTGAGGCGACAAACGCCATATCCAAACTACTTCCATTTAAATCCCGAATAACTTATGAAAAGGAATACAAAAATTTTCAAAAATGGAAGCAGTTAAAAAACGTGCGAGAAGAAATAAAGTTTTTAACCTATCCTCGCTGTTAAAGTATTATTTAATCCACCCTTGCGGTTAAAGTACTATTTTATCTACTATTTTTGATAGATATAAGGATGGATATAAGGCAATTTTAACAGTTGCTATGGAAAAAAGTAACATATTACTAAGCGGTTTTATATACCGATGTGGTTATCGAAACTGCGTGGTCTGGATTTTAACGTGTAAGACAGTGATGTAGACAGCTGAATGGTAAATCAAATGTATTAAAAAGAGATAAAAGTAGGGTTGATACATTTCTCACAATTATTTACTCATTTTACTACAGCTGTACTATATTATATTTAGCTTAGATATATTATCTTCATTTCAGTAGTATCCATGAAAGTTTTTAAAATAGTTTATTTTTTTCTACACACATTTTCCTATAAACATAAAAACCAGCAACACTGTATGCCGTTTTTTATTTTGTCTGTCTGTCAACCGGTCATTTATATTTATCTCTGTCGCGTGCATTAAAATACAGACCACGCAGACGAATGTCGGCGCCAAACAGTGATATTCTGCATTCCCAAAAATGCCTAGTGAATTCACGTATTAACCGGCAAACCGCATAACTATAGTAAATTAATTAAATGAATTACTTTACCCTGTTTGCCAGTTTTAGGCGATCTTTAAACTTAGATAGTGTTGCTTTTTGGTGCGTCAAAGTAGGGGATTTTCCGTAATTACATTATTGAAGATAAAGAAATACATTGTAAGGTTTCTAGTTATCAGCATTTTGTAATGGAAAACTGGTTGTTTTGAAATTGGAGATATCATCATCATCATTCTCAGCTTATTCAACCATTTCCAATTATGGTGTAGCCTCCCTTAGCTAATTAGATACTCTCTTTTTAGTTGGTCGATTGTTGTCTATTGTTGGCTATGCGGGCCCAAGTAGTCCTTGCTAATTTCCTAATATCATAGTCCCATCTCAGGTTTGGTCTTTCTCTAGGTCTCTTAATTCCTCGTGGGTACCATGCTGTAATTTTTGTGGTCCATCTGTTTTATAACATACTCGTATTATATTTATTATTATCAAAACGGTTTGTACGTGAAGTATAACGAATAGAACAATCCATAGAAATAATATAACCAACTCACAGAACAGAAAAACCAAATAACAGATCTAAAAACAGTAGTATAAAATAAACCGAGTGATGAAATTGGCATAAATCAGTTTTGTTTTTATCTCTAATAATAAAATCAGTACAGGCTGTTCAAATTTATGGATCACCCTGTACATAGTGTTTCTATTTAACGAACGCATAAATACTATTCATCTAGTTTCCTATAAAATAAGTAACCAAACAAGGTATCTGAAAACGATTCAATTAATTACGGCGTTTCACTGAAACAATTTCGTCATTACAAGGAATGACTGAGATCCCCAGACAAAAGATGTACTGAAGTGAAAGATGTAACTGAAGTGTCACGCTGTTTGTCGGCTATATATGAAACGACTATAGTCTGTCCAACGACAAGATTCTTGACAGTGATAGATATGTCTGTCATTTTAATTTCAAAGTAGTTTATTTTATTTTACAAAGAAATAAGTTGGTACAACTGGAACGCATAGCAGGAAATTAATATATTTATAATTTAACTGGCAAATGATTACTTCAAAATATTGTGGAAAAAAAACTATGAAACTGAAAAAATGTAATTGAGTTATTTTATTAAAAAAAACGGTATGTGTTATTACAAAACAAACAAGAACAAAACACCACATACCAAAAAAAAATATAAAAAAGAACAATTTCTTACTTTCAAGCTTCAAGAAACTTCCCGTATTTATTATTATATTTATCAATATAACTTATGTACAAATACAAATTTGTAATATTCCACAGGAATAAATAAAACAACATAAATAAAACAAACTATTTTATTAATAATAACACTTACCAAATTTTATACCTTAAAGGTTGATTAGTTAACTTTACTCTTAATTTTTTTAAACCAGTACTTTTTGACATTATTTTTCTGCAGTACTAAAATCCATTATTTATCTAAGTATTTACCTATCGTGTGATGTCGATATTTTACAGCTACTACAGTAGTATACGAGTATGTTTAGTACGATCCTTGTACCATATACGAGATGCACTTATCTACGACGAGATGGTATACCTACAAACTTATTGGTGTAAAAGACTTTCTGCCGGGGCATCGAGTATTAACTATAAACTGTGCTCTGGGTCTACAGTTAATTTTCCCTCCATTTTTCCTCCACTTGACATCAAAAGACACAAAACACACGTAATAACACGAATCAAAATGCATCATCTTCCGCAGATATTTGACTTGACATAAGTTGACACAAAATTATAACCTATAATTTGGCAAGACTTTGACAAGCCTCAAAAATCTAAAGGCGAGTTCATACGCATCGGCGTCGTTCATCGTTCCGTCAAACCAATAAAATTGAAATATGATCTGTCATTTTTGAAATAAACCAATAAAACTGGTTAAAAACAACAAGAGACGACGCATGACGGATTTATATTTAAACCTATCCATAGTTAACTTAAAAAATATTAGAAACTTTTTTTAGTAAAATAAATAGATTGATATAGGACGTCATCTGCTTTTCTTCTGTCATCGTCTGTCGAAATCTTACCTGAGAAAAAAAAACAGAGTATAGGCATTTTACGGAATGACGGATTATATTATAATGTTATTTATATTATAGACCTGAAAGTCCCGTCAAGGAGAAAATTCTGTCACCAAGATCGCGTTCAAAGAGTAAAGAAACCGAAAAAGTATCCAACGCGAAAACCAAGATTATGGTTACTCTCTATCGGCAGAAAGAATTTCTCAAGAAGGACATACTAAGAAAGAGGGCACTATTAGAGAAAGAGTTACAATATGAAATACAGGTTTGTTTTTTAATTATTTATTTAGGACAAATGCTTTATAATATACTCTTACAATTGTAGAAGGAAGTGGCAGAAGAATTGGCAGCTCGAACGAAGATCGAAAGGACGAAACAAGATGAAGTCAGAACGGGAAGTAGTAAGAGAAAATCTGCGGCCACTGCTACAACTGCTGCCATTCCAGTTCCCAAAACTACCCCGAGTAGAAGCAAGAAAACGTCCAAATCGCATAGTTCACCCAATGCGCCTAATCAAAAAGGACTCAAGAAAGAAAAGGTTAGTTATGATTACTTATTTCCCAATAACAACTATGTTTAGTATTATCGGAATAATCAAATAACTTTGAATTATTTTTTATATTATTCCTTGCCTCATTATGTATTAGTCTCGTCCCTAGCCTTTGAATAAAACGTTAACACTGACAAGTAAAACGTTATGTGTAGATGTGGCCTTAAGCTTGATTTTCATGCATCTGTTATCCGATGATACAATATTAATTTTATTGGTTGAATTTAGACTTCGATTGGTTAGAAAATTACGCAGTTTTTAAATTTATTACATTTCATGCTTCCGTTCATCGGATATACGATTTGCTTCTGATTGGTGTCATTTTATATTTTCATTTCCACAACGATTTCGCTGTTTTACTTATAGTCTAAGAGCTAGCAACGTTTTCGAGAGAGATTTTTAAAAAGCTGGTGCTTTAATATATCTTTTGCTATGCTCTCCTGAACTGAGTGCTGCCTGAACAGCTGTGAACAGTTTGGCTGCCGATAGATGTTGCGTTCACTACTGCGCATCATATGTGTATTCAACATCTGTTCACTAATTCGCATCACAAATTTGCCCTGTATTTCAGGAACTAAGGAGGCTAGAACAAATCTACGTGTAGCATATTTAGTTTCATAAAAAAATTAGCAAAGTAATGTGAAAATTGCATCATTGTATCTCATAAACGATAAATCCCATAAAACACACGAAAATGGGATACCCTGCACAGATATGATGCGCATCGGCAAGAACCAGCTTTCCTAAAATTCTCGTTTTCCCGACGCGATGGTGCTAGCTCTTGTACCATTATATTTTTCATTAAGGTTGGATTAAACTTGTCACAAAAGTGTTAAAACGTTCGTTATCGTACGATCTTTCTCCGTTGACGTGCTGGAGTAAAAAATTTATGGATGAAAAGTTTTTTTTATTCAAAGGTTGAAATTGTCGAATAAGGAAAGAGCGGTGTTGCCAATAAGAGGAAATATTCCCCGATTTAACGGACTTTCTTTAACAATAGGTTTATTTTTAGGTTTATTGCATATGTCGCACGCCCTACGATGAAACTAAATTTTACGTCGGTTGTGACCTGTGCAATAACTGGTTCCACGGCGACTGCGTGGATATCACCGAGGAGAGTAGTAAAACTCTCACGGAATTCATATGCGACGAATGCAAATCAGCGAGAGAAGATCAAAAACTCTACTGCTTATGTCAACAGCCATATGATGATTCACAGTAAGTAGATAATAAATGTCTATTGAATCTTTTTTTCTAAAGTAATCGCAAAACAATTTCCGATGCACGTGATCAACTTTGAGTAACAAGCGATGGCGACAGCGCTGCCAGATTGTGATGAATTTAGGAGATGAATCTTAATTTAAAATTGGGAAACAAATATATTTGGATTATCATCATATATCTTTTTAAAGATTTTTACGTTTTATTTTTAATTTAATAATCAATATTTTAGCAATTAATTAATTTATTAACAGTAGTCACTGACACTCACAGTAGAAGTATTTAAATTTAAGGCAGCAGCTACTCGTTACAAATCGACATAAGTAAAAATAACTTTGAAAGTGGTATAATGTGCTTACTAATCAAACTTGCTTCTCTGATTGCAGTCAAGGGTTGCAGTCAGGTTATTGTCACGTTCTCGTTCAAAATAGTTTATCAGGAACGCTACAAGCTCTTTGCTTCGACTGTTTTAACGCTTCGGCGTATTTTCAACACATAATTTCAATTAATGCTGTACAAAAACTCGAAAATTTAGTTCTTAAAAGAACTGTTTGTGCTTAAAAGTACAATTTTTAAAGAAAGACTATGAAAATCGGCAAAAAAACGAGAATTACTCTCAAAGGTTTAACAACAACACGATATTATACAAAATAATGACTGACATTCAGTCACGTCAAATAATAAACGACAACGTTGCTTATCGCGGCGCAATGTGACATGGCGATAATAAAAATCGCTTTAAACTAATTTTTGCAGCCTTAATCTAAATAAAGCATCTGTTACAATCATTTGCTCTATAAAGTAAAATGAAGCGCTGTTCGGTATCTTAAATTATACAACAAATTTAATCATTTTTGCCAAAATTTTATTTAGTCAGGTTTATAAGCTCTAGTATCAATTTCGATATGATTGATGACGTGCATCGGAAAATGTGTTGCGATTACCGTATATTATAAGATTAAAACTATACTCTCTAATAGGTTTTATATATGCTGTGACAACTGTCAAGATTGGTTCCACGGTAGATGCGTGGGCATTTTACAGTCGGAGGCGGACAACATCGACGAATACGTATGTCCGCGATGTCAAACGAATAGTTCGGTTAATTATGCCAATATGAAAGATTTGACGCAAAAGGACTTTGACAATTTAAGAAAATTAATCAAACAAATTCAGGTAAGAAGTGTTATTTGATGCCTTTGATGCCATTTTGTATATTCGTATTTATTTAATTTTAGAGTCACAAAAGTGCTTGGCCATTTATGGAACCTGTAGATCCTACGGAGGCTCCTGATTACTATAAAGTTATTAAGGAACCTATGGGTAAGTTTAATTGTGAACTTGACAATTTGGACTTTGTACATGCTCTTTTAGAAATTTCTTTAGGTTTTTGGTGTTTATAATATATGAATACACCTATCTACAATATAATTTCAATATACACTCACCGCACACACGGCAAATTACTATGTTTAGCTTGACGAAAATCGAAATCACAATAGTATATTAAACACGAGTTTCGAAAACGACGTTTTGCACACGAGTTCGACAGTTTGTTGGCTCGAGCCGCAGGCAAGAGCCACAAGTCGAACGACTGTACAAAGAAGTTTTCGAACGAGTTTTTTACGCTATTTTTTCTACGACTACAAATGACACTTTTCTGACGACTGCGTTCCGTTTGGCGTTTCAGCTAAATATTGGAGGTTAAAAATGTTAAAATTGACACATATTGTGTGCACTAAAAGTAAGCGTGCGCAAAGATTGCACACCACAAAATTTGCGCATGGTGTGTGAAAAAGTCACTTTCAGATTCACTTTAGCGTGCGTTTTTTAACGTTTTACATAGCAGTCGTAGAAAAAAAAATTTTTTTCGTATGTCCATCCACTCACTATTGTTCTTATAAAATCTGTGGACCTAATTTTAAATGTTATAATTTTTTCCGAGCAACTATAACGGCGCGATTGATGGAGTCCGCACTTTCTGGGGAGAGCGTTAGCCTTGCACAAACGTGGAGCGCAACAGAGTGTCATTTATACCCAGCACAGCCATTTGAAAATTAATTATCATTATGGACAATATACCTACAGACATGTAGTACAATTATTAAATAACATCAATATAATAAATTTGAACTGTTTTGAATGTAGATACAATATATTTTAAACACACTATTTTGTGTTTATTTTTTTATAATTTTGTTTTCATAATGAGTTATAGTAATGAGTTCCACCGAGTTCCGCTTTTAAATTATTAAAATTAAAATCTCTAATGTATGTTGATACAGGTATAAAAAAAATCAGCTTTCCCAAATTTGCCCTTTTTTTGAAATAGCCTTTATTTGCAGGGAGTCGCACTGATTTCTATACCAGTCCTGTAATATCAAGAAAGGCTTTTTTAGTTTTAAGAAGACAGATATTCTAAATTATGAATTTCAAGTTTATTACGAGCTTTTTTTCATATATTATTGACAGTAGAAAACAAATCAAATGGCTGTGCTGGGTGCAAATGACAATCTTCTGCGCTCCACGAAAGGTGCGAACTACATCAATTTTCGGTAACGCTTGCACTACTCTAGTTGAATGGAAAAATTTATAATATTTAAAATTAGCCCTAAAATGTAATAAGAACAATGTGTGGATAAACATATGAAAAAAAGTTAATTTCGATTTTTGTCAAGCTAAACATTGCATTTTGCCGTGTTTGCACCGGCACGAAAAACGGGCACCTAAAATTTTGATGTATTAAAGTTTAATATATTTTGTTCTAGTGGACCGATTTTGATGATTTTTTAAGCAATTTATAGCTAGATTATTTGAATTTTTAGTATCTCAGTCTAAATTAAAAATGAAGCTTCTCGTCTGTCAATTATACGAGGGGGATCAGAATGTCGATATTTTGGTGAAAGTTTGAAACACCCTGTAGAATATGTTAACGAAGCAAGACAATTAAAAATTATTTTATTGTATTTTTTCTCGATAGTTAGTTTTTTGGTTCATTTCCATAGCTTTATTTTTGTTGGAGATATTTGCTTTAGAAGAAGACACTAACATTTTTTCGTAATTTTTACATTAAAACCATGACTTTGCTTTGGATTCCAGTCAAAAGACCTATTAAACAGTATTTATAGTCTGATATAACACTCTAGTTATTGTCTGATGGCTGGCAGTTACTTCAGTATAGATGGTTTTAAGTCCAGAAGTTGTATCCGTTATAATAGTTGCTTTAATTGAAGATGAGATTAATATTATATCGCTAACAGATTAGATGTGCACGAAGTACCGTGCAGTCGTTTCCTCGAGACAAGTTCATATGTTTGACGTCCAGGATCCTTCTTATGAGAACTTATTGTAAGTTTATTGCTAAGAAACTGCCGTTTGTCAGTTTTTCAAATTTATAATGAATTGCACCTAAGGAACGTACATGTAAGTGAAAGGACTGTAAGAAGAAGATTAAATGAAGCAAATATTATGTCAAGAAGGCCTGCGAACGCAACTTACTAGGTCTGTTGACTAGTACCAAAAGCAAAGGCATAGTTTCAATGTAAAAATTACGAAAAAATGTTAGTGTCTTCTTCAAAAGCGAATATCTCCAACTAAAATTGATATAAACCAAAAAACAAACTATCAAGAAAGGATATGGAGATAAATCTAGATGATAAAATTATTTTTAAATTCTTTACTGTCTTAACATATTCCACAGGGCGTTTTAAACGTAAACGTTATGTTCTAAGAGTTCTTTATCAGTTTTTTAGGGTTCCATACCCAAAGGGTAAAAACGGGAACCCTATTACTAAGACTTCGCTGTCCGTCCGTCTGTCACAAAGCTCTATCTTATGAACCATTATAGCTAGACAGTCGAAATTTTTACAGATAATGTATCTATGTTGCCGCTATAAGAACAAATACTAAAAACAGAATTAAATAAATGTTTATAAATAAAGTACTTTCACTAAACATTATCTTAAAGTAAGAATTTTACATAGAATCTTTCAAGTTCTCGGTGGCCGCGTGGTTTAAAGCGTTAGGACTTTACGCTGCTATGACGTTGGATCCGTAGTAAGGCAGGTTCGAATCCTAGTCAAGGCGACTTTTTTTTAATCGTTTTTTTTTATTTTTACAAATTTTTACATATTTATTTTTACTTTTTACATATTTATTATTGATTAATATAATTTTTAGTAAATTGTTTCTTCATTTTTTTAAATTACTTATACGCGCATTCAAAATTTCAGCTAAATCAGAAAAAAAGTTTGTAATAATATAGCGTCTAATGTTGTATAGATAATGAATGGTACGGAACCCTTCGTCCGCGAGTCCGACTCGCACTTGATCATTTTTTTTTGTATTTGTACCTCGGAAAATATTCAATAATCATTAATATTTATGCAATAACCATATACCGTGCTGGCAACTCTTACTTTTGGGTCGGTATTTGCATGTGTGGAAGTAAATCGCATAGGGATCTTATTAAGTCGGAGTGAGAGGAATGCGACGGTGTGCTGTTGCGGCGTTGCCACATTTCTCCGGTACGCCTTTCCCTATCAAGTAAAGTAAAATCAAGATCGCAAGAAAAGTAAAATCACGATAACTAGATAAAATCATTAGATATGTTTCTAAGCATCTGAAATATAAGGATATCGTTAGGGTGTTCATATTTTTTATAACGAGGAAACGTCAGTAATCGCTATAATTTAAAAACTCAACTTTTTAGCACATAACACGCGATAACTCGAGAACCACTTTAGATATTGAAACTTTTTTTATTTTGAAGTTCGGATCTTTTACAAGATATTTAGAAATGTTGAGAAAAATGAGAAAAATTCGATAGACTTGTTTTTTTTTCATTCAAAACATTTTAAAAAACCCGTCCATTTACTTTTAGTACACAGCAATTTTCAGTAACTTTTTTTTGTGAAGATTTTCACATACTGTTTGCGTAGAAAATCTAGCAGAAATATTAAGAAATCTAAATAAAATAAAAAAGTTTTTGAAAGATACTGCAATTAATTATTTAAAACGGATTTCGAAATATCGATTTTTGAATTCAGAGTTCTAATAACGCGATCACTGTCGAACACCAACTCAATTCCACTTATTTTTACCAAAAGTGCAAGTGTTTCTAACTTGCACTTCAAAATTTACAAGTTATAGGGAACAATACAACGACTCGTTAATAAATAAACAAATAAAGTATCACAAGACGTAATTAAAACGTAAAGCTGAACGCATGATATGCACCCTTTTCTAGAATTTTAAGTACTGATTGGGTCGACCGCGACGAATCTGCTGTATTTCTTCGACGTCTCTTAGCAATGTTCACAGATTCTCGGTTTATTTCATACGTTTGGCAACATTTTTACTGTTCTCTCTTTGTTCAGTACGTTATAAACGCATTGTGCTCTTCTTACATACTGAAATCTCGACCCAAAACTAACCTTTGCCAGCTCTTAGTATACAACTATGCAACTGACTACTTTTATGACGTCATGATTCGTTATCTCGAGTCTCTATCTTCATAACGTGCGCTTTAGAATAAGTACTCCAGTGTGTGAGTGCATGTTTTTTTTATGTTGTGTCTTATTTTCAGATTTGCAGAAGATTGAGAGCAAAGTCAACGATCATCGCTACAAGAAATTGAGCGAGTTCATAGGAGACATGACGAAAATATTCGACAATTGTAGATACTACAATCCAAAGGAATCTCCCTTTTTCAAGTGCGCCGAATCGTTGGAAGCATTTTTCGTTAACAAAATAAAATATTTAAGAGACAAGCTGTTTGAACACCCCAAGTAAAATATTTAGAGTAATTGTTTTAGGAAAGACTGTAAATAGCATGAAACATGTCAGTCTTCAAAAAATTTTACAGATGTTTTTGAAAAAAACAAAAAGTAGTTCAGTATAAGTGGTATTAAGTAGGTTTTACTACTACTACTTAAGATTTTGCAAGAAATAGCTTTTCATTTCCTTATATACTTTTAAGAATATAATTAGGATTTTTTGCAGGTTTTAAAGATCTCAGCTTTAATTCGTTTATTTTTTTATTATTTCGTTTTTTTTTTAAATCAACTCTGCCACGAAATCCGAAAATTTGTAAATATTTTGTGAATAATATTGTGAATAAAAACACTTTTGTAAATGGTTTGCTCGTATTTACAACGCTTATTTGGTCGTAGTCTTAACTGAATATATTTTAATAGAGTGTAACAAAGTGTAATATTGTTTATTGACAAATCATCTACTTCTTCGACATCATTTTAAATTGAATATTTATATATGATTGTCAATCATCTTTAGGTATAGTGCCATTGTAGATATTATATAGGTATTCATTTCTAATTTGATTAATTTAAAAGAGAGATTTCCATTTACGTTTGCACATATTTTAAATTTTTATATTTAGTCAGTAGACTTATCAAAAATGTTTTATTGACAAATAAAGATACTTATAAAGTGAAATATACATGTTGCTTTTCATTTAAACTGAGTCAATCATAAAGAGCCATGCTTGAGTAGTAACCTTTATTTTATTCTTAGGTTTGTTTGACTTTTGACAGCTCTTAACACTCTTGAATTTTCATAACTTTAAAATAAACGCATTGTGCTTCGTTATTTTTAAGCTTATTTTTCTCCTTATAAACTATGCTGTAGTGACTTGGTTAGAGGTTAGATGGCGTTATTTCGAAATTCCCAATTCTTTTATGTGGCATTTTTTAGTTTTTTTAATGCATTTATTAAGAAAGTTGATGATAAAAAATTAGCCTTGCCATTTTGTAGAGAAGAAAAAGTGATCATTTCATTTATCAATATTTGTATGAAAAATACTTATGCAATATTAAGAAAATAGTATATTGTTTTATTAGGAGTAAAAATGACACTTTTTGTATTGAGGTTGTACGTTTGACATTACAGGCGAAGCACTAAAAAGTCATTTTTACTCTGAATAGAACATGCTATTTTTTTTCGAACGTTGCAAATCATATAAAAATATTTGAAAATAATACCTTGTATGTTGTATGTAACTATTAATTACTTGTATGTAATTATTAATTATACCGGGTGCGTCGCAAAAGTGGCTCATCCCTATAACTTTTTTATTTTTTTAGATAAAAAGAACGAGATTTGGTATGTTAGTATATGACATAAATTAGGATTGATTGACGTATTAAATTGTTTTTGGTCACTTCCTGTTTCACCGGAAATGACTATATCTTTGAAAATGACACTGTGAATAGAATGACATATCATATGTCAACTTTTGACATTTTCGCATACGGTTTATTTGAAATGGTAACATGCGGTTCATAACGACAATTTGACTCGAAATACCATATGTGTAGTATCAAGTTATTCCTAAAAAATGCTTTTTCCAAATATGCTAATGAGCCACCCTTGTTCGATTTGAAAAAATTGAGATATTAAAATTACGATTTGGGCATCTTTTAACTGGCCAGGACAAAACATGAAAAACATTAGACGATGAAATCTATTTTTCCAAGGCTCCTTGATTAAAAGTTGGTGTTTTTAACATAGCCATGGTACACTAGATTCAAATTTAAAATACGATTTCTTAAGCAAAAATGTCAAAAGTTGACATATGATATGTTATTCTATTAAGGGTGTGATTTTCTTATGAATAAAATAAATATCGAGGGTGCCATTTAAAAATCATAAGTTGTAGTCATTTCCGGTGAAACAGTAAGTGACAATCAATCCTAATTTATGTCCTCCATATACTGAGACTATATACACACACCGGAAAAGTCTAGGGATATTACAATTTTATCCAGCCATCGTCAGTAATTTTATTGTTTGCATTTCTGATATAGGACGTATTGGAAATAAAAATGCGAAATTTACCGAATTTTTCAAATTTACCTTGATTTTTATTGAACTCAAAAAAATACACACATTTTTTTTTTATTCTAAACTGTGAATTAAAAGATGAAGAAAAGATAAAACCAATTTTACTTAATAAAGGGTATGGCCTCCTCTACTGTTCATTACAGCCCTACATCGTCTCTCCATGCTCCTGATCAGGTTGTCGATCTCTTCTTGAGGTACAGCCTGCCACGCTGCATTCACGGCCCGAACCAGATCCCTACGAGTTTCACGAGGCATATCCATTCTCAAAATTCTTCTTTGGACCGCGTCCCATACATGCTAGATGGGGTTGAGGTCAGGAGATTGTGCCGGCCAGGGTAAGATGTTTAATTGATGAGCATTGATAAACTCACTTACCACTCTGGCTGTATGAGGCCGTGCATTGTCATGCATGAGAATGAAGTTTCTCCCAAAATCATTGGCATATGGTAACATGACAGGCTCAAGAATTAAATCACGATATGTGATTCCTGTTAGAAACCTTTCAAGAAAAACGAGATCGGTTTTTCGGCCTAACTGGACTGCTTCCCAGACCATAACTGTTCCACCTCGATAAGGGTGCACTTCCTGAACATGATCCAACCGAATAAGATTTCCCGGTTCTCTCCATACCCTAGGCCTTCTCGAATCCGGATGAATTCCAAAGCGTGACTCACCCGTGAAGAGAACATTGGCCCATTGTTCATTCGACCACTGAACATGATCTTGAGCCCGCAAATATCGTACCTTTCGATTTCCCCTCGTTAAGGGTTGAGCTCTCCAGGGGCGTCTGCTTCTTAAGTTGACCTCTCTTAATCTATTGCGAACAGTGTCAGGACTAACGGTTACATTATGTGTTTCCTGGAGAATTAAACTAAGCTCTGGTGCTGTAAGAGCCGGTCGGCGTTGAGCATTTAATTGTAAAAAATGATCTTGCTGAGGGGTAGTAATGCGATGTCGCCCTGTGTGCCTTTCAGCAGCATCACCACTTTCACGGTAGCGTGCACTTAATCGCGATATTACACTTTGCGTTGTATTTAATGCTCTAGCTACGTCGATTTGGCGCATTCCAACTTCGAGCATACCCATGGCCCTTAGCATTTCGTTTCTCTTAAGATGTCTACGCTCCATAATGTTATTTAATACTAAACAGAGTTATTTGAATAAATTCTGGCCAGTTATCATAAAAACATAGCCAGTACAGGTCAAATTCGAACAATTGATGCTAGGTGCTTTTTATACATTTGACAAAAAATGCACAAACACTTCTGCAAATATCCCAAATTTAGAAATAACTAGTGTAACTACTTCGTTTCAATCGAAGTAGAAAGAATCGGCTTACAAATATGTGGTTGTTTATTAAAAACATTTATTTTTAACTTTAATAAAATGATATCCCTAGATTTTTCTGGTGTGTGTATTTATGTACTCCATATACTAACATACAAAATCTCATTTTTTTATCTGAAAAAATAAAAAAGTTATAGGGGGTGAGCCGCTTTAGAGACGCACCCGGTATATTGAGAAACTATAGTTACGCTCGTTGAATTTGACACTTTATGCCAGTTTCATAATATATTTTCGTACTTTTGTGCTTAGGCGTTAAAATGACGTTTCTATATTGTCAATCACGTCGCAAAAATTAGTAATTTTGTGACGTTTGAAAAAATAAATATTTGACCTTTTTATTTTTTATAAAAGGAATGAAAATGAAACATGGGCTAAAAAAAGATATATATTTTATTTGACGTCATTCAGTACTTGACTAAACTTATCTAAAAATATGTCGGCATGTTGTTCCTGGAATACTAATGATGGTCTCAATCTTATCGCGTGGTCTCCACAACCACCAGCAATAACGCCTGTAAATGAAGTATATAAGTGAAATAATTCTGAATTAAATAACTTAACTGCCAATATGTCTATATCTATTAAATTTTAAATAAAAGTAATTGAAGGGTCCAGAGGACAACATGATAAGCGCCATTTTACTAATTTTACAGGAGAGCACTAGACGGCTGGTAGCTATCAGTTTCTTTCCGTGTATTCTATAATTTTACTAGGCATATATCGTAGAATTTAGCAACTTATTGCCCTGCAGAGTTTATACATTTTGTAGGGACCAGTTAGACCTACTATTATATTGTAAAATTCGAAAATCAAGAAATTGGCGCTTATCAAATTATTCCTCTTGACCCTTCCATCGTAAAAAAAGGATAAAAGTAGATTAATTTGGACACAGCGGCACAAGATAAATAATATAGCTATGTTGGTATATAGTTATGGTAATTTGGCATGGGGTTATGAGTAAGTTATAGTAACCAGTTAATAGCCCCCCATACATCTGCAGACTTGGCCTACTGATAAACATTTTGCGTTTGTGGGGCGGACTAAGTATGTGGCAGGCCAAGCCTTTGGCGGACTGTCACAGGTCAAATCCTCAGATCTGCCACTTGATCTGTTAGATTAGACTACTCTAAAAAAAAGAACGAAGTATAAAGTCGGCAGACTCGGCAGTTTTTATTTCAATAAACATTTATCTATATAAAAACGTCGAATTTTGTCCAAAAGGAGAATATTTAGTCAGTTTTGGTACGTGAGAGGCCAAGTCTGCAGGCCGGATCTTCTGGTGTATGGGGTGGGAGGCTAACCAATATTACCTTTTTGTTTCAATTTTTCTAGAATTTTGTCGCGCAACCCATGATCTGTCGTATTCACTGACAAAAATGATCCACGACCCCTCGTTGAATTTAACAAGTTCGAATGTTGTTTCTCTAAATCTAGTAGTCCGGCTTTCAGTCTGTTTCCTGTTTTCTGGACTTGTTCCAGTAAATTTTGCTGTTTGATCACTTTAACTACCGCTTCCAAGAGGAACAGTTTGCCTGGATCTCCCAGCCAAGTGTTGAAAATGCGGTAAGGATGTTTCGGTCTGCAAGGAAAGAAGAAAATTACAATTACAGACAAGATTTTGTCGTTTACCTTAAGAGTCTATTACGCTGTACTTTCGGGTCGCTCTCAGGGATCGGGCAAAGCGGGTGTGTGGCCAAAGGAAATGTATATTATATTTCAGAAATCTGCCTAAAGCTTAGCCCGATCCTGTCGTGTTAAGCCACATCCAAAATTCCAAACACACGTGATTCGATTAAGGTTTGCAGAGCTTCAGCATTTGCCATAAAATAGCGAGCAATTTGTTACAAAACCATATAAATTATATATCACTGTAACCACAAAACTTCATTCTATTTCCGTATTGTAACGGAATTTTAAATTATGTCTTTATTTTCGAGAAAATTTAGTCCAAACATAAGGAATATTTTGTTGATGTTTGACCATCAAAATCTTTAAAATAAAGAAGTTGTTTAAAAATGTGCTACAATACGGATATAGTATAATCGTTTATCTTTAATTTCCTTCTTCATTTGTGTAAAAATACCTAGCCAGTTTTACATAAAACGTTAAATGCCGAACGCTTATTTTGCTACTTTTTGGGACTAGTGAAATGGACTCTTAAGTGATGTATCTGTTGGATAAATTCTAAAAACTGAGAAAATTGACACAACTGTCACTGTCATGGCTCCTCTCGTTGGACAAACTATAGTTTTAAATGTTACCTACCTCATATCGAGTGTATGAAAGAATCCACCAGTTAACATTTTCTTGCTGAAAGTAACTATATCCGGCGGAGATTCTAAGTTGAAATATTCATGGCACCACATTTTTCCTGTGGCTCCTGCTCCTGTCTGGACTTCGTCGATTAAAAGTCCTGCTCGGTGTTTCTTAGCAATCCGTTGAAGCTCCTGTATAACAAATTATTAATTGGCTAATTTACGTTAATGAATTTTTGGGGAAGCTAGCAAAATTAACAAACTTTTCGTTTAAAAATATATTGGGTTTGATTTTTTAAATTTTAAATGGCATTATCCTACCTGGAAAAATTCTGGAGATGCTTCATTATCACCACCCTCAGACTGAATAGGTTCCACGACTATACCGGCTACGTAGGTACCTTTTTTGTTGTATTTTTCGATCAAATCCTCGACTTCAGCCAGACATTTTTGATCTTCTGCTTGGTTTTCTCTAACATTTTCTTCTAATGGATATTTGTATCTAGAAATGAAAATTATTTGTGAATAAAGATGATAAATCAACAAATCTATTAAAAATATTTTAAATAGTTTTTACTTTGTTAATACTTGATTTATTTATGTATTTTCATTTTTTATCTACCCAGGAAAATCTGTTTTACCTAGGAAAATGGGCTATCGGCCAATCCAGCGAAGGTACATCCAGTTTATGAATAGCTTTTGAGTGTGTGGTAGCCAAAGTGCCCATAGTTCTTCCGTGAAAAGCTCCATGAAAAGACAGGAGGGTTAGATTTGGTGAGCCTGGTGGTTTGTTCACCATACAAGACGTGTTTTCCAATTCGCTGTAGGTACCAATAAAATTATATTAAGTTTAAAAGATATACTTTATATAGGGTGTTTCAAAAAACATGTGCCATCTCTCGTAGGGAGATTCCTTACGTAAAAATAAGACTTATTTTTCATATCAACATAGGTCCGATTCTGCTTTATTTCGTAGCTACAGGGTGTTAAAGTCTTAATATTTTTTGCATTTATTATATAATTTTCTTCCAAGTACTTTTAGCGTTTCGAATGAAATTTTGAGTTAAGTGCGTTTCAATTATTAAAAGAGCATTTTTATTAGTTATTTTATTCTACTTACCTGAAATCGACATTTTCACCTCTCTCTTTGGCACGATAACTTATAAAAAGAGCTTTGTAAGCATTCTCGTTTGAACAGGATCCACACATCATAGTCATGACTTGGGGCAGTCCTGGCGATACTGATAACAAAACGTTTCTCAATTTTTCTGGCCAATCTTTTCCAGGATACACTCCAAGAGCAGGCCTATTAACTAGAGCTTTCTAAAATTATTTTTTATCAACCAGTTTTTGATTGCAGCGGTTGAAGCTTACCAATTTGTGGTCTTCATGGAAGACTTTTAATAATTCTGGATGGTTATACCCTATTGGTATGGAAGATATTTGAGTGAATGCATCCAGAAATACATTTCCGTCTACGTCTATTAGATAGTTTCCAATTGATTTGTCGTAATCGGCGAATAACTGTACCGAACCACTTTGCTAAAAAACAAAAAAAATTGGTGAGAAATATTTAATGTTTAAAAATATCATAGAGTTAAAAAAAATATAATGGGAATGGGGATAAAAAAGAATGTTTAGTGGTTAATTGAGGTAGGTACTCACAAAATCTGCATATATTTGTTATATTTTTGTATTGAGATACCAGGTGCATCTCAAAAGTAGCTCACCCCTATAACTTTTTTATTTTTTTAGATAAAAAAACGAGATTTGGTATGTTAGTATATGACAAAAATTAGTATTGATTGACGTATTCAATTGTTTTTGGTGACTTCCTGTTTCACCGGAAATTGACTACAGCATTTGATTTTTAAATGACACACTCGGTATTTTTTTACTTTATTCCATAGAAAATGACACTCTGAATAGAATGACATGTCATATGTCAACTTTTGACATTTTCGCTTTAAAAAAATCGTATTTTAAATTTCAATCTAGAGTGCCTTTGCTGTGTTAAAAACACTAATATTTAATGAAGGAGCCTTAGAAAAATAGATTTGGTCGTCTAATGTTTTTCGTGTCTTGCCCTGGTCGGTTAAAAGATGCCCAAATCGTATTTTTAATCATATCTCAATTTTTTCAAATGGAACGAGGGTGGCTCATTAGCATATTTAGAAAAAGCATTTTTTACGAATAATTTGGTACCACACACTTGGTATTTCGAGTCAAATTGTCGTTGTGAACCGCACGTTACAATTTCAAATAAACCATATGAGAAAATGTCAAAAGTTGACATATGGTCATTCTATTCAGAGTGTCATTTTCTATCGACTTAAGTAAAAAAATACCGAAAGTGTCATTTACAAATCAAAAGTTGTTGTCATTTCCGGTGAAACAGGAAGTTGCCGAAAACAATTGAATACGTCAATCAATCCTAATTTATGTCATATACTAACCAATGCCCTCTATAAAAGATCAGCCTACGGGCGGACTTTTGTTTACTTCATCAGCTGTACATACTTAGATATTGGGTTAGATTCTGTATTCATATTTTGTCGGTTGATTTTTGTTATTATTTGTTATTGTAGTGCAAAAAACTAATTATTTTGGTGTTTAAGTGACATAAAGTACTACCAGATATATGGTCACTATGATGGTCACTCTGTTTCTCACAAAAAAACACGAAATATTACACGTTTTGTTAAGTGCTTTAACCTAAAAGTGCCCATAAATTTTTTATTTATCGTGATTTTTGTGTGTGTTTTTTAAGACTCTAACAATTCATTAATAAAGCTTAAGTGGAGTGTGTTTTTGGTGCTATGCCTCATCTTTGTTGTGTTCCTGGTGGAAAGGATAGTTATACTAGGCAGCCTAAAGTATCCGGAAGAGCAAGAAAAGTGGGTACGAGTTATAAATCAAGACAATTCTATTGAAAATATCTTTAATAAATTTAAAAATAATATTCTCCCCGGATGGTATTAAAGAAAACTGGACAATTATGTTTATTTTAATCATATTGTGGAATCTCCACTCCAAGTGTTGTTGGTTCAGCTTCGATAGGTTTAAACACGTAAGATGAACACGTAAGTAGGTATTATGATCTAGGGAAAAATAAAGAATATGTGTATTAAAGATCATGAAAAAGATTATTATTTTGAGTTCAAAATTAAAAAAGATTTTTGTAAAGACAAGAATGATAATGTTTAAAAGAAGAATGTGTTTTTGTTTGATAATATAATGTATGTAAAGCATAACATATATTTGTTCAGTAATTTTTACTGAATAGTGTTGATTATTTATAATACCATATTAATATCAAATATTTAAGTGATGGCTGAATACAATATGAATAAAATTGTTATATTTGCAATACAAAATTAAGTTTTAAGAATAAAGGTGTGACTAAAAATACTATGAAATTCATATTTCTTTGTTTTAATTGGTCGAATGTTATTTACATTTTATGTGTAAGAATTATACCGTATCATCGAAAAAAATCGGCGTCTAGTTGTATAGTTAGCCGAAACGTTTTTTTTAAACCAAATAAAAATAATGAAAACCCAAATGAAAACTTAAATCAGCGTTTTTCCCAAACCTAAAAATCCCAAGAAAATAAAAAAAATTTAGAATAATTTTACATATAAAATGCCAGCGATCTTCATTTCATAGCCATCGCTGACGCCTTTTTTTAGATGATATTGTATTATTTGTAAATATAATTTTTCGAACACTTGCAAAATATACATATAAATTTTGTGAATGCAAATAATAATACATCACTATTAGTAGATATTGAATGTTTTTTGTTAAATTAGATCGATTTTTAAACCCCAAAATTTAAAATATATTTATATTTTACCCAATATCTTATGTAATACATTATTTGTATATTGTAAAACATTTGCTGCATTTGTATGGTTCATAGTTTATTTGCCAAAGTATTTATTAATATAAATAGGTATATATGTTGTCGTTATTAACTGTATATTATGTATATTTCATGTAAACTATATCATTTTTAAAATACAAACCAAAAATCTGAGGAATAATTATGTTTTCCATGTATTATACAACATATTTATTAATCCGTAGTATCTAACTAGCGTGACGTCATAAATCTCGCCCCAAGGCTGTTCTATTAGAGACGGCATTGTACTAACACACCCTCGTTTTTTATCTGAAAAAATAAAAAACTTATAGGGGGTGAGCCACTTTTGAGACGTACCCGGTATATTTAAAAGAGTTGTATATGAAAAAACTGCTATTTAATCGTAAGTCTGGTGCAACTCTAAATTACAAATACTATTGCTGTCTAAACTATTTTCTTACATTTATAGTATTTAAGTCAGCGATGAGTTTTTTTGATGCGGGTCCTGGTACTGCAGTTACAATATTAGGCCCTTTCGGTTCTCCTGGTACAGCTGTGGCTGTAGTACGAAGTGATCCTAAAAAAATACATATTTTTCAATATACCAAAATAGATATTTCTTTAGTCTAAAGTCCTAAATAACGTTTGAAGTGAATAATAAAAAAAACTGCTATTCTTTCTCTAATTAATTTGTTTAGAGAATTCGATTTTCTTGTAATTAGATTGCCTATTTATCTTTCTTAATTAACTAATATTTGATATTAGATATTATCCTGTATTATACAGGGTGGTCCGAACTGTATTCCGGAAACTTCGGTAGCATATTCTGCAGATAAAAATAAGTAAAAAAGTTCGTATAAATGTATGTACTAAATTGCTTAGTTTCGGAGATACAGGGTGTAGAAGTTTTATTTTTATTTCGATTTTTTCCAAATCATTTCTGAAGTAACGTCAATATTTGGATGAAAATTGATGTCTGGGAGTTTTTTGACAAGAGAAATTTGATTTTGATGTTAGTATGACTCCAACTTGTAGAGGGCGCCACCTACGTCTGTTTTAACTGTTTTGAAGAGTAATAATAATAAAAAAAATATACATTTTCGTGATTTTTTACGTAAAAAATGTCTCTTGCTAAAAATCGCTACGAGCAACCGTTCTCAAGATATTTAAAATGGAAATAGTCAATACATGTTATTATTGACAAAAAAGAAACATGTTGAGTAGATAGTTATTTGACTGAAATGATAAATCTGGGAACTTTTTACTTTTTTAATCATACATTTTTTTCGAAAAACGCATTTTAGGACATTTTTTTCGAATTAAACATTTTAGGACATACATTTATACGAACTTTTTTACTTATTTTTATCTGCAGAATATGTTGCCGAAGTTTCCAGAATACCTACAGTTCGGACCACCCTGTATATTATTGATTTTATTATACTAACTTAAAAAGCATTTAGGTATAGAAGTTTCTTCTAAGTTCTTATTATTCAGAATAAAACAAAGGTAATAACACGTGCTGTTTACATGTGTACGAAATATAAAATATATGCCAAATTCCTATAAATTATACAGTTTCTTTACTCCTTTACTAATAGAAACTGATAATATTATTTGTTTTACACCTGTACCAAATATGAAAACAATTAGAATTAATTTCGTGTGAGTTTGAGGAGTTTGAGGATTAAAATCCTCATTTAGAAAACGTATTTAGAGAAATGTTAAATTAAAATTTCCACAAAAAATGCAAACTCCTTTTGTCAACTTAATAGATGCGTATTTAAAACGATTAAATGCATTAAAATAAATGCAGCGAAATACCATTTTCTCTTCATCAACAGACTATACAGGGTGATTTTTAACCTAGACGCATAAACTTGGGAAATTATTGCTGATGACAAATAATGACTAATAATGAAGAAAAAATGTTGGTAAAATATTTTTAGATTCTGAAATAATTTGAGTTTTTTTTTCACAAAAATTTATCAACTTTATCAGTAAATGCACATTCAATTTAATGGAATTTGCATTTTTTGTATTTATTTGAAATATTTTGTTATCTCCGTAAATAAAAATATTTAGAGCACATTCAATTTAATGAAATTTACGTTTTTTGTTTTTATTTCAAATAGTTTGTTATCAATTTAATGAAATTTACCTTTTTTTTTTCATTATTAGTCATTATTTGTCATCAGCAATAATTTCCTAACTTTATGCGTATAAGTTAGGGTTGCCAGATGGACAGTGTATAAAAGTAGGACAATTGTACAAAAAAGCCTGATTTTTGATAAAAAAAGCCGGACATTTCTTTACTTATTAAGCATTTACACAAGCTTATAAAAGCTTTGTTCGGGTTCTTGTTATTACCGATTCTGAACCGTCCTAGAACTGTGATGCATATGCGCAGAAGGAAATATGAAGACATTATTTCATTTGCGCATGCGCTGCAGAGTTCTAGGACGGTTCAGAATCGGTAATAACAAGAACCCGAACAAAGCTAAAATTTCAATAAAATTATTTTCTTTTTTATCTTATACACTAATGAACCGGTCTTGGTTTGATTTTTATGGTTGACCGGTTGCCGGTTCGCCGGTTGCACTTTGCACTTTCTAGTATTATAAAAATCGAAATTAATTAACAATTTTTCGTAAAATGGAAAAAAGCCGGACATAAAGAAAAGCCGGCCGGACATTAACAAATTGCCAAAAAAGGAGGACATGTCCGGCTTTAGCCGGACGTCTGGCAACCCTAGTATAAGTTAAAAATCACCCTGTATAGTAGGATTAAATTCTATTGTCTATCCTCTTAACCAGGACTTTATCAAGGGTAGGAAAAAAGTTGTAAATTAAAATAACAGAGCTCTTCAGGATAACGATAAATAACTTCTTTGACTTTGTTTCACAGGTTTTTATCGTTTTTACCCCATTAATTTTCATTCATAACGTCAGAATTATCAATATTGCATATCTGATTATAATATAAATAATAAACAAAGTGATGCAACTAAGACGAGGCGAACAATAAAATTGCACTCAGACATTTTTTATATTATATTTTTAAAAACATTTTCGTGCAGACAATTTATAATCCTATAGGATTTTAAATTAATTATTACCATATGATATTTTTAACACGGCATTATTACTTTATATTATAGAAGATGCATATGAAAGTTGAATTGCGCATATCAAATGATAAATAAATCAAATAAATATCATTTTAATTATATTATTTACCCTTAATCTAAGATTATTTCAAAGACTTGTTAGTAATTTGCAGTTCCATTTGAGGAATTTTATTCAATTTTCATTCTGTTTAGAGATTTTCATAAAGATATTTACTTTAAATATATTATATTAAAAATATGACTATTTAAATATCTGACGTATGGTGGGAGGATTTTTAAATCAACGTCACAAGTTTTTTTTTCTACAAAACAAATGCTGCAAGAGATTACAGACCGTTTAGTGATAATATAATCTTTATTACAACATTACCTACAAGAAACTTTTTATCTTATTATGAGTATGTAGTTATAGTCAAAGCTACAGATTTGATTTTTGAATAGGGATTTGTAGAAGAAACTAAAAATTTCTCAACTAATTAATTTCTTCGAGAAACACATTTTATACTAGTTTTTTACGTCAGAGACATATTTACCTCATAACATATTTTTCACAAAAAAATCAGGGATTTTGATTTAGATATTTTTTCTTATTAGTATTTTTATTAATCTTTAAGAGCGTATTTTAAAACTGACACTGTAATTATTTTTTAGTATATTTAAATATTTCTTTATACCACAGGATTTTTTTATATTTTTTTATTTTAAATTTCTAATAAGTGTATTTTTTTAAAAAATATTTTTTTTTGTTACTTTTGATTTATTTATTTATCTATTAATTAAAATAAAATGTCAAAGGGGCTTTAAAAATATATTATTAAATTAATTGTAAGATAATTTTTAATTAATTAAAAAAATAATTAGTAGACATTTTCGTTAAATATTTTTAAAAAGTAAACAAAGTGTACAGTTTTTTAATAAATTAAAAATTGTACAGCTTAATTTCTGTCAATATTTGAACAAAAAATTTAAATTAAATTTACTTACCAATTTTTGGAACATTTTTTAAAACACCATTTAACTGTCGGGACCACATTTTAAACCTGATTTGTATGTAAACGCATTTACACAGACCCAAAACAAAATATATCTACTGTAGATATTGAAATCAGAAAGGTGGTATCGTGGTTACCCAGTCCTCGTGCAGGAATTAGTAAACTCGTTTTCACCAGAGGCGTAACAAATCAAAATGTAGGGATATACTTGAAATTGTGTAAATACACAGTATATTTTCGAGTGACCCGTCGATTTTTTTGGATATTTTTTTTCAACCTATATGTTTTGAGGTATAGTCGCTCAAAGTCGTACGTTTTTACATAATCTTCTATAGCAAAGATGGACATTGAGGCCCTTTTTCAAATATAACTCAATAAAACATATAGAAATTCTATATATTTTTTTATGTACAGACAGGAAAATTAATTGTTAGGTATTTACATGCATATTGAGTATAATTTTTTGCTAGATATGTAAATCTATAGAAAATACAGGGTGCTACAAATTCGAGGTACGAGTATTGGTATCTCGGAAACCGTAATAGATACGAAGATAGTCAATTGGGGCAAAGTTTCTCCTTGGGATGCTCACCAAGATACCATCAAAAAAGTTTTAAAAATTTCAAGGATTGCTGAGTTTTTTGGAAAAAACAGATTTTTTGAAAATCAAAAAACTAATTGCACATTCTCATAGCCACTTTATTAGGGCTATCTGATAGTACTTTTAGATGTTCAAATTAGCTGATAATTTGTGAGATACAGAGGCCAACTTAATTTTTTTAAATACGAACCTGCATTTTTTATTAGAAGTTTTGAAAGAACTCGGTTTCCTGAGTAAAATGATGTGTCACACTTGATACTTTTCTTTTGTTTTGAGTACCTTAACAATAACAAAACTATTTAATTATTATTTAACATAATTTCAAGTCCGACTCTGGTTTTTTAAATTATTTAATCGGATTATATTCATCGCAATAATATTAATCAGCGCTAATTAACATTGGATAAGTCCAAAATATTAATTCAAATTTAATATATTATCTCTTTAAACAAAAGACAAATCAAAAAGAAAAAAATCCAATACTATTTTAAAACTTTAGAAACATTACAGTACACTGTTAGACAAGAGTTTTAAGCTTTTGTCTAACACTGTATAATCATTTGATTTAAGTATTTTATATGATTTTTTATTACCCGCCACTGTTTAGAGTAATGATTATTTACATAAATAAAACATATCAGAGACTTTTATTAAAGTTAATTTTTTTGTCAACAATTGAGTTGATAACATCCAATAGAAAGCTTAATAAGTTTATTGAGCATATGTACGCACAAGAAAAACTGTTTTTCTATTTAACAGCACGCTGGTATGAATGAAGCACATTATGATATTTTGTTTATTTGATTCACTGTACACACTACTATCATGGATTTATCTTTTTTTGGAATGATAATACTAGTTAACAAGTCTTCTAAAGCTAAAAATAGTTGCTGGTTTTCATATAATTAAAAATTAGATAATGAAGTAAACTAGTATATATTTATTTTTATTCTGATAAGTTTAAAACGAATAAATTTTTGAAGTTTGTACAGGGTGTACTAGATCTATGGTTGGCAACAATGAATTTAAAATTTGCGCCCTCGATTACGTAACTAAAAGTTTAATTTGTATCGCTTATATATTTATTTATTAGCAATATGTGCAGAGGGCATTTTTCAAAATTTATGTTTATTTTTATTTATTTATTATATTTATATTATATAATAAAAAAAAACGGCGTCAGAGTTGGCTCTGGAAAATGAAGATCGCTCTCATATTTGTAAAATTTTCGAGGAAAATGATTCGTCATTTCCAAGTCAACTTGACGCCCTTGATTGAAACTATTTTTAGCCGACCATACCAACAGGTATGGTAGGCTATTAAAATCGGCAAAAAAAAGTTTTTTAATTTCACTCAAAATGAGTTATTTGGGTCATAAATGACCTAAATACAAAATATTTTCATGGTGTCTGTCTGTCTGTCCGTCTGTCTGTAACACGATAACTCAAAAACCGCTAAACCGATTTTAACCAAATTTGGTACAAAAATACTGTGGCACCCGAGAATCTGGCCATTAGTTTTTGGTGGGGGTGGGGGGTTGGTAAAGGGGTATGGGAGAGGGTTAAAAATTTTAAAAAATCGTAACTCCAAAATTACAGTAGCTAGCGAAACGCGGTTTTCAATTTAAAATTAGGAATAATATTTGCAACAAAATATGTAATAATATCAAAATCAGTCAAAGTCGCAGTTTTTGAAATAATTGAAACTAAAAGAACTGCCTACCAACTTTTTATTAACATATTTCAGTATGGGCGGCTATACGTGCCTCCCGGCGCCAATTTTTTTTTTTGATCATGAGACATTTAATCAGTTCAGATGTATGTCAAGTGTTCTATTCTGCATCTGGTAGGTTAAATCTAGATCTAAATGGATAGTGGTGAAGAAAAAAAAATAGCAGAAGCTACTGCCCAAGTAGCATTTTCACGACTTGCGACCACATGTTTACTAAACACAACGTTGGATTATTTACAAAAAATAGTTAGCTCCGTACCTTGGGTATTAAAATAAATTTAAACGTTTTTATAACGTTGTGCCGATGTTGGACTAGTACTACAGCAAAGTAGAAGCTTCTGCGACGTCGAATAAACGTTGTCTTCTAACCTTTTTTGCTTAAGTGATCTTTAGGTGATTCGGACAACGTAGTTACAACGTTGGACAATATAGAGTTTTCCGACGTCAGTTTCAGGACCTATTCCAACGTTATGCAAACGTCGTCTGTTTTACTAATTCCAACGTTGTTTCGATTTCCTTATTCTTACGTTGGTAGGACGTCGAGTCACTACCTTTTTGCAACTGCATTGAACCATAACCTTAAATCTTAAATTTTTACTTCATTGTTCTGTTCAGTCAGACAGTTCAGTGCTGTTTTTGTTTTTATAAAAAAACCTTAATTAAAATGGGACATAAGAAAGGTACATATAAAACTATTTAAATATACATCGACATATATTACCGATAGTTTATCCACTCCCTCGTTTATTTAGATTATAGAGGGCGGCACAAGCTAGACTCTAGGATGACTAAATTAGGCAATCTTGCGACTATTTAGTATACTACCTGTTAAGGCCGAATTGCGACTTTATTAGTCCAGTATGCGACTACTCGAACTACTCCATCTTAATCTCCAAAACAACAAAGTGAAAGCCGCCATGTTGTTAAATAAGAAAATGTTTGGTTCCTAAAATAGCAATTCCTGCTTTTTGAATACATTAACTTGAAATATTTGATCCTAAAAAACACGCGGAAACAATTTTTTCGACTGCAAATAAATTATTCTCATTTTACTAAAAAAAAAAAAATCAAGAACATTTTTAAAACTTCTTTAATTTTAAGGCCCATTAGTATTTTTCAAAATAGAAACAATACATTTATCAATAAAGTTGTTTGAGTTTAACTTTTTTGCCTTGGGTAACGAGTTACAGAGTCGGTTAAAGTGTTTCAATAATTATGATCTTCAAACATCCTCCACACTTAAATACTTTTGTTTTGTTTTCCTTCACTGCCATCTGACATATGTCTCTAACTAAATCATAAAAATAATATTTTTACTATAATTATCCCAATTTAGGATAAAACGCGACTTAGACGCCATATTAGTTTTGTATTTCTGTGAATTAGTATTTTAAACAACGTTGCAGTTTGTACTAAATTAGGCTTCTAGCCAACGTTAGTATCCAACGTCGTTTCGACCCAAAAATTATTCTCCAGACTAGTGCAGACTAGGGTTGGCACGAGGTTGTGCCGACGTTGCGCCCCGACGTTTGGTCGCGTGACACAACGTTGTCCCGACGTCCAAATGCTGCTTGGGTGATTTTTTATCTTTTCCATGATGAATAAAATAACTCAGATCATTATTTTTATCATCAAAATACATATATAGGGATATCTTACAGAATTCCCACAATATAGGATACCAGATCAAAAGAAACGACAGTCCTGTAAAATACAGGACGAAATTTACACTATAAAAACACAATATACAGTTAGACAAAATTGACTTTATTCTGAAACATTTTTGTAAATTGATCATATAAGTATATTTAAGTTACTTAAATTAACAGTTATCACGGGGACAGTCACAAAGAGTGATATATGGAAGACATAGATTTTTCTTTGGTATACAAATAGTAGACCGTATTTACTTCTTTATTTCTTTGAGTACTTCTCTTAACTTGTCCAAAAATATATCGGCGTGTTTCTTAGTAAAAGTGAGTGAAGTTCGTAGACGGAGAGTTTGAGGATGAGACCCACCACTTATAACACCTAAAAACATAAAAAAAATAATATCATTAATATCTAATTCTATATTATATTTAAACAGCTGATGTTTCTGAACATATGGTGTTGAGGTTAATAATTTTAGTCAATCTAACTAATCATGAACTAGTCAATATTAATAGGTGACAAAATTATAATAGTGGCAAAAAAAACAATTTAATTTTGTCAAACGTCACAAAATATATAGTATAAAAAAGTCATTTTAATGCCTAGGCACAAAAGTACGAAAATCTATACTGATATATAAAATCCTTAAATGACTGACATACTAATTAATCACGATCCTGCTCAAACGACTCAACGTAAGAAGCTAAATTTTGGCATACAGGTTGATTCTAGGGTGTAGAGGTTCGATAAGAAGGGATTTTTCGAAATTCCAGTTCCAAGGGGGTGAAACCACCCCTCAAATATTACAATATTTTTTATTTAAAAAACGGTTAAGTTTCCGAAAAAACGCTTAAACACGTATATTTTATTTTCTATTTTTACATATTTTAAGATTTTTAAAGATGCATACAGGATGTTTCGAAAAATCTGGACATCACGATCCTGCTTAAAGCGCTTGACGAAAAAAGCTAATTTTTGGAAAACGGATTGACTTTAGGGTGTAGAGGTTCGATAAGAAGGGATTTTTTGAAACTCGAATTCTAAGGGGGTGAAACAACCTCTCAAATATTAGAATATTTTTTATTTAAAAACCGGTGAGTTTTTCGGAAAAAAACTCTTAAACACGTATATTTTATTTTGTTGTTTTAAATATTTTAAGATTTTTTAAAAATGTATACAGAGTGTTTGATAAAATATGACCATTGAGTAATCACGATTCTGCTTAAACTGCTTGACGTTTAAAGCTGATTTTTGGCAAACGAATTGACTGTGGGGTGTAGAGGTTCGATAAGGAGGGGTTTCTCGAATCTCAAATTCCAAGAGGGTGAAAACGCCAACTCAAATATTACAATATTTGTTATTTAAAGAAGGTTAGTCTTTCGGGAAAACGCTTGGATACGCACAATTTATTATGTTTTTTTACATATTTTGAAATTTTTTAAAAATCATACAGGGTGTTCCAAAAAGTTGGGTAATTGATTAACCACGATTCTGCTTAAACTGCTTGACGTAAAAAGCTTATTTTTGGCAAACGGATTTTTCGCAAGTCAAATTCCAACGAGATGAAACTACCCCTCAAATATTACCAAGTTATATAATAATATCGCCATATTGTTTTTTCTCATGCTAACATAAATGTGAGAAAATTTTATCCATATATATTATAAAACTGACATAAAGTGTTAAATTCAACGAGCGTAACCATATTTTCTCGATATATAATTACATAAAAGTTATTACTTTTAAATTTTTTTATATTATTTGGAATATTTGAAATTGTTTAAAAAATTATTTGTAGCGTTTAAAAAAAATAGCGTGTTTTATTCGGAGTAAAAATGACTTTTTGTGCCTCGCCTGTATGTCAAACGTACAGCCTCGCCACAAAATGTATCATTTTTACCTCTAATAAAACAATATATACTACTTTGTCAATGCCTTGTTGTCTGCCAAAACCTTTCTTTTTTTTCATTCCATATACTTTACATTAAATAGCCCACTGAAATATGATCAACCTATACAAAAAAGCACCCAAAAAGGATCTATTATGATAGTCTTATATATTATAACTTTATCAAACATGTTCTGAGCAAGCCCAAAATCTCTGCTTTACGGTGTTTTACGGTGAGCTTGTAGACGGTAAGAGGAAGCCGGGTGGACAACTCAAAAGGTACAAGGATATTTTCCACGAAAACTTAAAGAGGATTAACAAACAGAATGAGTGGGAAGAATCAGCTCAGAATAGAACGGGATGGAGAAAAATTGTAAACTCAGTTAACAGCGACAACCAAAAAGTAAAGAGGCAACAAAGCAATGAGATATTTGAATGCACGGAGTGCGGTAGACAGATAACAAACATCACGTATCGTGCTTTTCAGTCCAAGAAAAGCTCATGAAAGAAAACGCCTTGCGTGACCATCTTCTGATGCGTGTCAAATACTCGTCAGCGAGTAATGGCAGTATGTATGTCTGAGCAAGGTACGCACCCTTCAGGCAGAAACCTACGCTATCGAAAGATGCGTACAACTTACCTTAGATAGGAATCTAACCAGAGCAAATTATTTCATTACCTTTTGTTCTCAATCTGTTAATAATATCATCCCTGATTTCCGGAGTTTGAGCGGTGATAGCCAAGAATGTACCTCTTCCCCTAGTGGAATGAACTAATGGACAAAATTCCTTTTCCAACTCGCCCAACTGACATTTCATGTAATCCCCAGTATCGCGAACCAATTGCAATAGATCGTCCCTTTTTATTATGTTGAGGATGCTTTCGAGCATGATTACTTTGCTGGGGTCACCCATCCAAGTGTTGAACGTTCTATAAGGCTGTTGAGGTCTGTAAAGATTATAGATGTCTTGAATATTCTATACTTATTGAAAATGCTTGCAAGACCAAGATCAAAACCAAAAGAGTTTTGCTCTTGGTCTTGCATTTGTTTATCACTGTTCTAGTAGAAGTATAGATTCCGGCTTACTTCATATCTTCTGTGAAAAAGTATCCTCCTAACTGCAATTTCTTACTAAAAGTTACAATATCAGGGGGCGTTTCCAAATCGAAATACTCGTGACACCAGAATTTCCCTGTGGGTCCACCACCTGTTTGGACTTCATCCAATATAAATGCAGCATTGTTTTTCTTGCATATATTTTGAAGTTGTTTGAAGAAATCAGCTGAAGCATGGTTGTCACCTCCTTCTGATTGGACTGGTTCCACAATAACCTATTTTTATTCAACAAAAATATATCTTAAGCACTGAACATAATAGTGTATAGAGAATACAATAGTGTATCTAACTAAGTTCCTACAGTAAGTATTCTAAATAAAGTTCCTATGTTGATTTCCGAAAAAATTACAGCGAACAACAAGAATTTACAAGGGTACTTTCCATTATGATAGAGAGTATTACTGCTGGTGCTTCTCTTATCCTTTTAGATAGAGTAATTTCAATAAATGAAAATTATAGATGAACGAAACAGTGAACGTTTTTCAAGATATTTGCGTATACGTATAAAGATTCCGATGCATCGATTTTAGCATTAGCGAAATCAGGAGATTAATTTATTTAAAATAATGTCTTTACATTTTATCATTTCACTAATACTAAAATCGAAGCATCGTAATTTTTAAACGCAAATATCTTGAAAACCGTTCACCTTTTCGAACTAAACTGAGAACACCTGTTTTACGTAAAAAAGTTCTAGCTTTTTATATCATTTGATGAAATTACTGTACTATAAGGATAGGCCCTCGCGGCCTCAGTGGAGGGTCCCCCTTGGGACCCACTCTTAGTCAAATACAATACAAATACTATAAGGATAAAAGAAGTACCACCAGTAGTACTCTCTATCTTAATAGAAAGTTCCCTTTCAGGGCTGTTATGGAATTTTTCACAATCGCCGTTCGCCGTGGCATTAAAATGTGTGTAAGAGTAGCAAATTTCAGGAAAAACGGTTTACCAATGATCTTAAAAATAAACAAAATATATTATTTTTATTTAACTTTTCGAGGGTTGTAATTTCTTCGGGAAGCATTTTAGGGCATATGTTCATAGGAACTTTTTGTTATATTTTTATCAAAAAAACTAAAAATTTAAGTTAGGATGCAGTCAATAATCACCACATAGGCTAATAAAACTACTTTTTTCAAATTTGTCAAGCTTTCGAGAATTTTATTCCTATCATCAGGACAGTTTCTAAAATGTATAAATAAAAAAGACATTAATATTTTACAATTGTAACTGAGTCAATTAGTAAAAACAACATCCTCTGCACAAAAAGGCCTTAAAACTAGCATCATATGACATTGGAATCTGGAATGCAAGGAAATTTCCTTTATAAAATATTAAAATACATATCCACCGACATTACTTTTTAAAACAATTTTTTTTTAATTTACTAAGACTAATTTCTACATTGTTGTTTCGAGCTCGATCAAACAGTGACTGTTTAATAAAGTACCACAATGAACTAGATATTCTAGAACTCTCCTTATCAAAAGATTTTTTTTATATATAATGACAACCATCCACGGTCATGAACTATCAAAATATATCTATTGAATTTATTCTCCACTATTAAAACTAATAGTGATGTAAGTAATGTCGGTGAATATGTATTTTAATATTTTATAAAGGAAATTTCCTTGTATTCCAATGTCATATGATGCTAGTTTTAAGGCCTTTTTGTGCAGAGGATGTTGTTTTTGCTAATCGACTCAGTCGTAAGTTGTTTTTTCTGTTATACAATTATAAAATGTTATAATGCCTTTTTTTATTTATACATTTTAGAAACTGCCCTGATGATGGGAATAAAATTCTCGAAAGCTTGACAAATTTGAAAAAAGTAGTTTTGTTAGCCTGTGTGGTGATTATTGACTGCATCTTAACTTAAATTTTGAGTTTTTTCTTAATTTAGTCACTCACGACTAAAGCTGTTTTTTTTTTTTTTTTATCTGTAGAATTATACTCTGTATAAACCTACCCCAGCTACAGGAATATCTTTCTTAGTCCATTTTTCCATAAGATCCTCGACTACTGCCAAACATTTCGAATCTTCCTCTTTGTTGCAAGCTTCGTTCTCTTCCAATGGATACTTATATGCTGGAAATGGAGCTGCTGGCCAATCGAACGCTGGAATGTCGATTTTCTGGATGTATTTTGACCTGGTTGTGGATAGCGTTCCCATTGTCCTGCCGTGAAATGCGTGCAGGAAGGACATTATTGCTAATCGTGGTGAACCTGCAATGTTTAAGACGTTACAAGAAGTAAAACGTAATTTAGAGATTGTAGATTGTAGGTTCTGCTTCCCAAGTGGAAATCAACTTAAAGCAGAACTCAAGAACCTGGAAGATTCCTCCTGTAATCTGGAATGGAATTCCTCCAACGGTTTAAGAAAAACTTCACTCCACTCAGAGACTCCACTCGAAGAACTTACGATCGAGAAAAATCGAAGATTTTCCATGATTTAAGTAAGAACAATCTTCGGATTTTAACATGACGTTGTGTCCTCAATGAAAACCTCAGTAGATTGAACCTAAGAAAAAACGGCGAAAGCAGAATCTGTGGGGAAAATGGGGAGGCACAAGAACAATCACTGTGTCCTCCGAGACGATTCTTATCATTTTAAAAGAATTTCACTTAGCCATGGAAACAAGAAACAAGATCAATCGTTGTGAAATATGAAACTGTCACTTCCAAACTTTGTAAATTAAAATAAATACAAACTGTAAATATCAATTTTTCAAAAGAAGAAAAAACTGGATAGGGGATTATTGGTTCAACTTTTCTTGGCCATACATTTTCGAGAATACGTTGACTGGTGAACATTACTTACGTTTTTTAGAGAACGGTTTTAAAACATGTTAGAAAAGTTTTTAAATTTAGATACTCGCGAATCAATAGTGGTTATTGGAGTGGTTCCAACATGACTTTCATTATGACCCCCTCCTTCCATAATAAAAAAAAATGTTAAAAATGATTTATATCATAATTATGCAAACTCAAGGATAGGAAGAGGTGGACCAATTGCATGGGCCTCCTCGATCACCTGACCTATCCATTATAATGTTTTTTTTATGCGGTATGGTTATCAACAAGGTTTACACGAGGTTTTAACAAGAGGCGGTACGGGAGAAGTTTAATTAAGTCGACGGGTCGTTCTGTCTTGTTGGCGTCATTAGCCGCGGCACTTGGAGTTTAATACGTGTAAAACATAGCGGGAACGAAGGGCAAAATGAAATTTTGATCAGCAGTAGAGAACATGGGTAAAATAACATGTTTTCAAGCGAAAATTGGACAAATTGGGAATAGTTTAGAATATTTTAGGATGGTGAAAATAAAAGCGATTTACAAAAAGTATAATTTAAATAAGTTTTTCTAATTTCCCCCTGATTTTTTTGGGGGCATTGACCACTTGGCCTCATGGTTAAGCCGCCACTGGTTATAACTCAAGAAAGGGGGACTCAATAGATTTATAAGATCGTGGTGATTAACTTCCCCCCTCCCATACAATCTATAAATGGTAAATTCGCAAATTTAGTTTATAAGTGTTTTACCTGGTGGACTATTGAGACCACAAGAAGTTTGTTCTTCGACACTAAAGTTATCATTTCCTCTCATTTTCCTTCTGTAAGCCATAAATGCATGTTTATAAGCATTTTCGTTAGCACATGCTCCACACATCATCGTGTTGATATGGTCTAGGCCTTTTGGAGCTACCTAAAAGTATAATTATGATAGAATTCTAAAAAATAATGTTGTAGGAAATACTTACTAAGGATACAATATTACATAGTTTTGAGGGCCAGTCATCACCTGGAAATACGCCTAGAGCTGGACGATTGATTAAACTTTTCTAAAACCAAAAACATTGTTTAAAGCGTAAACATTTTGACATTACACTTATAATAATATAATAATTATGATACACTCTAACGGAAAATGTCTTTAATAATAAAAATATTCAATAAAATATTACCAAGTTATGTTCATCTTCAAATAGTTTTAAGAGATCTGGATGGTTATATCCTAGAGGTATGGACGATATTTGAGTAAATGCATCTAGGTAAACGTTATCATCTGCATCCACAATATAATTTCCAATTGATTTATCGTAATTTACGAATATCTGAGTCGATCCAGCTTGCTAAAAAATAACAATATAAAATTTGAGTAATAAATCTAGAGATTGAGTTTGGGAGGGGTAGTGGCAATATTTAAGTAAAGCACTTGATTTAAATTAAATTTAGGCTGAAAAGTAGCTAATGATCGAAAAAAAACGGCGTCCAGTTGGCCTGAATGAATCATTTCATAGCCATCGCCGACGCCGTTTTTTCGATCATACTGTATTTTAACTCTGGAAAAAAATAAACTTGGATTGGTCAGGATTTTCTATTTTGATTGGTATTAATAATTTCTTTTATGACAATTTTTTTTCTACCTCATTTTATCTTTCACAGCTATTACCTATCTTGTATATGTGGTCCTACGTAGCTCAACCTAAGACGTTTATGGATGTAAAGCACCAGATGGCGGGGCGTATTTCACAGTCTTTTACTACAGAAAAATATTTTTTGTTACTCTGAATTTTGAAGCGCCCAATAAAAACAGAGAAAATAAAAATCGATAATTTTCGGACTGTGCCAATTGGTTACTAATCGATCAGATACTTTTTATCTATTAGATATACTATAAAAGCTGGTAATTATACAATTCGACCATTGTAAATACCCGACAAATTTCGCAAGGCCGACGAGGCCGATGCTTTATAAGAAAAAAAAATGTTTGTTTAGATAATTTTCGAGATATTTTTTCTTTCTGAATGCACATTTTTAAAGTATTTTATATTCTTTGTCCGCTTGATCTATTATACTGGTTGCACGTATCGAGGTTCTGTTTCTTCTAGTTTTAAAAAATGTTCTTATTTCTTTGTAGTTGTAGCACAGAACAGTATGTATCTGTTCTGTGGTTGTAGTGGTTGTAGTGTAAAGTTAGATTAATGTTAAGTTTAATTATAATGTTTAGTGTAGAATACCAGAAATAGTTTAGTAGTGTTTTTATAGTTTATTATTTCGCAGTTAAGTAGTAGGTGAAAGGATAATTTGGTTATTTTTTCTTTTTGTTTGATTAATTCGTAAGTTTGATAATTTTTTCAGTGTAGAAGTGGTTGAAGTAGTGAAGAAGTAGTTGTGTAGTGTTTTTATAGGAGATTATATTAGTTTATTTTGTAGATGAGTAGTGGGTGAAGGTATTTGGGTATTTTTTCTTTTTGTTTTTCTTCTAATTGTAGTAATTCTATTAAGTATTGTGATAGATACACTATATCTCTTCCTTCAACTTGGTTGAAAAGTGCGTTATCATATAATTTTGGTTTTCTGGGAGTAGAATATACGAAAAAAAAAATCTGATCAAATTTATTTTAAATTAAATTAATCGAGTTTTATTAATCAAATTAATCTAGTCAAATAATAATAATAGTTAGTTTCTAAATACTATACAGGGTGAGTTTCCTACGATGTTCTCTATGGGTATCTCGGAAACTACTGGAGATAGAGAGTCGGTTAAATGGGGAAAAAATTGCAGTTTTGTGGGTTCATAAATATGCGCCTTTCGGATTTTTCGGAGAAATTCAAGGCTTACTAGATATTTGGAAAAAAACAAATTTTGGCTATTTTAAAACTTTGTCTCTAATTCCATTATAATCTACCGTATGATCGAATAAAAACGGCGTCAACGATGGCTATGAAATGAAGATCGCTGTCATTTTATACCTATGTAAAATTATATGGGAAATATCATCGATCGTCATTTCATAGCCATCGCTGAAGCCGTTTTTATTCGATCATACGATATTTTAGACAAAAAGTTTTCAGATAAAAGTTGTAGATAATCACATACCTAATGAGTTTGTGTTTTCTGTTTTTTTTTCTAAAGCCTGTCATTTTTGACATATGGCACAAACATTTTTTTTAAATGGAAACCATAGTTGGCCATGACTTCATAAAAGCGCCATTTTAAGCTTTTCAGCGATATAGGTATAATATGTTTTTTCGAAAAATTACAAGTTATAGCCAATTCTTTTCTTTCTTGGCTAATTTCCATACCAATAATACCATGCCAATTAGTTGGCATCAAAAATGTAAAAAGTTTCATGTTTTCAAAAAAAAATATCATAAAATTCGTAAAGCACTCAATTTAGAATAAAATAATCTAAGAATGAAACGATTCTTTTATAAACCTGCATTAAATCAAATTAAAATAGGTATGTAACTTTTTTTTAAATATTAATTAACAGCAATTAGCATTATCATAAATTATAAATAATGTACCAACATATCGAAATAATAATTTCTTTGTTAATACGGTTTAGAATTCTTAAAATAACAGGCAAAAATAATCCACAATTTACAATAAAATAAAAGTTTCGTTTAAATTTCTTAATCAGCTGATCACTATTAAAGTTCGCAGAAACCCTGGCTATATTATTACATTACTCTGAGGAAAATAACGAAAATAATCGATATTTTTGACTCCGCCCCGAAAGGTTCACGATTTGTCCTCCAGTTGGCAGCACATTTTGTCTAGTCGGTTGGGTAACTTTAAGAATATATAAACAAGGCTATTATCAAAGTTATTATGATGTACTTTTTTACAGTAAGTAATGTCTTTGACAAATTTGTAAAAGAAAATTTATTTTATGAGATATGGTTTAAATATTTAATAAGCGTTAAATTAATTAAATTTTAGTAATAATAATTTAATTTTAGCATTCAACTATTATTTATATTGTGTGATCAAAAATATTATTATAATCTATTAAAATAATTTGTCATTCTATTTGAGACGACCAAACCATATTTTTTTAACTATTTGGCAAAGATTAGATATGACATGATTTTTTGGAATCAAAATTTATGAATCCACTACCACTACCATTATATCTTTATTTAGAAAAAAAAGCCGATTAATTGTTCTTTGTAGAAATATACTTGAATTAATCTATACAGGGTGAGTCTTAAATATGTACAAATATTTTTAGCTGTAGTATATTTTGACCCCAGAAACACGATTATGAGGTTTTTTTCGCGAATTTTTTTTAAACTCTGGCATTTTTTGAAAAAAAAAATTGAAAACTGTAACACACAAATTTTGATTTTTTTTTTAGTTTTTACTTAAAAAACATAATTTCTTGATAATATGGTAACATAGGTAATAGAATAAATTTACAAGAAAGTAAACCTAGAAAAGATTCAGTGGTTCTCAAAATTGAAGTAAAAAATAATTTTTTTGAAAATATTTAAACTAAAATAACTCGGTTTTTTTGGACATATTTGAAAAACGGTAAAGAGAAAATAGGTTTCTTTTATTGAGATCTAACAGCCCTGAAAATATTTGCTCTTATTTAAGATTTACCCTGTATAGTAGGGAGCCCGTTTTATACTTAATACGGAAAAGATTGAAATAAAAGTCTCAAACAGAAAATTTAATTCAGAAAATTGGGTCGCCCTGTATAAATTATTTTTTAATTAAACCAGAGTTAATAAAAGTATAAAAAAATGTAGGTTTATAATTATATTTTTTATTATACCTGTAATTTGCTTAATTCACTTAAAAGTTTTTTGGTGTTAGGACCAGGTACCGGAGTCTTCATACATGGTTCTGATGGTTCTCCAGGAAAAGGAACACTGGACGAAAAATTCACTTTTTTCTCTTAAAAATTAGAGAATAATTAAAACTATTAATTAGAAGTAAACCAATTATATTTTATTATCGCTTTTTAATCATAAAAAAACGTACCTTGATTCTTCTTGTTAGTGATTGTAGTGCTTCTAGCACATCTTGACCACATGATTTTCTACTTTTAATTCTCCAAATTACTGAAATTTTTATCTTTAAAAGATTATAACCTTTTATACGTTCAACCAACGTTGCATGTACGTCGACTCTACAAGATATTGATCCAGAATTTGGAAAGTGCTTTGCCTTTCATCCAGACTCACTTTCAGTATGAAACAGACATTTTTGTAATTATTCTGAGTAAGAAAAGTAAAAAATCCGTTAGCACTTATTGTAAATTAAACTGATGTTGTTTGATGCCGGTACTATACGAAAATAAATATGTTTTGAAGTTGATAATCTGTTGCAATCTACCGGTTCCAGAATATATTTTTAGATTTGTAATATTAAACCGTGTAGTTGACAATGTACCTAGATCTTAAGAAATTTATGTATTTAATTCGCCATTTTAATATTTACATGCCTTTTTATAATGTAGATTTTTTGTACTCAGTATTTACTTTAAAGGGTCCCGCAGACTGCGTTTTTGTCAAGCGGTTTTGTTGGACGGACGAAACTGTTCTAACAAAAAGGATCCAAAACTGTGTGTTCGAACGTACACAAAAAAGTATAGTTTCGAAAACTGTCGTTCTTGTAGGAAAAAAAAAATAATGAAAATAATCAAGTTCAGCTGGATTGTGCCTGTCGATTTTGTTCGTTCAAATTGTTCGACAGATCATCCAACAAAACCGCCCAGCAAAACCGCAGTCTGTGGGGCTCTTAACACTAAAAAAAAAGTTAGTACTAATTGTACTAAATAAATATACAGGGTTATTCACCACATACGACACGGAGTATTATAGCTAAACGATTAGATTTTTACAAGTTGTAAGTTTTGGGTTCGTTGAAGGACTATTAGAGCTACAATTTAAAAATATTTAGCGAGTGTCCCAAATAAAGATATAAGATATAATATATAGATAAAAGATACGAGTGTCCCAAATAAATAAAAAATATCAAAGTTGTATTTTTTAAATGGGACACTGTATATTATTACGTTTTTATAGTTTTTACGATTGGATTAATGTAAATCTGATTACGGTTTACCGCACTTTAATCTTACCGTTTTTGAAATATTTTTACGTTTTTGTCAAAATACAGTTAACAATTTTAATGCTTTGTTTCTCTAGGCATATTTAAGTTTTTAAAACGAAATATTGTACTGAAGTTTATCTATTTACTAAATTTTGTGTTGCAACAATAAAAATTATAGTACCTTACACGGAGTTACAATTATTTTAAATAATTACTAGCTTTAAAGGGCAATGACTTATTTAATTTAAATGGAACACCCTGTATATTTTACGGCAAACAGATGCATAATTTACTTGTCTATCAAATTGTATTATACCATTTTTTACCTATCTCTTTAAGTTTTCGTAGAAAATGCATTTTCTTAATGAGAAACATCAGTGGCGGACTAAGCCTGTCGGGGGCCCGGGGCGGCGAAGCAAAATGTGGCCCCCGGTCTGTTTAAATAATGATATACTTCTAATGCACATTTTGTAAAAATTAAATGACGTATGTATAATGGTTGACAAAATTCAAGTATTTATACAGGGTGTCCCAAGCTGAGCCTGCGTTAGAAGTTTCTAGAGAACTACAATATCTAGATATGAGATTTTGTGCATATCATTGTTTCACAATGAGATCTATCGATTAAAAATATTTTCAATATGGCGGCACTTTCGGAAGTACCGGAAGTTGACAGTAACTTTCTTATTTTAAATGGGTAACCCTATTTTTTATTACATATTTAAATCCTCTGTAAAATTTTATGAATATTGATATTAAACACTCTATACCCAACGTTAACCGTTTTTGAGAAAAAAAATATTTATAATTTTTGGAGGAAAAAAACTGCCTGTCAAAATTATGTATATAGCCTAAACGTCAAATTTAGTGATTGCAACAGCCACTGTACCATAAAGAGAATACATGTGGCTATCTATGTCAAAAATTAAATTGTCCGAATGTCATATAATAATGGCGGTAGCTGTCATGGAATTGAGCGATTAAAAAATTATCATAAATAATTTTTTTTTCAAATGGAAACCCACTTTTTTATTTCACTAGTGAAAAGGTTTTCCAATTCGTTACGTTTTAACTAGACATATTCCTATACCTAAAATAAATCGTTTTTAAGTTATTTAGGATTTAGTTTGAAAACGTATATTTTTCTTGATTTTTTCGTCCAAAAATTTTAAATATTTTTTCCTTAAAAATGCTTCCAGGGAAATACCGCGACAAAATATCAGGCCCGTGGCCCGTGGCCCCAATTATACCTACTAAAGACTTCACTGCTCATTATCAGTAATGAAGCTAGAATACAAGTTATGTTGTGCATTGGTTGTAATTTAAAATGTTTATTCAGTGAAAATAAATAATGAAACCATTGAAAAATAACTTAAAAGCTAAAATAACTAAATTCAGTTTCAAAATATATAAAAAATAATAATTATTCGATATTTTAAACAAAGAAAATTACCCCTTGATTTAATTTCCTAAATAGAAAATGCCATTGACAATTACTGGGGCCTGATAATTGATAATTAAGTAAATATCTGCTTCCATTGATACTGTTTATAGTTGGCGTATACGTATGGTTTGCATACTCCACCTACAAACTGCTTTATAACTACTGAACACATATTGGCCTTGTTTGCCAGTTGAATAAAAAAATAGGTACCTACTTATTAAGATTCGGAGGCCCCCTAAAAGACGGGGACCGGGGCGGACCGCCTCTTCCGCCCCCCCCCCCTTGGTCCGCCACTGAGAAACATTTTCTTAACTAGAAATAACAAGTTAATGATATTAAAAATTTTTATTGGTTGCTGTTTTTGGATTATGAATTGGATTATGGCAAATTAATTAAATAGCGTTTATCTCATCAAGGAAACCGAAATCGACAAAATATCAAGATACAACTTTTACTAAGCATTTAACGGTCTAATATTTTTGCTAACAAAAGAAAAAAAAACAGTGGCGCATATATTTTTTTTTCAAAAAAAATTTCCAGTGATAACCCATATGCACATCCCTGGTGAATATGTCGACGCTTTTTTAGCATTAAAATATGTCGCACTTATAGTAACTTTTCCCTCAAAATGTCATTCGAATCGCGAAAAGTACTTGGAAGAAAATTATAACAAATCGAAAGATTATTAAGACTTTAACACCCTGTAACTACGAAACAAAGCAGAATCGGACCTATGTTAACATGAGGAATAAATCTTATTTTTACGAGAGGAATATCCCAACGAGAGATGGTACATGTTTTTTGAAACACCCTGTAGTGGTATATCTTCTTCAGTCATCTTGTTCATCATCTCTTTTGCGGAAGAAACATCACATCATCCACCTCATTTATATCGACAGTCGTTTTCCGTTTATCATAATATATTTTTAGTATTTTATATCGTTAACAAATAATGTTCCTACTTACTACATGCGTATAGCTTTTTCAAGAAACGCTTGCATCTCTGCTGTATTCATAGTTAAAATAAAATACAATAAGGCAATATAAGGTATCTTTCTATACACGATTTTTTTTAACTGAAATATATGTTTCTAATTTCCTATAATATGCATATTTACCTTTATTCTATGAGTTCTACTTCGTGCATTGAGGATATTAACTATTTTTACATGTTGAAATACACTGGAAATTTAGAAAAACCAAACCAAAATTTTGAAATGTAAAAAATGAACTACATTTTATTCATATTTTGATGATTTGAAAATATATCAAAATGACATTTTTTCCTGTCAAAACATTTTGATAACACTATTTCCGGAACGGATCGATGATTTCTTGTTTCACCGTGTCTTCCCCTCGTCTATCTCCTAAAAAATCGAATAGCTCGCCTAGAATCAAAAAGAAACCACTCTCAATAAACAATTTCCGCGGATGTCCTACTATAGATGAACATTTCGTGGACAAATCGCTGAAAGAATTAAGCGATGGACTCTCCTCATTTCTGTACCAAGACAAATCAAACGTTCCATTAGAACGTTTATATCAAATTGTAGAAAGCCTCCAAGAAGCCGAACATAGAGTCGAAGTTTTCAAGGTACTCAACGTGATTATCGAAGTGTATTTATACGACAAGCTTGATAAACTCTTGGTAGGATCCACTACGGAAAATTTACTAGAAAATTTCATCAAAGAGTGGTATGATTATTCGAAGAAAATCGTCACAATCAAAAACATATATTTAAAATACGATAGATCATCACTGAATGGACAGAAGTTCAATGCTGTTCAATCCACATGCATCGAACTGTTTAGAAGCATATTCCTCCTAAATGCTACATTAAAAAATAAGCTTTCTACTAAACTACAAAACATAGTTGATGAAGATAGAAAAGGTTCTCAAATAAACAGAGAAGAAACTAAGTCTGTAATAAATATCTTGAGTCTGCTTACAATGTATCCGATAGTTTTCGAAAATGAGTTTTTGGAACAATCCAAAACACATTTTTCCGAAGAAGGTTTAAAAATACACGAAGAACCTGATATTAAGAAGTATTTGCAGCATGTAAAGGACTCTATAATAAAGGAAACTTCAAGAAGTTATATACCTAAGGAAACGGTTGATAGAGTATTGAAAATACTTTATGAAGAAATGGTTAAGGTGCATCTGGAACAGATTTTAGAACAGAGCTTCTATTATCTAATGAACGAAATGTCTGTTGAATATTTAACTCTATTATATAGTTTGTGTCTAAACACAGACAAAGACTTAAAATTTCTTAAGGAATCTTTTGAGAAATATACCAGTTTTTATTGTACAAATATCGTCGAAAATTTTACTGACAAAACAATGATCCAAAAACTAATCGAGATCAAAGATAAACTAGATATAGTTATCGAAAAATGTTTCGAAAAAAATCCAGCGTTTGGGGAGATAACAAAAAACGTTTTCACTGAAATTATTAATGCTAAAGGTTCAGATCCTGCACAAAGTTTAGCGAAGTACCTGGATAGCAAATTGAGATCTAAAAACTTGAGCGAAGAACATTTGGTAAACCTTGTTGCAAAGGTAATGGTGATATTCAGATATGTTCAAGGAAAAGACGTCTTTGAAGCATTCTATCGAAAAGATTTAGCAAGGAGGTTGATTTTCGGAAAATCCACTAATCAAGATGAAGAACGAAACGTTATTTCAAAACTGAAGGAAGAATGTGGAGAATGTTTTACAGCAAAGTTAGAAGGCATGTTTCGTGATATTAACGTTAGCCAAGATATTAACAGCAATTTTAAGCAGTACTTGGCGAACGTTCATCCAGATTTAGGATGTTTTTCTGACATTTCTGTCATGGTACTAACGAGTAGTTTTTGGTCGGGTTCTGTACAAAATTACCCAGTGATTTTCCCTTCCGATTTACTAGCTTATCAAGAGAAATTTAGAAAATTTTATTCCTTTAATTATAGTGGCAGAAAACTTGATTGGCAAACCAATCTTAGTCACTGTATTATAAGAGCGTATTTCGGTGATATTGTCAAAGAACTTCAAGTATCTTTATTCCAAGCCATTATACTACTATTATTTAACGATAATGAATATCTTAGTGCTGCAGAAATTCAGGAATGGACAAAATTAAGCTCCACAGATCTCAAAACCACTTTACAATCGTTGATATCAAAAAAAGTGAATATTCTAGAAAGTGACTCGAAAGAACATGATGTAAAAATGAGCGATACATTCCGATTGAACCACAAATTTGATGATAAATTATTTAGAATCAGGATGAATCAAATACAGATGAGAGGAAGCGTTGAGGAGCAGAAGACCATCGAGAAAAACGTACTTCTGGACAGACAGTTCCAAATAGATGCTGCAATAGTTCGCATTTTGAAGCGACGAAGAGTACTTAGTCATAACGAATTATTAGCAGAAATTTTGAGTGTTATTAACGTTCCTATCGAGTTACAACACTTGAAAAGACGGATTGAATTACTAATCGAACGGGAATATATCAGAAGAGACACTACAAATCCAGCCCTATATACTTACGTTGCCTAAAATTATATTATACGCCATAGTATATATTACGCTCTTTATTGATAATAAATGTATTTTATTTTATTATTAAATTTAAAAATTAAATAAACCTATCTCGTTCAATTAAATTTTATCTAATTTAAAAATCCCGCCTCAGAAAATTCATTTTATAATCTGTGGCTGGCGGAAGTACCGACATACTGTCGGAAGTACTGACAGCTGATGTTTGACAATGGTTTGACAGTTCTCTGGCTTGACCAGTGCCTTCTATTAAAAGATCAGCCTACGGGCGGACTTTTGTTTACTTCATCAGCTGTACATACTTAGATATTGGGTTAGATTCCGTTTCATATTTTGTCGGTTGATTTTTGGTTTTAACTCTTTGATTTTTGGTATTATTTATTATAGTAGTGCAAAAAACTAATTATTTTGGTGTTGAAGTGACATAAACTACTACCAGATATATGGTCACTCTCGGTTTCGCATAAAAAAATAGAAATTTTAAAAATTACACGTTGTGCAAGTGATTTAACCTAAAAGTGCCCATACATTTTTTACTTATCGTGATTTTTGTGTGTGTTTTTTAAGACTCTAACAATTCATCAATAAAGCTTAAGTGGAGTGTGTTATTGGTGCTATGCCTCATCTTTGTTATGTTCCTGGTGGAAAGGATAGTTATTATACTAGGCAGCCTAAAGTGTCCGGAAGAGCAAGAAAAGTGGGTACGAGTTATAAATCAAGAGAATTTTATTGAAAATATCTTTAATAAATTTAAAAATAATATTCTCCCATGATGGTATTAATGAAAACTGGACAATTATGTTTATTTTATTCATATTGTGGAATCTCCACTCCAAGTGTTGCTGGTTCAGCTTCGATAGATTCAAACACGTAAGTAGGTATTATGATCTAGGGAAAAATAAAGAATATGTGTATTAGAGATCATGAAAAAGATTATTATTTTGAGTTCAAATTTTAAAAAAGATTTTTGTAAAGACAATACTGATACAGTTTAAAAGAAGAATGTGTTTTTGTTTGATAATATATAATGTATGTTAAGCATAACATATATTTGTTCAGTAATTTTTAATGAATAGTATTGATTATTTATAATACCAAATTAATATCAAATATTTAAGTGATGGCTGAATACAATATGAATAAAATAACAATAAAATTGGTATATTTGCATAATACAAAATTAAGTTTTAAGAATAAAGGTGTTACTAAAAATACTAAGAAATTCATATTTCTTTGTTTTAATTGGTCTAATGTTATTTACATTTTACGTAAGAATTATACCGTATCATCGAAAAAATCGGCGTCTAGTTGGCTTGGAAATGAACATCGATGACATTCCCTAAATAACTGTACACATAAAATAATTAACTAGAATTTTACAATCTTGGAAAATTTGATATTCTTGAACCTTGATTCTAAATATTCTAAATTTTTGGATTTTCTTGGAATTTAGGTTCGGGAAAAACGCTGATTGATTTTTCATTTGGTTTTTCATTATTTTTATTTGGTTTTAAAAAAAACGGTTCGGCTAACATTATAGCCTCCATCAGTGTTGTGTCATATGAAAAAAATAGTGTCGAATATAATCCAAAAATTGCATAAAAATATTCACACCACGCACATAATGTTTACTGCGTACTCCATAGTCAATGTAGATAATTTTAGTGTTAAGAATAATAATTTTAAAAAATATGTGGTCATCTTTTGATAAGTTTATATTAGTTTATTAATTGCAGTAAACATTATGAGGTGTGAATTATATTGTATATGTAATTTTTGGATTATATTCGACACTATTTTTCTCATATGACACAACACTGTGAAGGCTATAGTTAGCCGAAACGTTTTTTTTTAAACCAAATAAAAATAATGAAAAAACAAATGAAAACTTAATCAGCGTTTTTCCCTGAACCTAAAATCCCAAGAAAATGAAAAATTTTAGAATAATTTAACATATAAAATGCCAGCGATCTTCATTTCATAGCCATCGCTGACGCCTTTTTTTAGATAATATTGTATTATTTGTAAATATAATTTTTTCGAACATTGATACTTGCAAAATATACATATAAATTTTGTGAATGCAAATAATAATACATCACTATTAGTAAATATTAAATGTTTTTGTTAAATTAGATCGATTTTCAAACCCCAAAATTTAAAATATATTTACATTTTACCCATTATCTTATGTACCTATACATTATTTGTACATTGTAAAACATTTGCTGCATTTGTATGGTTCATAGTTTATTTGCCAAAGTATTTATTACTATAAATAGGTATATATGTTGTAGTTATTAACTGTATATTATGTATATTTCATTTAAACTATATCATTTTTAAAATACAAACCAAAAATCTGAGGAATAATTATGTTTTCCATGTATTCTACAACATATTTATTAATCCGTTATATCTAACTAGCGTGACGTCATAAATCTCGCCCCAAGGCTGATCTTTTAATAGAAGGCACTGGCTTGACATTTTTGGGTGCCGCAAGAAGTTTTGTAACTGGTTGTATTGTTGTTCAGGTTCAGGACATTTATTTCAATTTTATTCAAGAAAAAATACGTAGGAGCCAGTTTTGGCGTCCAATATATTTAGCTTAATCTATATAGATTAGTAATCTTGCGCTAGAATGGCTAAACAAATAAGAGGGTAAGTTTGAAAACGTTTTAATCGAAACCTCATAATGTGTAACATAATATTTTTTTTATATGTCCAATCTAAGCTTCAAATATTATTTTCTGCTTTCTAGGAATAGAAATAGAACTGGGAAATTTAGGTCACAAAAAGAATTCAATAGATCTAAGGTTACGGGCCGGAATGTTACAAATAAACCAAAAGGAGTAGTAAAAAAACGACCTACTAAAGTTAAGGTAAATCAGCAAGATGCCCGTCAAAAAATTGGGCAGAAAAAAAGATTAATGGTGGATGCCAGAGATATTCTAGCCAAAAAAGGTAAAATACAAGATGCAAGAAGCAAATTGGATAAAATTCGAAATGGTAGAGGTAGATCCATAACTTCAAAACAAATTGCAACCAGTCCTAAAGTGAAAGTAATTGGTAGTAATATTCTTCAAAAAACTGACAGAAATGGAAAAATTAGTTTGGTGACTAATAAATCGAGAAATAATTCATCTACGCATCCATCTAATATGAATGTGGCTATTCGTAAGCAATTAGGTCTTATCCCTTCCTCGAGGCCCCAATTAAAGCATTCACCACCGAAAAAACCCCAAGTATTAAACAGTACTTTCCCAATTCGGAAGACTATAGTAAATGATATAGATTATGGTGTAGCTGTAGCAGAGGCAGCAGGTAGATACAATTCAGGATTATACAAGTGGGTTAAACAACCTGATATAGTCAGGTCGGCGTCGCATGTTATAGGATCTCTGGAACCTACCAGGCAAGCCATGAGGGATGTGATGAGGGAGGAATTATTATTAGCAAGAAACAGTTGGTCAGATTATGTGGCACCGCCAAAGTATGTATTTTTATCTTTTATACAAGGTTACTTATGCCCACTTGCACCGTTTGTATAAACTTTGTTTAAAGGCTAAACAGTGATTAACTATAATAAAATATTATATAGTTAATCACTTTTTAGCCTTTAAACAAAGTTTATAAAAACGGTGCAAGTGGGCATTAGTGTTACAACACTGGGTCACCCAGTAGTTATTTCTATACTTAGAAACTTTACTTTATTGAGATACTTTTTAATTACAGACCTTTGAGATTACAACCGTCTGGATATATCGATTTAGACGCTGTAGATGATGATGAGGAAATGCCATATGCCCATCCTAGTCGAATTTCATTGCATGGATCCACCAGGGTCTCAAATATTCACTCACGATTGGATAGCACTCCGCATGAGCCTGTTTCACATGGTATCTTATCGCATACAAAAACCAAGGTGGTTGTACCAGCTGGGCACAGAATCGTAGTGTCAAATTTACATTCATCAGTTATTGAAGATGATATTAAGGTATAACTTCTTCAGTGATACTTTTGAGTTTTATGTCATTATAAGCTGTCTTATTCTACATATTATTAAATAAACACTTATTTGACTGATTTTAGTTTAATGTTTGAACTTAATTTTTATTAAACTTTATTTTTTAAGGAACTTTTTGAAGATATTGGACAGCTTCTGTCGGCAAAATTGGTGCGTCCGGGAGTAGCAGAGGTGATTTACAAAAACTTGAAGGATGCACAGAAAGCAGTTGATACATACCATAACAGGCAATTGGATGGACAGCCCATGAAGTGTTTGCTAGTAAACAAGAGGCCAATGAACCAAGCTACAGGAATTCCACTTAAAAGTGAAGGGTAAGTAATTGAATAGATTTTTTATAATTATTATAGTTTTATACAGTACCAATAGATAAGGTCCAAATCATATGGGATTTTTTTTATTCATTAATGTGAAATCTGACTTTTGCATTAGTTTTTGCTTTAAAATCTTTAAATAAAAAGATTCAGGAAGGAGTATAATGCTATCCATGTATTCATGCATGGTCGACTGGACGAAAGAGGACTCTCGGGTGGGGATCCTTGACAGTTCTGTTTGATGATTCGTTTTACACATTTGAAATGTTGTGGATTTGTCAGTCTCTACTGAGCTTATTTTATGTTAGTTATTATTTATTCTACTACTGATAGTTTAAAGGTAGTAAAACTAGAAGGAAATTTTGTGGCACAACTTAAATTATTATTTTAAAAAAGAAATTATTATTTCGATATGTTGGTACATTATTTATAATTTATGATAATGCTAATTGCTGTTAATTAATATTTAAAAAAAAGTTACATACCTATTTTAATTTGATTTAATGCAGGTTTATAAAAGAATCATTTCATTCTTAGATTATTTTATTCTAAATTGAGTGCTTTACGAATTTTATGATATTTTTTTTGAAAACATGAAACTTTTTACATTTTTGATGCCAACTAATTGGCATGGTATTATTGGTATGGAAATTAGCCAAGAAAGAAAAGAATTGGCTATAACTTGTAATTTTTCGAAAAAAAAACATATTATACCTATATCGCTGAAAAGCTTAAAAAATGGCACTTTTTATGAAGTCATGGCCAACTATGTTTTCCATTTAAAAAAAACATAATGTTTGTGTCATATGTCAAAAAAATGACAGGCAGGAAAAAAAAACAGAAAACACAAACTCATTAGGTATGTGATTATCTACAACTTTTATCTGAAAACTTTTTGTCTAAAATACCGTATGATCGAATAAAACGGCGTCAGCGATGGCTATGAAATGACTATCGATGATATTTCCCATATAATTTTACATATAAAATGACAGCGATCTTCATTTCATAGACATCGTTGACGCCGTTTTTATTCGATCATACGGTAGATTATAATGGAATTAGGGACAAAAGTTTTAAAATAGCCAAAATTTGTTTTTTTCGAAATATCTAGTAAGCCTTGAACTTCTCCGAAAAATCCGAAAGGCGCATATTTATGACCCCACAAAAATGCAATTCTTTCCCCATTTAACCGACTCTCTATCTCCAGTCTCCAGTAGTTTCCGAGATACCCATAGAGAACATCGTAGGAAACTGACCCTGTGTAGTATTTAGAAACTAACTATTATTATTATTTGACTAGATTACGTTTTGAATAAAATTAGAACGGCACTGATAAACCGGAATTTAAGACGGCCATAGAGTCCCGTCGCGGTCGATCTAAGATTTTTGATATGCTCCTTCTTTAATCTTTTTATTCAAAGGTTGGATTGACAAACAGACCAATTTCTACCACTCTACTGTACAGGGTGGGTCAAATTCGACGCTTTTAAATGGAAACACTCATTTCTATAGGAGATAGACGAAAACTAACATCGGTGTCTGAAGCTCAATTTTCATCAAAAACATAATGGAGAAAACCGCAATTCAATATCTGTTACCGTTTCGGAGTTACGGAGTGTTTTTCAAAAATGTGCATTTTTAACAAATCGCTGTAACTTTTTTGCCATGGAAAATTTTGTATTTCTATGAAAACATTTCCAAAGCACCTTTTTACATAGAATTTAATGGTTTAAGTATAATTTTTTTAAAATTAATAATTTAAGAGTTATCAACAGAAAAATTGATTTTTTATTTGGGACACCCCCTATATTTTTAATTAACTGAAAAGAATTTAAAATTACCTTTCCAAAAATATAGCACACTTAATATTTTGTTATAATCCCCTTCGAAATACAGAATTTTTAAAAGTTCACCACTTTTAACTAGTAGGCTTTGGACGCCTTATTGGTGCTATGCTGCTTATTGGAACTCGAAAACATATTTTTCCAGCAAGACGACGCGCGACACACCGCCTCTGAACGCTGAAGTTATCAGCAAATTTTTGCAGCCAATTTTAAGAATAATTGAATAGCTAACCAACACTTTTTTAACCAACGTCTGCCTTAGTGCCCATGGATCTAATCCTATGGATATATTTGCTGAAGAATAAAGGTTCCTTATTCTTCCGTATAATCTAGACAAGAATTAGAAATACTTAGCAGTTATGAGAGGGTATCTTTCACCCCCACTGAGGTAATGAATTCCGCGAGAAATGTTCAAAAACTGCCCGCTCTGTCCATAACAGAAGACGATATGTCGAACACCTGTAGCAAAATCTCATGTCTTGGTTTGCTATTTATTTTTATTGTTATTAGATATAGTTTAAATGTGTTGATGTTGGTTAAATATATTTTAAATTGTTATAAAATTCTGCATCTCTCACAGCAAATATTACTTTCGTTTTAATTGATGCTTTCAGCTAGATTTTTTTTGTATTACAGCCGGTGCCGTTCAAAGCCTACTTATTTAAAGCGGGCGAATTTTTATATACTCTATATCTCGAAGAGGAATCGAGCAAAATATCAAGTGTGTTATATTTTTGGAAAGGTAATTTTAAGTTCTTTTCAATAAATTAAAAATATACAGGGTGTCCCATATAAAAAATCAAATTTTCTGTTGATAATTCTTAAATTATTAATTTAAAAAAAAAATACTTACACCATTAAATTCTACGTAAAAAGGTGCTTTGGAAATGTTTTCATAAAAATACAAAATTTTCCATAGCAAAAAAGTTACAGCGATTTGTTAAAAATGCATATTTTTGAAAAACACCCCGTAACTCCGAAACGGTAACAGATATGGATATGCGGTTTTCACCATCATGTTTTTGACAAAAATTGAGCTCCAGACACCGACATTAGTTTTTGTCTATCTCCTATAGAAAAGGGTGTTTCCATTTAAAAGCGTCGAATTTGACCCACCCTGTACAGGGTGTCCCACTAAGAATAGCTGTCGGCTGTATCTCGGAAAGTATTAGCCGTAGGGGCTGCGAAAAAAAATATTTATAACTAAAGAGGCTATGGGAAATTGCTGGAAATTATTTTCAAGTTTGTAGAACGACCGCTAGGGGGCGCAACTGCAACAAAAAATAAGAAAATGGAGTTTTTACACAATTTTGCCTAGATAAGATGTACTATAAGTAATAGCTTCATAATCTCCATTAAATTTTGAATATTTTTTGTTAAAGCCATTTTCCCTTATCTACCAAAATAAAGTGGTGGGGGAAGGTTAGATCTGTTTTTATTTAAATATTAATAACTCTGGACTGGATGATCGGAATCCAACAAGCGAGGGCTCGTTTGAAAAAGCGTTTCTTACTCTATATTGGACCATATAAATAATAATAATAAGCTTTTGAACGTAGACGCTAGGAGGCGTTGTTTTACAACTTAACAAACATTGCGCTTTTTTTCAAAAAAATTAAAAGCAATAGTATATGTAATTTTAGCTGATAGTAAAGATTAGTAAAAGCTTAAAAAGTCAGCGAATACCACATTTTGATATCTTCTTTCAAACCGAAAATATTAGCAAAAGTATAATAAATACCAAAAATAAGCCCTTAATTACCTTATTTTTACAATCCGGTATCAGTAGCCCTCTTAATTATGCCCATTCTAACAAAAAAATAAGATAGAAACAGTTAGTTTATTTTAAAATCGACGAAATTACCAGAATACCATAATATCAGAGGTATTAATATCTAATAATTAAGATATTAATAACAGTGAACAAGAAACGATGATTCAGTGAAGGCATGGTAGGCTTTGGAAAAAGTTGCTTTTGACGTAATAGTATAAACGTCAAATTGTTATTAGATCAACATTTTGATAGTCTTATCAGCGTTTTTTATCTTTTGATTGCTTTTTCAAAATGCCAACAACTTCAATTATTTCAAATAATATTGAAAAAACAATTAAAAGATAAAAAACGCTAATAAGAATATCAAAATATTGATCTAATAACAATTTGACGTTTATACTATTACGTCAAAAGGAACTTTTTTCCAAAGCCTACCATGACTTCACTGAATCATCGTTTCTTGTTCACTGTTATTAATATCTTAATTATTAGATATTTAATACCTCTGGTATTATGGTATTCTGGTATTTCGTCGATTTTAAAATCAACTAACTGTTTCTGCATTATTTTTTTGTTAGAATGGGCATAATTTAGAGGGCTACTGATACCGTGTTGTAAAAATAAGGTAATTAAGGGCTTGTTTTCTGGTATTTATTATAATTTTGCTAATATCTTCGGTTTGAAAGAAGATATCAAAATGCGGTTTTCGCTGACTTTTTAAGCTTTTACTACTCTTTACTATCAGCGAAAATTACATATACTATTGCATTAAATTTTTTTGAAAAAACGCCCAATGTTTGTTAAATTGTTAAGACAACGCCCCCTAGCGTCTACGTTCAAAAGCTTATTATCATTGTTTCTATGGTACAATATAGACTAAGCACCGCTCTTTTTAAACGAGCCCTCGCTCGTTGTATTCCGATCATCCAGTCCATAGTTATTAATATTTAAATAAAAACAGACCTAACCTACCCCCACCACTTTATTTTGGTAGATAGGGGAAAATGGCTCTAACAAAAAATATTCAAAATTTACTGAAGATTGTGAAGCTATTACTTATAGTACACCTTATCTAGGCAAAATTGTGTAAAAACTCCATTCTCATATTTTTTGTTGCAGTTGCGCCCCCTAGCGGTCGTTCTACAAACTTGAAAATAATTTCCAGCAATTTCTCATGGCCCCTTTAGTTATAAATATTTTTTTTCCGCAAGCTCTACGACTAATACTTTCCGAGATACAGCCGAGAGCTATTCTTAGTGGGACACCCGGTACATTATAACTTTATTTTTTAATATGATTTATATTAACTAATTCGAAAGTATTGAAACATAATTTTATTTTATTATTTTCTTTTCAGATTTTTAGGGAGAAAAATTACTTCAAGTTCCGAATCGTCAAATAAGTTAATGCCTGACATAAGTACTATTCACAAGGTACTATTTCAAAGAAAATAGTATCCATATTAATAATTAATTTGCTTGTCTTATTTTTAACTTAATTTTTACTCATATCTCGGATGTAGTTTAATGGAAATTTATCTGCAATATAAATGTTTTTATAGCGTGAACTAATATAATTTTATTTCAAAGTATTGTAATATTTATTTTTCGTTGGAGGGCTAAAAAGGTAAATAAAACAAACTTTAGAATTGTAAAATAATTTAATCACAAACATCTTTTGTCTCAGTAATGGAAAATAGAAGTAATTGTTATCCAATCCCTTTGTATTTTATTTAAGTCACAGAAATGTCATATATTATGTAAAATGGTAGTGATTATACCTACTGTCTTGTAAAAACTAGACAATAAAGCTATTCCCGGTATAGTGTTTTTTCTTCTGCTAATCTTGAATTTTAAAAATTTAGTGTTTAGTAATCTCATCTAATTTATTTTTTTGTTCTCTGTGAGAAAAGTTCTAAAAATCTATTTTTACCTACTGCAATATTAAAATACAATCTTCTCTAACCTAAAATTGAAATGTCACTGACTCTGATAATTGAGGGCCTTGGAATAAAAAGGATCCAAGTGTTTTTTTTAAATGGTCTTAAGTGCAGATTTAGATTAGGTGCCAAATTATTTGTTATAAAAATGAAGTAAGTAAATTCTACATTCTTACTTAATTCCTACGTTATTATTTAGGTTTCTATATTCTACACTATTACTTAATTCCTACAGTGTTAATTCCTACAGAATTTACTTGATTCTTAAGGCGGATTCTCATGGCTCGTGTACTTGTACAAACATTTGGTATTGTGATATATTTGCCATTTGGTATGAGTGGTTTCTTTGTGTAATTACTCGTCATCCGTCGCGCAGCGTGAGCGCCAAGCTTGTTGCAAAAAATGTTTGTTTACAAAGATAGTATACTTGCCAAGTACGCAAATATTGGCGTACTTGCCAAGTACACGAGTCGTCAGAATCCGCCTTTACATTATTAATTCCTACAGCGACTCTAATTAGTAGAGTCACTGTAGGAATTAAGGAATAGTTTAGAAATAATGTAGGAATTAAACAATAATGTAGGAATTAAGTAATAATGTATAATTTACTTAGTTCCTTTTTATAGGCTTTTTTAAGCGCTATTTGTTCTTAAGTCCATTTAAAAAAAGGCACTTAGATTTTTTTTATTCTAAGCCCCTCAATTAGTAAAGGTTAATAAGTAAATAATTAGTAACTACCTGCAACTTTGATCATTTGACTTTAGATATTTATTTTCAATAATTTATCTTACAAGTATTCACTCAATTGAAAACATTACAAAAAAGAATAATTATATGACATTAATACAAATTTCGAATTTGGCGAAAATTTGTGATTAAATATTTAAATAGGAATTGGCACATTTATAAGTTTGAGATTGAGTATTACGTTGGGTCTCAAACGATTACAATAAAACAACATATAAAATCAACATACAAAAATGGACAAACGAACTTAAAGTATTCCACAGGATAAAATTAATATATACATTCAACTGAATATCAGACTTGGGTATGAATAGAGTTACACACTGATGAGTAGAAGTGTAGGATCCATTGGAGTAGCACTAGTTGGTACTATATTTCTAGGTTTATTAACATATTTTGATGTTTTATTGTGATCAATATGATAATTATAATTCCATGGAACTGTGTAGCAAATTAGATAAAAATGACGTCACTTTTATAACATTCTTTTTTTACATTCTAAGTTTTTGCTTTTCTTTCTCATTGTACAGGGGTTGTTTATATCTGAAACTAGAATTGAATGTTCATGCTTCTCATGTTAACAGTATTCTAAGATCAAATCCAAAGAAGGTATATCAACATACATGAAGGAAAGTTTATAGTTAGATTTGCTATCCTGATCTTACTATCAGTCCCAAACAAACAATGTGAGAATGCATAATATTAAAGATATTTATATACAGGGTGCTACAAATTCGAGGTACGAGCATAGGTAATAATAAATAATTGAGCATAGGAAATTTGGACACAATTTAATTTAAACTAATTTCAAGTGCGGCTCTGTTTTTTTTAATATTTAATATATTCATCGTTACAATATTGATAAGCTTTCAAACTTAACAGTGACGTGGGTTGAATACGGAAAATCAAATGCAATAAAATAATAAAAAATAATATAAATAAAATGTAATATAAACAATCAAATCATTTCCCCGGAAGATGGATTGAAAATGGTAGAGCAGTATAATGGCCAGCGAGGTACCTGGACCGTTTGATGACGTCAAGTAATTCAACAGGTCTACATTTTACAAAAAAGTGAAATCAACACATCTCAGCAGTTACAATAAAGAGTACAAAATGCATTCGAAAGTATAAGAAGATCTATTCAAAATCGATAAATAAAATTGAACGAAAAATAAATTTGTGCAATAGGGATGGTGGTAACCCTTTCGAACATGTAGACCATGTAAAGCATTAGAAACTAGTTTATAGAAGTTAATTTATTCATAATAACTACGATTAATATTATGCAAATTATTAGATCGTACACTGAGAATTTCAAATTCACAATAAGAAAAGTTAAAAATAATATCTTTAAATTGTTGATCTGGATATTATTTATTTGAATCTTTCAATTGGCTCAATTTTCCTTATTCAATGTTAATTAGCACTGATCAATATTGTTACGATGAATATAATCAGATTAAATAATTTAAAAAACAGAGTCGGACTTTTTTCGAAATTTTTTTAAATAATAATTAAATAGTTTTGTTGCTGTTAAGGTACCAAAAACAAAAAAAAAGTATAAAGTGTGGCATATCATTGTACTCAGGAGACTGAGTTCTTTCAAAATCTGAAATAAAAAATGCAGGTCCGTATTTAAAAAAATTAAGTTGGCCTCTGTATCTCACAAATTATCAGCTAATTTGAAAATCTAAAAATACTATCAGATAGCCCTAATAAAGTGGCTATGAAAATGTGCAATTAGTTTTTTGATTTTCTAAAAAGTAATGACAGGAAAAAATAAAATTAGTTTTCAAAAAAATCCATTTTTTCCAAATCCTTTTCCAATCCTTGAAATTTTTAAAACTTTTTTGATGGCATCTTGGTGAACAACCCAAGGCGCCACTTATTACGGTTTCCGAGATACCAATGCTCGTACCTCGAATTTGTAGCACCCTGTATACCTATAAGTAGTTCCAGTATAGTAAATTTAAGAATATGGAGCTGAACACAAGTATCTATGCATTAATCACGGAAAATCTGATAATTTTTTTTCATTTAAATGATACAACAGTAGAATGAGAGGCATATTCCTAGTGTACTCAATACAAAAGGGCAGAAACCTTGCTTTAATTTATTAAGACTACATTTTTAGCTAATATGGATGAAGAAGTTAGATCTCTATGACATGAACCAACTCTTATGGACTTTTAAATCCTAGATTATCTAAAAAAACTTTAAGTTTATCATCTTTTTTTTTCGGCGTGGGTCAAATAATGTGGTCTATAAATAAATAAATATTAACAATAATTTCTTATTTTTTTTTCAGATATAGGGTCACTTTTTATGTCATTGTGCTACATCAAGCTTTTTAAGCAATTTCAACTCTTGTATTTAAACTTAGGTATGTATAGAGTATTGTCTTGGATGCAACTTTAAATGAACATCGTCGTTGAGCAAATAATACCAACCCCGAAATACGAGTACCAATAGCTCTATGATCCTGTACTCCCCTCACCTACTTCCTTCTCTGTCTATATAGCTCTCTCTTTTTGTTATCCGCGTTCCTCAATACTTCGGCGTAAGACAGGTCCAGTTTCTTAAGCTTGTGCAGGTCTTGCGAAGCTAGGCTTGGCTTAAACTCGAAATACCCTTTACTGCTACCCTGACTGGGAGTAGGAGATGGACAAGCGACGTTCCTGTTAGTCGCCCAGAACTGTAAAGTGTTTCCATTCCAAGCGTTTTCATCAGCGGGCGCATTTTGTTTGGGAGTTTGACGTTTTCTCCCAGAGTTTGGTCGGCTGGAGTAAGTGATTTTGGGACTGCCAATGATGTGAGTTACTGGTGAATCAGAACGATCAACGTGCTGCTTGTTTTTGCGACGAGAAGACGATCTTTTTCGCACTTCCACCGAAAGGTATTCCAGAGGTTGACGGACTAGAGGTTTTAAGATGCATTCTTGTTTAGTTGGTAGAGAGCAACTAGCAGATTCGACTTCAGGAATAGGCTGGTTCTGTGCTTGAATAATGTTTTCTATTATACCAGCAGGTTCGTTCTGGGTCGATAATTCCGACATGGTCGAAGACATAACGCTTTGTGAATCGTCATCCAGAAATTCCGGCATTTGCTGCTCGTTCATCGGTGTAGCTGGAGGTGCCGCTGTTGCTGTCTTGGCAGCATCATCCAGCAAAGGTAATTCATCACCTTCAGCCTTATTTTCAGCGGCCTTCTTCAGCACGCGGAAGATCTCCTTGAACAAGTCTCTATACTCGGGTCTGTCTCTAAATCTCGAATCTAGAGGACTCGCGTCGTCGTAAATACTGAACTTGCAGTCCTCTCCGTCGGCTATGGTGCACAAAAACGACCCAACGCGCCCTTCGGTTTGGGTTCCCTTGTTACTAGTCTCGTCCGCGAAACCCGAGGAGCTGGTTTCCGCTTCGGAGAAGTCCGTAGGCGTGGAGAACAGTTTCCTAGCCTGTTTCCTTTGTCCAGCTGTTCGTAAACTTCCATCGTGTCCACTTTCCTCGTCTGTGTCCTTTGCACCTGTTGGATGGCTGAAGTCTCCGGACATCTGGGTCTCTTCCTCGTGCTTGTTAGCCCTGACGGGGTTGCGATGGACCTCGACCAAGGCTTCGTACTTCTCCACCAGCACCTTGTACGGGTTTGCGGCGGGTTGGACTGGTAAGGGGGAAGATTGGTTGTTGGCATGGTCCTAAAAAAGAGAAATAATGGTTCGTTATAGTTAGAAAAATGGGGGAAAATTAGGGTTACTAGATAATGGAGGGTTACTACGCGCTGATAAGCTCTACATCAAAGCAACCAAATAATGAAGCTTTTGTTAGATTTTGATTTTTTTCATCGTGATATGAAGTATCATTTAGTCTGGATGTTTGAGTTTAAGGTTATTATTTAGTGTAGCGTAGCGTATGATAAAAAATTGAAGATTCGAGGTAGCAATAGCCATAAAACATACATATTTGTGTATATACTACAGAACCATAAAAATTAACTTATATTTCCAATGTTTAGGAAATACTGTATTAATCAAATATAATCAAATTTCTGTAATTTTACACAAGGTTTATCAATAATTTCAGCTGTACTGATCAATAGACAAATACAGAGTGTTTCAAAAAACATGTGCCGTCTCTCGTGGGGAGATTCCTCACGTAAAAATAAGATTTATTTTTCATATCCACATAGGTCCGATTCTGCTTTATTTCGTAGCTACAGGGTGTTAAAGTCTTAATTATCATTCGATCTCTTATACTTTTCTTCCTAGTAGTTTTAGCGATTCGACTGAAATTTTGGATTTAAAAGTTACTATAAGTGCCACATATTTTACTGCCAAAAAAGTGTCGATAATCATCAGGGACGTGCATATAATTGGATACCAGGAATATTTTTACAACAAATACATGTGCGCCACTGATTCTTTTCTTTTGATATCAAAATTGTGTAGGCCGTCTAATTAAAAGTTATCTCTTGATATTTTGTCAAATTCGGCCTCCTTGATGAGATGAACGCAATTTTATTAATAATAAACCTACAGCAATTGCAAATAAAAAAAATAATGGTACTTAAGATAATTACAAAAACCTACTTTTAAAAAGTTTTATCATCCTGTAACTCTAAAACTGCATTTCCATACCCATGTTTATAGGAAATTTTTTCTATTTTTGATGAGGAATTGATCAGTCATTATTTAAAAAACTTTCAAAAGTTAATGATATGAAATTTTTTTAAAGGTTATTGCTATTAGACTTGGATCAGGGCAAATTAATAAAATTGCGTTTATCTCATCAAGGAGGCCGAAATCGACAAAATATCAAGAGATAACTTTTAATCGGCATTAAACAGCTGACACTCTCGCTAACAGAAGAAAAAAAGTCAGTGGCGTACATGCTTTTTTTAGAAAAATATTCCAGTGATAAATATATATTAAATATTTATATTATATTATAATAAATCGAAAAAATATTTAGACTTTAACACCCTGTAGGTAGAAAACAAAGCAGAATTGGACCTATGTTGAATAAATCTTATTTTTACGTGACGAATCTCCCCACGAGAGATGACACATGTTTTTTGAAACACCCTGTATAATATATTTGTCCCTACAACAAATAATATAAAAATATACAATAAAATATGCTATAGTATAGTACCGTATGATCGAGAAAAAACGGCGTCAACGATGGCTATGAAATGAAGATCGCTGTCATTTTATATGTAAATTTATATGGGAAATGTCATCGATCGTCATTTCCCAGCCAACTGGACGCCATTTTTTTTCGATCATACGGTATATATTTTATTATTTGTTGTAAGGAAAATAGAACAATTTCAATTCAGTTATGTTTACATAATGAAAACATAACTGAATTGAAAAATACATAATGTAAAAACAATAATTTACTAAATAAAATTAATATAGCTCTAACATGATAATATAGTCTGTCTAACAAGAGGATCCATGACAGTGACAGTTGTGTCTGTCATTTTAATTCACAGGTAAATGGTATTTTCTGTTATTTTTTGGATGTCGTCTGTCCAAATCTTTCTTAACTCATTGGATAGACTATAAAAATATTCTTTATCTGATTTTGCTAGTAGAAGAATGGTATAATTATTACATTTTATATTGGTTTTAGTTATAGAAGGGGTTACATACTATCGTGTGTGTGTTTATTTTTTTAATAACTTCATAAATTTTAGTAATCTTCAAAATTAGTTACACATGAAACAAAAAAACACCTTTATTATTAAATTAACAATTATTATAATGTAGCAATTCATATTGTTTTAGTACATACCTTTTTTACAAATATCTTATAGTTTTTGATTTCTTCAATAATAAGGTAAATTTAAATAAAAGATCTCGTTTATCGATTAAACAATATTTATTAAACTTTGTATAAAGTTTTATAAAATCCTACATATTTACATTATATTGTAAAATGGAAACCTATTACCTAATTTGTATAACAAAAAATCACAGATGAAGTTCGAAGGAAGCCTATATTAAATATAATATGTATTTGCTAATTTTATATAGCAATTTGAAAGGAATGTTTTGTTCGTTAGAGGTGCTATAAAAGTACCGCCTGGCTACTAAAATTAGCAAATATAAGGTCAAGGTAGCTGCCAGGAAGAAAAGATTGAAATATTACTAGGATTTGTTTCATAGTATTTTATAGTTTATTATTTTTTTCTTTATGAAGGAATATCTTGATCAAACTTTATTTACCTGTAATTCTAAATATATTTACATTTTCTTAAACAAAATATATAATGATAATATATAACTAATACAAGTAAAATGTGATGTGAAAATATCAATCACAAGCCAATAATAATTGCGTTTAGTCGAATCCTGTGTTTTACTAATAAATACGTTTATTTCAAATATCGAAATAGACCTTATTAGGTGTATATAATGTATATAAATGATTGATAAATATTTTTTTACTTATATATTTCATTTTTTTCTGGGGCTACCTTGTTTTGGAACTAATTTCTTTCACGTCACATACGAAATGAAAATGGTGAACATTTCAGTTCCAATTTCTTGGTATTTTGTACACTAAAGATACGAAAAACTAATTATCTGTTCTTGGTAAACTTAGCCAGATTTATAACAGTTCTTATTAAAATACACACTTTCAGTACATTAGTCTTGTGAAGTGTTGTAATTTTTCAAAATTAATTACTGAAAATAGTAGTAATAATTTAACAGACACATGTACAGGGTGTCCCACTAAGAATAGCTCTCGGCTGTATCTCGGAAAGTATTAGCCGTAGGGGCTGCGAAAAAAAATATTTATAACTAAAGAGGCTATGGGAAATTGCTGGAAATTATTTTCAAGTTTGTAGAACGACCGCTAGGGGGCGCAACTGCAACAAAAATAAGAAAATGGAGTTTTTACACAATTTTGCCTAGAAACGGTGTACTATAAGTAATAGCTTCATAATCTTCAGTAAATTTTGAATATTTTTTGTTAAAGCCATTTTCCCTTATCTACCAAAATAAAGTGGTGGGGGAAGGTTAGATCTGTTTTTATTTAAATATTAATAAATCTGAACTGGATGATCGGAATCCAAGAAGCGAAAGCTCGTTTAAAAGAGCGTTTCTTACTCTATATTGCACCATATAAACAATAATAATAAACTTTTGAACGTAGACGCTAGGGGGCGTTGTCTTACAACTTAACAAACATTGCGCGTAAACCATAATACCAGAGGTATTAATATCTAATAATTAATATTAATAATATCTTAATATTAATAACAGTGAACAAGAAACGATGATTCAGTGAAGTCATGGTAGGCTTTGGAAAAAAGTTGCTTTTGACGTAATAGTATAAACGTGAAATTGTTATTAGATCAACATTTTGATAGACAAAATTGATTGACAAAATGCCAACAACTTCAACTATTTCAAATAATATTGAAAAAGCAATTAAAAGATAAAAAACGCTAATAAGAATATCAAAATGTTGATCTAATAACAATTTGACGTTTATACTATTACGTCAAAAGCAACTTTTTTCCAAAGCCTATCATGACTTCACTGAATCATCGTTTATTCTTGTTCACTGTTATTAATATCTTAATTATTAGATATTAATACCTCTGGTATTATATGGTATTCTGGTATTTCGTCGATTTTAAAATAAACTAACTGTTTCTACCTTATTTTTTGTTAGAATGGGCATAATTAAGAGGGCTACTGATACCGTGTTGTAAAAATTTAATAATTAACGGCTTATTTTTTGGTATTTATTATAATTTTGGTAATATCTTCGGTTTGAAAGAAGATATCAAAATGCGGTTTTCGCTGACTTTTTAAGCTTTTACTACTCTTTACTATCAGCTAAAATTACATATACTATTGTATTTAATTTTTTTGAAAAAACGCGCAATGTTTGTTAAATTGTAAGACAACGCCCCTTAGCGTCTACGTTCAAAAGCTTATTATTATTGTTTATATGGTACAATATAAAGTAAGCAACGCTCTTTTAAACGAGCCCTCGCTTGTTCGATTCCGATCATCCAGTCCATAGTTATGAATATTTAAATAAAAACAGATCTAACCTCCCCCCACCACTTTATTTTGGTAGATAGAGGAAAATGGCTCTAACAAAAAATATTCAAAATTTACTGAAGATTGTGAAGCTATTACTTATAGTACACCTTATCTAGGCAAAATTGTGTAAAAACTCCATTTTCATATTTTTGTTGCAGTTGCACCTCCTAGCGGACGTTCTACAAACTTGAAAATAATTTCCAGCAATTTCTCATAGCCCCTTTAGTTATAAATATTTTTTTCCGTAAACCCTACGGCTAATACTTTCCGAGATACAGCCGAGAGCTATTCTTAGTGGGACACCCGGTATTTAGTTTACTAATTCTGAGTTAATGATTTGACCATACAATTAAGCCCTGTTGACACAGTCCAAGTGTACTTGGACCAAGTATACTTGGATTCTGCCATATATACGTACATGAATACTGCTCGCGTCTCACTTGTACGCTGCTTTTATCGCATCAACTTATTTCGTCCAAGTCGAGTTGGAAGGCTTCTTACCATCCAAGTAAGTTGGCAGCCAGCCTACTTACTTGGATCTTAAGAAGCCTTCCATCTTGACTTGGATAAAACAGGTAATGCCATACATGCAGCGTACAAGTGAGACGCGCGCAGCATTATTA